TCTGCATTAGGACAAGGATCATTCTTTGTTGCTGGAAAAATCTGTTCTACTCTAGTTACTGTGACAATCACAGCTAATTTCAGAGAAACGGGGAAAACAGAGGGGTTGGGGTGGCAGATTGTGAGCCATTTTATGGACAGGAGCAAGGGTTGTTTAACCCTCCATGAGCTAAGCCTGTGGGTGCGTGTGCGTGTGTGCCTGTGGCAGCCTTTTTAATATAAATCGCCTGATCCTGGGTAATTCAAAGGTTAAACAACCCTTGCATTACCCCACTACAGTCGCAATACAGATTCAGTGCCCTTTGCTACGGTACCTCAATGTGGGTAAAAATGGCACCAGATGGATTTCTAGCCTACAGACAATAAAAAATGAAGGAACCCTTGCCAGAAAGCAAATGTTGGCCACTTGAGGCAGAAATAAAAATACATGTTAAATACACCGTTAAAATTAGAGCCCTGGAACTTCAGAGGTTATCGAAATAGAACACAAGAAGAGTTGTGGTTTGGAACTTTTTAATTTAGATGCTCGCACTGCAAGGGAAAGTGGGAAACGAGAGGGCTTTGAGAGCTTGGCAAGGCAAACGTAAGCAGCAACCCCTTTTATCTCCTGCTGATGTGGTAAAGATGCAGGGTCGGCCCTTTCATTACGCAAAATGCTGTGCTTGCTGGGAGGAGCTGGGATGCACTGGCAAGGCATTGGATAATACTGTGTAGATGAGACTTAAACTGGGCAGGTCTGGGTTCAAATCCCAGCTGAGCCACAAGGCTCACAGGGAAATAAGTCTACCTGGCCTGCTTTGCAGGTTGCTGTGAAAATATAGGAGACCATGTACATCAACCTGTAGTCATTAAGAGTAGGAAAGAAATGGAAACAAAGTAATTCCAGCTGGAAATTGTGTGTGGTGTTCCCGTTTCAGACCGGCTGCAGTCTAATCAGATATGCATTGAAATAAAACCCATTATAGGTCTTAAACTAGGTAGGTCGGGGTGGGAAGATAGTACATCTCCAGATGGACTTCTAGGAGAGGGAGTCCAAAATATTTGGAGATATTGCTATTGCTCATCCCAGTCTAGGGAATTACAGACAAAAGTCAATACGCATTATTAACTCCTTTACAGCAGGGAGGCGGAACCTAAGGCCGGGGCACCTGATGGTTTCTTGGAGTTTGTGTAGCTTTCTTCCCCATTCAAAAGGTCGAAATTCCTTTTCTAAGATCTAGTTACCAACAGTAAGAGCTTGAACCTAAAATATGGTGCTATTTTTGCCTTGCTCACTTTTGCCTTCAGGCCTGCCCGATCCTGGAATGTGGCTTCTCCACAACTGAATTCAGCTCGCAAGCTGAAGGAACATCTCCTGTGTACTTTGCAGAATAACAACATCATTGACGAATGCATGGATTGCAACCTCGGACAGAGCACATTTTCTACCTCTGGATTCCATATAATAGGGTCTTTCAAATCTTGCCCTTACAGGAGCCAACATGGGGCTTTGTAACCCTTCTGTTTTGGGTCTTGTGCAGAGCAGAAGCAACGACAATGGCCAGAACATTTATTTTCCTCTGCAGAAATGTTGACAATCCTGCTCATGATGGGTGTGTGGGAAATTCACTAGGGACTTCTTCTGGTTTGGAATTATCCAGAACATCTTGACATGCAGCATTCCTCTGAGATGCATCTCTTGGCTTAGGTTTCACTGGGCCAACTTAATGAATGGAGAAAGGTGGGAGGAAAGGGCCATACAGTGCGTTAAACAGTTCCAATGGGCTCTTGCATTGATTGATTTATTGAATTCCTATACTGCCCAACAGCCAAAATTGTCTGGATGGTTCACAGAGGCATACTTAAAAATAATTTAAAATATGCAACTCAAAACACAGAAAAACATCATAAAATTGGCTATAAAATGTAAGCCCAAATAAACAACAAAAATGCATTAATCAATTATATAAAAAGACCCAGTTAAACTTATTATGGTTATTAAGGAGCGAAGCCTATTCTGCAGCCCCGAATTGGCTGGCTAGTGTAAAACAGCAGTAAGCTCCGGCCAGGAGAAACAGGTATTATTCGGATCCTCTGCAATGCCACGGCTGCCTGCAGGCAGAAGGAACCTCCTGTTCCTGCACTGCCACCTTCAGCAGGTGAGGAGAGGTGTGCACTGTGTCTCGCTTTGCCAGCCAGGCCATCAGAGCATGGAACTGTTATCGCTCTTCCGATGTGTGGCTGCTGGATGATTAGCAGGGCCCATGGTAACATCAGCAGCTAGGTGACCCGCCATCAAGCCTGGAAGCCTGCTTCCTCCTGCAACCAACAGCTACTGATTTCACAGGGAAGGACATGGCCCCAACTCCACTCTGCAGGGTCCCAGCTGCAAACCAACCGGCCAAAATTTGCAGCCACAAAGCTATTGCCTGAGTCTACTTTTTTCCTCCTCCCACCCAACCCCCTTTCCTTTTGTGTGGTGCCTTTTGCACGGTAAGCAGGGAGTTAATTATTTCTTTTTTGTAAGCTGCTCCAGAAGGCTTTTGACTACAGGGCAGGATGGAAATGTTTTTTAAGAAAAAACAAAATGATTTTTAATTGCATGATTTCCCTCCTGTAAATCACATATATGGGGATCCCAATCTGCTTTGCCATTGTCAGGGAGGGGAATGAAAGCCACCTTCAAACCAGAGTCATATTCCGGAATGAAGCCCCGAACCTGTATTTTATGCTAAAAAAGGACCCACATCATACCTGACTGTGTCGTGTGCAATTTGTCCCTCGGTATTTGCACAGTGGCACTAGCTGAGTAAACAACCCACAAGCTGCTTTCACTGGCCTGCAAAACTTAGGCTCCCTGACCTATGTAGCATGTGGAAGAGGTGGCTGGTAGAGGGGAAACAGAAAGCTGGGAAGGGGGCGATTCTCCCTTCTCCCCAAATTTCCCCTGCATCTCCCCTAGACAGAGTTCAAGACCCATTTGAACGTCTTTTCCCATGCACTGTGTGGGAACAGAAGTTCTCTTACAGTTGGTGCAGAACTGAAACAAGCTTGAGGCTCAAATTTAATCAGTGCAGCCCACGTTTTATTGCCCTGAGTTCAAGGATCTCTGCCTCTCTCTTCCCTATTTTTGTTGCAAATGAAGGCTGCATTTTTATGGTTTAACATTTCTGACCAAGCAATAGCTACTATCTTGCCACAATAACCTTCAGTGTAGGGTTTTGCAGTGTGCGGGTACACACCCGCCCCCCGCAATGAATTTATCCCTTCTGACATCAAAACACTGTCAATATTCCTTCTGCAGATAATCCTATTTAGGTTTAGATTCCAGCATTCCTTATCCCTAAACCAGTTCAATACACAATTTATGACACCGCCCAGCCCAGTGGGTGAGCAGTCCTACGCTTCTTAGGCCTTCATATATTCCCAGATTTTGCCACAATGCAGCATTCCTTAACCTCATAAAGGTTAAAAGAAAAAGAAAACCAGAAAACAACAGCTCCCATCATCCCCCAGCCAGCGTGGTCTATAGCTGGAAAATGGCCAGGCAGAAGTAAGTGTGATATTTATTCCCCGCCAGCCGAGCAAATGCCTGTACCTCCAGTGGACTATCAATTTTGGGATTAGGAAATCACGCAGTGGTGGTAGAAAATATAGGGTAGAATGGAAGCCCTCGATAGAATTAGAATATAATTTGTAGTTGGTCACTAGAGAGCAGCAGAGTCACAAAAGGCAGCCCGAAGAGAAAGCAAACTCAAGCATTCACACACAAGAATTGATCTTTTTTGGCTTTTCTGTTGTAGCCAAAGCAGCCCGCCAACTTATCCCCACAGAATCTTCCCCTTTGCCAAAAATACGAGCCACGTGACATGAGTAATTGCACAGAATCATTTGGTCCCAGTTTTAGATTAACTGACATGGAATCACGTCCCCCAAATCCCCTTTCTAATGGCTCCAACATGGCACCACAGGTCAGGAGAAAACAAACCACTCCTTTTCGGCATGTGATGTGTGCTCATCTCCGTGGACGTCAGGGCATGACGGCGAGGAGGCAGTCGGCTCTGAACGCTTCTCCACTCACAATTTTTCTTTTGCCCTTGTCGATTGACCTCCGTCTTTTTCCTGCAAGGAGTCCAAGGAGGTGTGCAAAGTTCTCTGGATTTTATCCTCCCTGGAACCCTGTGAGGTAGGATAGGCTGAGAGTAGGTGACTGTCCGAAAGCTTTCCCTAGACACAGGTGGGCAACTCGTGGACCTCCAACTGCCTGCCCTGTGACTCCCATCAGTCAGCACAGACAAAGGTGAAGGGTGATGGGTGTTGTAGGCCAATCTCTCTGGAAGGCCTTAAGTCCAGGGCAGCATTTGCCAATCTGGTGCTTTTGAAATGGGTTAAGCCACAAGTTCCAGCACAGCCAGGAGATGGGAGTTGTTATCAATACATCCAGAGCAACTCCTAACATTCCAGGACAGCAAGGCCAAGGCCATGTTGGCTGGGGATGATGGGAGTTGTAGGACTATTCCATCTGCCCTTCTTGAAGCTTACGCATAACTGTTTTGACTGACTGCTCCTTTTCGTGTGTATGTCATATGTACCTACTCTACACAATTCATTCCAGTCCATCTAACAAAGCTGGGCTTTTACTCTTTCCTCCTCCCTTTGTTTTCTTGAACTCCACAATGAATATTAATTTTTAAAAGCCTGCTGTGTAAACCTCCCCCAGGGGATTTAATGTTTTTAAAAGCTGCGCTGTCAGCTTCCCGCATAGGCTGGGAAAGACCTGAGGGAAGAAGACGCTCTGCACATGCCCAGCGACCTCTTTTTTCGGCAGCTTCACGTTCCCAAACTCAAGCTTCCTCGCCTTCCCGGGAAGCCCCCGCCTCGCGGCTGAGAGAAGGGGGCGGAGCCTGCGGGAGGCCAAGCCCCGCCCCGAAGCTGGAGGAGGAGGAGACCGGAAGCGGCCGTTGCTACGGGCGAGCTTCGCGGCGGACGTAGCAACGGGGGCCGCGGGGCCGCAGGGCCGCGATGCTGCCCAGCCGGGGAAGGGGCTTCGGGGGCCGCCAGAGCCCCGAGCCCGCCATGTACAGGCACAGGCCCACCTCGGAGTTGACTCAGGTGAGGGGAAGGGCGGCCCCGGCCCGGTTCCCCTCAGGCTGCGCCCCTCACCTAACCTACTTCGCGGGGTTGTTGTGCGGGTCACATGCGGGGAGGAGGTCCCTGTACGCTACCTTGGGTTCCTTGCAAGGGGAAAACGGGCTGGATGTGCAGAACGGGTATCTGCAGAAAGGGTTTGCTCAAGCAATGATTACAGCCCGTTTCCAGGCATGGGGGGGTTGAGGATTTCCAGTGTTCAAGGGAGGGAACATCGTTTGTAGGTCCATTCGAGGTTTGGCACACAGCGTCCAGAAATTAACGAGCTCTGTTTGCAATCATGATGGATCTGACTCAAAGAGGCATGCTTCTGCTGGAGTTCTTGCATGCCATGAGATATGATTCCCCAAGTTTAGTTACTCTGGAGAGAAAAGCTAGAGAAAAGCTCAAGCAGTTACAGGCTAAAATAAAAGAAGCAGGCAGACAGTTTTGGCACCAATACAGAAAATTTTCAGCAGATGCATAGGCAGGACTCTTTGAACCACAGCCTGCCCTTTACCTGCTTGAAGAGTCTGGTATTGATTATGTTTAATCTCCTCCTGAGTCACATGTACTTTTGTTGATGGGATGAAGTAACTTTTTTCTCACTACATTTTGATTAAATATTTAGGTTCTCCTTATCCTAGGATGCCCATGAAATATTTTCCTATCCGTGCCTATCTCTGATATTTGACAACTTTCTTTCCTCTATAGGACATCTCCCATTTGCTGACAAGTGTGTTTAAGAACATGTATACTTCAGAGGTGCTTGGAGTGGACACAGTAGAAAATATGATCAAGTCCCGCGGTGGAGACAATTCCCACCATGAGCAGTTTGTAGAAGAGCTGCAGAAGGTAAACTGTCCGTATTGTCCTGCAGAAAGAAATAGATAAGAGCTAACTGAATGTTACAGTTGGAGCCAACAGAATGGGTTTGTTTTGTGCCAGTTTAGGATAGAATTATCCTGAGCAAAGCAGGAGCCAGATATGTAAATTAAAACAACTTTAGCATTATTTATGTCTTACTGTATGCCTTCCCTACACAGCAGTGATCATAACTGGTAGATGCTGGACCAGTAACCCTTTTTCAGCCCAACCTGCCTTGCAGGGCTTTTGTGAGATTTAAATTGGCAGGGGAGATGGATAACCATGCATATGATCTTGAACTTGTTGGAGGAAAGCTGGGCTACAAATTTAACAAATACAGATTAAGAAGATACTTGAAAGGCAACAAAGAAAATGTGGACATTGAGGAGGAAGGCTTTGATGGAAGTATGAGAGATGGCATTCATCGTGTACATGGAGGTATAATTTTATATGGTTCAGGGCGTTCCACAAGCAGGGAAGACATGGCAAACTGGTAAAGTAAGTGAGCAAGAGACCTTTGGCCAGCTGAGGGCTGTAGGGTTGGAAGATGGTGGTCAAGGATGTGTTGAGAAACAGGAACCAAAATGCTTTCCCAGCTTGTGGTTAACAATCTAGTTCCGATGTAGATGTGCAGCTAGGGGCTGCAAGAATATCTTGTGGCTATTAATCCCTCTGGTTAATTGTGCTATGAATGTTGCTGTCTTTTGCTTGTCCCAATTCTCTTGCATATTGGGAAGTGCCTGACTGCTGCTTTTTTGGGCTGGTTTGCATGCAGTGGCATCCCATTGGCACATGTTGGCTGATCAGTCCATCACAGGAGTGGATTTTGGTCTAGTCTAGCATGGCTGTTTATAGTGCCTCCCTGTTTCTTCTTCCCATGCGGCTTGTAATTTAGGGCACAACCCTATGTATTTTTAGACAGAAAAACATCCCTAACAACTTTTTCCATGGACAAATCTTGCTGTTAGATGCATACTCATGTGCAAGCTTTGATGATACAAAATAATAGTAAAATAGGTTTTTCTACCTATTGTCTCCATCAAGACAGTTCATATTGGAGGATTAATATACAGGTTTCTTTATAGAAATCCTGGGAACATGTTGAAGGTTTATGCTTATCCAAAGTAACTAAAAATGCAGTGATTACCACATCAGGTCCGCGCTGAATATAATAACCGACTGACCGAAGCAGACATGTTAGAAAGGCATATCATCCAAGCAAGGGCACGGGCCACAGCAGAAGAAGAAAGGATCCTGAATTTATATAAAGAGGAAGTTCCAGATGACTACCGTCATGTGGCATTGCCACCCGGTGAGGAAATTGAAAGTTTTGCATCCCCATTGCCCGCTGACAGAACTCAGGCCAAAGGGAAATTAACTTTCTGATTCACAGGGGTGAAAAGTGTAATTTAATCCAGGAAAGATTTGGATTCAATACTGCTAGTATGGGGAGCATTTATGCAACAAATAGAAATTCCCATTTTCAAAAAGTCAAAAAGAAAGAACACTCAGCTGTTTTGCTCAAAGTGTCACATGTGGAATCAGGGCCAACCTAGCCATTAAAATTAAAATGTAAATGTATTTAACATGCATTTTGAGCTTTCAAAAACAATGGAGGTGCGTAGGGGGATCAGGAACAAGGTGCATGGAAAGGGATTTATACTGGATTAACTATGCTGATGGAAATGCATTCCTGCCTCCTTCTTCCAAGAGGAGTCCTTCCAGGTCCCAGAAAATGCTTTGCAGAAAGTCAAATGTACCTGCTGAATGGACTGAACTATGGTGTGTGTGCAAAGAAGGGAATCCCCCAAAATTGGACAAAGGAACCTTTTGCAAGAAGGGCCTTTCTCTTGTGAAAAGTCCCTTTCCCTGTGGACAGGAGATTCTACATCCAACCTATTTTCTTTTCTGTTGTATGAAGAAATGACAAGGAACTGTTAACTTTATCTTTGAATATTTATCTCTCTTTAAATGTGAATGTTGTAGTGAAGTCAACCTTCAGATGGTGTGTGGATAATGAACTCCTTAAAAAGCATGATTTGATTAGCCCTCAAGATTATATCCTGGACCCACCGCTTATTACCCGAGCACCTAAAGGTAACAGTTACAGGGCATCTATTGTAGCTTTCCCAAAGATATAATTTGGGAATCAAATCATTAAACCTGAAAGAAATTATTGAAATTAATCTGCATTTGTAAGCCCCCCTCCTTTCTCCAAGCAGCACCAGGTGATTCTCTTACAACTCTCAAAATGGCTCTGTGAAATTGCTTTCAAAGACACATAGATCCTCACTCCAATCCTATGGCAGTGTTGTACAATTTTGTTAGCACAAGAGTCTTCTTTCTGCTAGCAACAGGGAATTACTGTTTGGTGAGGGTGCTGACAATCCTCAGGAATTGATTGTTCAGTTGTGTTTATTACTCACCCTATAAACTAAGTTGTCAGAATACAATCTCAGCTCCCCGTATAGAACTACAGTTCCTAAGGCTAACAAAGGAACAGGGCATTTGTTCAACTGTTCTAGTCTGTGGCTAGATACGCCCATCGCAGCTTGCCCCAAGGCCAGCCTGTCCTGCCCCCCTGAAACAGAACGTGTTGAGGTCCTACTGCAAGAGCAGGTCTCCCTTAAGGTCCTCAGATTGATGGGACCTGCTGTGGAAGGAGAGGAGACTACCTGCTCCATTTATTCATTTCAAAATTTATATCCTGTCTTTTCATCAAAATACTAGACCCTCAGAATAGTCAATTAGAAGTAGGCTAAGAGCAAGGGCCAATAATAAGCAACAACAGAAAGAATAATAAATAGCTTAAGAACCCTACTGAACAGTGCATTGACATAAGGCTTTTTCACCTGGGTACTTGAAAGCATGAAGACAGGGAACCAGCCAAATCTTCCCTGGCAGTGAGTTCAATAGCTTGGGTACCACTGCTGAGTAGACCCTGTTTTGTGCCTTTATCAGCTGTACCTCAGGACTTCCTTGAAAGACCGAGGGCAGGTTTCTTTGGATGGAATGGAGTGCTTTAGAAATCCAGGGTCCAATCCAGTCTTGCTAGTGTTGGCAATTCCCATTGTTTTCTTTTTAAGTTCATGAAATGGCACATGGGCTTGTTTAGTATTTTCCATGCAATTTTCGCTGACTGTCCCCCCAAAGTTGGGATTGGACAACTGAGGCATATTCCATGGAGAAGAGTTTGAGTGTGTGAAACCATTCCCCACTTGTGTGAAAAATTGAAGATCTGGAAAGTTTCTCAAAGTATATTGAAATTTGCAAAAAGTGTTGCTAGGCCTACCATTGGGCCCTTTCTGTTTTCAGTGCTCTCAATGCATTTTCTTTTAATTGTAGATGTATCAGAGCCTAGCTATTTGAAAGAGATACTTAGTTTTAAACAGCACATTTCTGACCATGCAAATCCTCCCAGATTCCAAGAAAACGTGCACATTGCAAAACTACAGAAAAGTCTACCAGATGTATCTTTATCCAGCTTAACCCTGGACTCATCGCTTTCTAATATTCCAGATCAAGTTAAGAAACCATTTTGTAAGGTGCTTATCAGTTTCTCATTGCTTTATTGTTTTTAAGTTCTACCTAGCCCTGCCTATCCAGACTGTGTAGCATTTCCATAGAAGAGACTTACCTTACCTTACCTTACCTTACCTTACCTTATTTATTTATTTATTTATTTATTTATGGTTTTTGTATGCCGTCCCCTTGCTATATAGCCTCGGGATGGCTCACACAAATAAATAAATATAATACAAATACAATTAAAACCCGGAAACACCCCAGCTGCACAATTAAAACCTATAAATATTAAACATTATTAAAATATTGTTTGAATAAAAAGGTCTTAGCCTGGTGCCGAAAAACAAATAGCGACGGCGCCAGGCGGACCTCTCTGGGGAGCGCATTCCACAGATGGGGTGCCACCGCAGAGAAGGCCCTCCTCCGGGTACTTTGCTTCCCGATGTCTCTCACAGAAGGCTCCTGGAGGAGGGCCTCTGCTGCTGATCTCAAGGGGCGGGAGGGCAAATATGGAATATATTTGGAGGGCAAATATGGAAAATATCTTACCATATCATGGCAAGATTCTTCTCCATTATCTTCTTGGCCTGCATTTTCCTAGTAAGAGCATTAATTCCATTTTTTCCTGCCTCTGCTTTTAGGAGAGTGTGTGTGTGTGTGTGTGTGTGTGTGTGTGTATGTTTGTGGGGCATGAGTATGATCGAAACTCAGGAAACCAGTAAGAAGTAGAGGAAGCTGGCTGTCTGTCACTTTGTTTCCTGTCATATTCAATTCAAAAGATTCACATGCATTTTAGAAAAATAGATGCCATCTGTGAGTCTAGAATGTAGAATTCAGGATCAATAAATCCAAATTCTCCCATCACAAGGTATATGTCCTGTTGCTAGAATAATTTATGGAGGAAAACCTTAATATCATTCTGCCAGTTGTGTAAATAATTATATGTTCATTTGTATCATCCAACCAGACGTACATTTAAAAATAATACGTAGGACTTAGGCTGGATAGTAATTCTGCTAAATGAACTCAGCGCAGTAGAACTGATCCATACAGTAGATCAGATGCATGGGATATTGAGAAACAAGAGGAGATTCGAGTTACAAGAATGGAAGTGGTCAGAGACGATTATGCAGAGCAAAGGGGTCCAGCGTCAGGTATACTAGAGCTCCACCCTTCCTTCTTATTTATGAGTTGTGGAGTCAGTCAAATATATGACTCAGCAGGAAGTTTTACTGAGTTCTTTGTACTGATTTCTGTGTAATGTGCAGAGGTTTTTACCAGAAACTGCTGGTCTGCTTTTCAATTTGGTATTCATAGGAGTTACATACTTGTTTTAGGGGTATTCTGAATTACAAAAATGGGATTTTCTGCCTTTCTGAAAAAGGATCCAGCATTTCCCTCTGAAAAATGGATACCAAGCATATGTTATGATGGTTGATGTTCTGTTTTCTGGGTTAAATGAGTTGAGCAGTTTCAAAAGTCTGTGTGATCATTCTTAAGATCATGAAGGAGCCCTTTACAAAACTGTATATGAAAATAGGTTTCTCCTTTCTCCATGTCTACTGGCAAAAGAAATCTAGATCCTTAAGAAAATCAGTATGGAAGAATGACATGTCCAGAACAGAAAGACAGAAAGACCGAGCTTTTCTCCAGAGGCTTGAGGATCGCCACAACTTCCTGAAAAACCCTCGTTTTTTTCCTCCTAACTCACTTCATGGAGGAAGGTCCTTGATTTTGCCTCAAAAGAAGATTAAGCGAATGATAGCTGGAGTCAAAAAGACTGTGGTGGAAAGGTAGCTCCTCAGTTGTTTGTAGGACAGACACAGTTATTCTCAGTAACAACAATAATATAATAGCTCTTCAAATTTTTTGAAGACATCACATGCATTATTTCAACAATCCCTACACTGTTTCAATAGTTTATGTTCACATGTAATGGAAGCAAATTGTGGGTCAGTTATTTAACCCACGAATTGCTTTGGTGTGTTCTGCAACCTTTTTGTATAATTAACCCAGTTGGGCGTTGCTACTTTCTGTCTAAACCCCAATTCTGTAGCTAAGTTGTGTTTTAAAAGCCTGCTGTTAACCTCGTAACTATTGCAGGTTAACTGTGGGTTGTTAATTCCACAATTAACCTGTAGTGTTTGGGTTTGAACATCATGCAGCAAACTTTTGTGGGGGCAGAAAATTCAAAATGGTCATAGAGCACACCCAGCAAATCATGCTGGATCTATTAATTTACCCATGATCATTTATCCATTATCAGGCCAGGACACTGTGTGGCAAAGAGGTAGCAGGGAGCTCGACACAGAACTGCTACTTTCAGTAGAGAGATGAAAGAGGTGAAACAAGTCCCTCATTGAAAGATCTGCTGTAGTGTCCATAATATAGTGGCAGGATCATCAAAGAGCAGGTGGCATCAGTGTCCAGAAACCAACCAGGAAAGATCTCAGGAACATGTGTGCCTGTAGGCAAGACCTGTTTTGTTAGTAGTGGAGCAATTGTTTAGTGATTGAGCCAGTGTTGGGTTTTTGGGCAAGTGATGAATGTAGCCGAGGCTTAGGGGGCTTCTGAATTTCAAAGGATACCATTTGGTTAAAAAAAAAATCAATTTTGACATTTTTGTCACCCTTGGAGTTATGTGGATAAAGCTGAGTACCAGCATTCAGCATGTTTATGGCCACTGTCGATGTGGAGGTCATATTGCCTCTCTTGTGTACTATAATTCTCCCATTTCATTTCAGCAATTCTGAGTCCGTGCCAATCTTTCTAGCGAACCCACCAGCAGTTGTGTTTTCTTCTTACGAAGTTGGTCAGGTTTATGAGGTAAGAGGCTTTCGCTGCGCAAGAGAGGATTTCTCCTTATTTACTTACCTCAAAAGCTCTTCTCATCCTTCTTGCCATTCTTGTACATTTCAGCCTCAGAAATAGCTTTCGTTCATGGATCTCTGTCAGACATTTGATGAGATGTTGTTTGTTTACTGATTTAGGCTGGGTTCCTCTGCTTCAAATGGATTCTCAGAGGCAAAATTGTGTGCATTACTGTTCTCCTTTTCAACAGCCAAAATTGTTTTATAGCAGTTACTTGTTGCCATCTTTTTTTAAACTGTACTCCCTTTATAGATGACTCTGGAGTTACAGAACATGACCTCAACTTCTCAACGCGTCAGAGTAATTCCTCCAACTACGTCAGCCTTTTCCATCGGGTTCGGTGAGTTCTTGCTGGGTTTAGTAATGCTGTGCACTGATTTTCCACAGAAAGCAGAATTTTTGAGATGCGTCCAGATGGAGCAGGAGAAAGACACAGTTTTAAATGTTGCAAATGTAACATAAGCCAAGCTTAGAGAGCCTTACTGCTGATTTCCGTATTTTGAGTTGGAACCAGACTCTGACTTCTGCAAGAGAACAAGAGGAGGGGCTCTGTCTGTAGAAGAAGCTTCCACTCGATTCCACCCTGTCAGCAGATAGGCCAATGATGCTTCCATCAGTAGAAAGTTCCAAGGTCTGGGAGTGACCGCCTAGTAGACCCTCTCTTATGCCACTCTTATGTCACCCTGGGGGATGCCAGTACTGAAAGAAGGCCTCTGCAAGATATAAGAACTGGGCAGGCTCCTGTGAGAGAAGGTGGTCTTTCAGGTAGCCAGGTATTGTGTTTTGTCCAGAGACAGACCAGTAGGCAGTAAAGTAGTTGTTAGGTCAGGTACAGCGCTTGTCTCACTTGTGTCAAGTTTAGGTTGGAGGCTCAGTGGGGTTTATTTACATTAACAACAAAATATTATTCCTACGTTCATTGTTACTAGGGTCAAAACCTGCTACAGCTGTACAGTCAACATGCAGGATTGATGATACTCATTTTAAAATGGAACTTTTGCTTCCTTTTAAGGAAAATTCCCAGACGAAAGAGGGCTTGTTGCTCCTGGGATGAGCTGCCACTATGTGATCCAGTTTATTCCTGAGTACCTAGCAGATTATGACGATTATATACTGGTAGAGTCGCAAGCAACTTATCCACTCCTGGTCCCTTTGCAAGGCAGAAGGCCACCGCCTATCTTGACATGTGAGTTGAATGTTACCAGTCTACATGAATATAAGTTGTTTCTTTTTGTTAAAGTAACAAGGCTTTTGGATATATTCTGGCGAACCAGTATCTTTTCAGAGGTATCTCATGACATCACTTGTTCACAGAGTATTCTAAGGCCCACAAGCCTAACTTCTGAAAGGAGAGTCAAAAAGCAAGCACGCCAAGCTTGGGGAGCTGAGTCAGCTCAGGAATAAGCAGACAGCCTTGACACCCTCCAGATATATTGGATTACACTCTCTATCATCCCCAGCCATCAATGCTGGAGGGAACCAGGTTGAGGAAATCTGGGTTAGGGTCTCTATGATAGTAAGTGTCGAGATCAGAGGTGTGGAGTGGTGCTGCAGAACATTACAAGGTGCCTTCATTTGGCATATCGAAACATAGAAACAAAGCGGGTCAGAAGGGGTCTCCCGGGCCATCTAGTCTGACCCCTGGCTCCAGCCGGCTCCGCTCATGACATGCCCACCATGTGCATGTCTAATATCTTCCTCATCACACTCTGCCATATGTGGAGACCAGGCTGGTGGTTCCAGCCCTGCATTGCTTGGCGCTCAGCACATGTATAAGAATGTGAGTGCCAGATGATTTCATGCTGTGCCATTCCTGTCTTCAGAGGGTGGTGTTCTTCGCCCGGAGCTGTTGCTTCCAGGTGTGCTGGTCAACGCTGTGCATGGGCTAGAATTGTCTATGTCCATCTTGGAATTTAAAAAGCTTCCTCAAAAAAGAGAAGCACACACTCCCCCTCCCCTGCTGTTGAACATCGTTGTTTTTTCCTGTGTTTTACTTCAGTGCCTCAAGTCTTGGATTGTGGAGCCTGCCTTGTGGGTGGGGTAAAATTTACAGAATTCGAATGCAAAAATGAGGGGGAGAGCGTTGGGAAGTTTTGCATAATGCCAAAGAAGATGTGGCCACCACCTCACTTCCGGGTAAGTGAGCAAGTATTGTAGAACAGGAAGAAAACCTGCCTGGCCCTTAATCCCATTGATCTCGTGTGCTCATGATCAGTAGCGCAATCTGTGTCTCAGATCTGGTACCATCTTACAGTGATTGTTCTCTTTTCCTTTTGTGAAGGCTGTTGCCACTTACGGCTATGTGGAGCAAGCACCATTTGGGATCCGACCTGCAGTTTTTGAGCTTCCTCCGGGTCATTCCACCCTGGTTGAGGTCAGTTGTCGGTGCTGCAATTCATGCTTTCAGGTGCATGTATGGAAAAGATGCACCAGTTTAGAAAATCTCAGGAAAGACTCAGCACATCATCTGCTCATTTGAGAAGGCCGTTGTTCTAGGACTGAATTGCTGAGACCGGCTGGGATGAGCGCTTCTTGGCTTAGTGAAAAGGAGGCATGAATGTCAACTGAATTCTACTTATTATCAAATTCCAAATTTGTTTAGGGTACTCATATAAAGGCTTGGTTCACAGATTGCTTGCCCACATGGCTGTAAAGCAGAAATTGGGTAGGAGTTAACTTTTTCTACTAAAAGAGGGAAGCAAAAACTGTTTCCTCCTTTAATCTCAGTGCACTGTCCTGCTTTAAACTCTGAGAACTGAGTCAGTTGAGAGAAAATGGCTTAAAGCAGGGAAGGGGGGTGATTTGTTCCCCTCCCCTGTTCATGCCTTTGCTTATAAAAAGGTCACCTGCACAGCATGCTGTCTTTATGGCCAAGTAGGCATGTGCTTAACACACCATGTATTACAACTCTTAGATGGTGCGGGGCAAACACCTTGAGTCTGGATGGCAAGGAGAAACTGTAAGATAGATGATTGGGGAAGGAAAATGAAGCCAGGTGGTATTTAGAGTACAGTCTTCCACTGGTTTCACATCTCTAACAGGGAATACTCCATTGCCATAAAACAATTCACAGAATTCTTTGGGAAAGCAACAGTGACACTTAAATTGGCATAATCCAGAGCTTAGAACTGGCATAATGGAGAGCCAGTGTGATGCAGTGGTTAGGAGTGCAAACTGGGGTTCACGAGATCTCGGATTGGGTCTCCGCTCAGCCACGAAGTCCACTGGGTGACTTGGAGCAGATCACTGCCTCTCCGTCTAACCCACCTCACAGGGTTGTTCTTGAGGGGATAAACTGGTGAGGAGAAGAATGTTTATTGCAAGCTGCCTTGGTTTCCTTGCAAAAGAAAAAAAAGATGGGATATAAATCTAATGTATTATTAGTAAGTATTATTATCTGTATACCTGTGAGTATTATTATCTTCATGATACGGAAACATCTTTTTCAGGTAGTGTTCATGCCCATTTTTCCCGAAGTCCTGTCGGTGACATACATCATCGTTTGTGACAACTGCCAAGTCAAGGAAATTACAGTGACAGGTTTGCACTAGAACCTTTGAGAGTTCAGTGTTCAGGCTGCAGAAAGAGTCATGCTGGGGCATCCCTGGGGGCGGGGCATCCAGGCAAACCCCGCCCTCTTAACCCACCGCAGGTGGAGGCAGGTGTGTGCCTAGAGCATTCCGGAGTCTTCTGCCCTGGTGGCACGAAGAAGCACACAAAGCCACGTGACGAATTTGGTGCGTGCCTTGAATGCCCAAAGGTTCCATCCTTGAGATTGCTACCAGGTTTCTCAGGTGATTGGTCTGAGGAAGACCTTGGAGAGATGGTTCCAGCTGGAGCAGGCAGCCAGAGCTACCTGGATCCCTGATGTGCAGGCTTCGTCTGTCAAAGCAGGTTCATAAGTTAAGCACAGTAAATTTAGGTAGCCCTGCGAAATTCACAGACTCAGTCATACATATTTGCTACATCAGGGGTGTAGAACTTCAGGCCTGAGGGCCACATTTGGTCCTTCAGGGTTCCCCTGCCCTGCTCCCTTTCCCCCAAGCCACTGATCATTGGCTGGTTTCCCAGCTTCTGTGCAGTTTTCTCCTGTTCTAAAAAGTGGAAATTCCTGTGGCAGTGAGAGCTTTGTGCTTAGTACCTTGAGTATTTTCATTCTTCCCCCTTTGCCTTCATCCCTGCCCTCCACTGGAATGTGACCCAGTGGAGTGTCTGCACAAGGGAATGTAGCCTTGAGGAGCCCAAAGAAGTTCTGCATCCCTGCACTACAGGATGGCAAAATAATGTCTGTGTTCACATTTGTCTAGGCCTCGGACAGCTGATAGCATTGAAACTTTTATCTGTTACTGGTGGAGAAAGCTGCCCTATGCCTGGCGAATTTACAGATGTGACAGCGCAACATCTTGTTCGTTTTACTTCTTTGAATCCCGAATCAGTGGCAGAGAAAACTCTGGTTCTAAGAAATATCACGTATGTGCGATGCTCATACTATGAAACAAGGAGGAGGAATTTTTTGTGTTCTGAAGCAGTAGGAGATGCTGTAGGGAGTTGACTCCAGACTAAACACACAGTTCTGTACCCTTCCCGCATTGTCTGGGGTGGGGGCATAGGATTCCTAGGAGTCTCAGGATGGAGGTCTTTTGACCCCAGAGCTTCAATACGCCCCTCAAATTTGGTGTGAAAAGAACCATGTCAGATGCCTCTCCAAGAGCTACAATGCACCTTGGAGAGGAGGCAAATGGGTGCAAGTAGGGAAGGGACGCGGCTGGGGCTGCCTACCCGTGCCAGTTCCTATTGTCTGCACTTCCCTCCTGCCATCAGAGGGGAGCAAAGCGATGGTGCCCTAAGTTTAGCGGCACTTAGTTCTCTTGAAAGTTGGCCGTGGCTAACTTTCCATGTCGATCTCAGTGGAAGCTAAATGCAACTAAATTAGTCTGGTTCTGAATATGGGATGCTTTATTTTTCTTGATTCTTTTGGGGATGGATAGGTACATCGTTGGGGTAGATTTGTTTAGTTATTTATTTTAAAATGTTATATACCATCATTTGGAAGCAAATTGCATTTTCCAGGTGGGACATGCGCAAGACTTGAAGCATGATCTCAGTGGCCAAGGCACATGCAAAATGAGTAACTGCAGTTTACTTTGGGGCAGGTTGCTTTGGCCCTGTAAGCCCAGACATAAAAGCTTGTGCAAGCCAGTTCTTTGCTTAGGTACATTGTTTTGGGAGTTTAAATGAACGTTTGCCTAAAAATGCAGTTCTGTATTTTTTCCTGTGTTGATATGCTGAGTTGAATGTATCAATTTTTTTCTCTTTGTTCAGCCACGTGGAACTTCCTTTTTTCTGGCAGATAATGAAACCTAATTTGCAGCCATTAATGTTGGAAGGAAAAGTGGATTTCAGGAAGATAAAATATGTCTTGGAGACAGAGCCAGCTTTCTCTATCACTCCTGCCATGGGAACTCTGAGTCCTCATTCAGATCACTCATTTACTCTCACTTTCTTTCCAAAAAAGGTACAATCTTGCTTGTTCCTGACACACTGTGCTTCCCAGATTTTTCCAATTCTTGGACTCCTTGTGCTGTATGACTTACTGGATCAAGTTTAATTCATTAGTACTAAATTCTCAAAAACAAATGAATTCCTTTCTGGAAACATCAATTTCTTGCCACTTTTCATTTTTTTCTCATGTTACATTATTTGCGGTTTGGTATAGATCATCTGTCCTTAACCTGTAATCTTCCAAGCCCAATGTTGCTTGCTTCCCACTTTTAGGTGTTTGATTCGGGTAACGAAAATGCATGACACAGAAGGCCGACATTGGGTTTAGTGGGTTGTGAGCTTTGCAGGCCTGTTAGACAGGCAGTGCCTTTCCCTACATTTTTATGTAAGTATTTTGGTCTAGCTTATATCTCACAGAGGTGTAGTACAACTGGGTGTCAGGAAAGAGGGAGCTTGGGAAGCCATAGGGTTCAGGCAGGAGGAGGAGGAGGAGGAACTGTCAGCTGAGACTTCTGTTATGATTGTGGTTAGCCCTCCGCTTCAGAAGCTCATCCCGTGCAGGACAGGAGGATCAGAGGAAGGAGCCTTCACCTCCCCGTCTTCCTGTCCTGCATTTTGCTCGAGGAGCTCCTATGCCCATCTAGCAGCAGCATTTCATGGGGAGGGAAGGAGGCTGGGAAGGCTTCCCAAGTGTTGTAAGCTGGAAAAGAGATGGGATATAAAGGTAATTACATAACATTAATATGCACATACCTAGAAAAAAGTAAGCTTGCTTTCCGCCTAAGTTCTTCTTTAAAATATTTGAGGTTTTTGTAGAACCTCAATTTTTGGTCACTCCAAACTCTTAGCTTTTCTTTTCATTGGAGTTGAGCACATGTACAAACATATACATGGTGAACTTCTGGTCAGAGTTTGTAAAAATGCAACCATCTCTGAAGACTTCTTGAGCCTGCCTTCGTAGTTTGTGTAAAATAATAAACCAACAGCAGGTTGAATGAATACAGTGATACGTGATTTTTCTTAGAGTGTGTAGATTTGTGCAAACCATACACGTTTTCAGGTACAAATCTATAAACTCCCTGTGATTCCCATGTCTTTCTGTACCAGGAAACTGATTAAAATGCAAATTTATCTTTTCTGAAATTACTGGACTAGTGGGAGAGCCTCTTTTTTTTCAGAAAAAGAAGTACTTCTTCATGTGGAGAATTAAGAAAACTTGTGCTTTTATTTCATTCTTTTTCTGGCAACGCTCGTTATTCCTGAGACAGACTTGGGAGCAAGGAAGATGCAGCGGTGCTGGGCATTTCTTTGTTTCGGTGTGTCTGCCCAGTGGATATATAAAGTTTGCTGGAGCTTTTCATGTTCTTTTCAGAGGGATGTTGAATTCCTGCACCCCTCCTGGAGCATTACTTCTCCTCCTTTCAGTGCGCCAAGTACTCTTCTTTGTTCTTGACTTAGTCAGAAAGGGAGACTAGTGCCTGGAGCACTGGACCAGGGATGTAAGTGCGCCTGTCTGTGTGAGCCGGCCTCTCCCTTCTCCTTGGTTCAACTTTTAACATTGCTGACACCCACCCTCCAGCCTACCTCCTCGGATCGGCGGGTGAATGATGTCCCATCATGCCTGAGCTGGCCCTTAATTTGAGCAATTGCAGCTGCCCTAATGTAGTTTGTGAAAGAATTTGGTGCCTGAGCCCTGAGAGAAGAAGTATGTGGTGCCACAGTCGAAACAAACGACTAACCATTAACTAGCCAAAGGCAACTGGTAAGCTCTAAACTTAAAAAGGTAGAGTGTGAATGCAGCAAGCAAGGTCTTGAAGTACACTTGTCAGAGGACGGATGACACCCCGTCTCTCCCCAGTGAGTGTACGCTTGGTGAGCGGCACAGGTGTGTAAAGTGTGACATGGCTCCCAGCCTTGCCAGGTCCTGCTGCAGAGGCGAGCCGCTTGATCTGGGAGGCTTCTATTTATGGCAGCCCTTGGGTGATCGAGGTAAATCTAAGCCAGAAATAAATTGGAGAATTGTTCTTATATACCCCATTCACTGCCTCATTGGCTTCATGTTCTTTGCAGTTAAAGGAGTATCACAGTGTACTTCAGATTGTGTTACAGAACATCCCAGAGCTTCCCTGGTAAGTGATAATGTGATGGGCGTATAAATGTGCTTACATTGCAGCACTCTGATCGGCGTACGTTTGATGACTCTAGAGAAGATTTTTTTCTGCATGAAACATTTACTACTACTTGTGACTCCTTACAGTAGTTTGCAGGCGAGCGAGGAATCCTCCACAGCCTGTCCTGTGCGTTGCAACTGTTTCCCTGGCTTTTTTTAGCTAGAGGAAAGTGTGGCATTTCGAAAGCATGCTATGAGAAGCTCGGGTATTTTCCAGTTCTTTTGTACTGCAGTGCCCTCTTAGCAGTTGTTCAGTGGAACATATAGAAAGGCTGAGAAAGGAAAAACCTGGTAAAATAACACATGGAAAAGGGTTGATCTTAAGCTTGCAAATAGCACCTAGTTTGGCCCCATTCAGGAGAGAAAAGCAGGACAACACTCACTGGTCAGTGAGTGTTTAGACAAAAAAGGCCTATAATTCCTAGTGATGCTGTCTGGGGAATGCTGGGAATTATAGGGCCTCTTTCCCTAGAATTGTGCTCAAAACCTCTTTTCCAGAGTGAGGACTCACACAGTTAATGGACACATTTGGCATGAAATGCCAAAGATGGTGCTATTGTAATCATGTAACATTGGGCCGTACTAGCAGAGAATCACAGTATGATGTATGCTAAGTATGCATGATAAAAGTGGCTTTAATCATGTTCTTCATGCAGTCCTTCAAAACCGGAACAGTATGAAATTGCTGAAAGCAAAGAAGAGGATGTGATTGCCCTGGAAATAGATATTAAAGGACGGGCAGAGCCTTTTCAGCTCATTTTGGAACCCTATGCCATTATCATTCCAGGAGAACACTACATTGGTGTAAATGTTAGGAGAACGTTTAAGGTACGTTTACTTCTGCCAGTGCCGTTGGTGGTATTTAGGATCTGTGTGTACTCTGTCCATGAGTGGCTTTCTCGGGCATGGAAACATTTCATGGCCTCCTCCTTTTGGGCACTCGTACTCCGGGAGAAAACTTGGCCGTGGTCCATACTCCTCTGCTTCTTCCATCTCTTTAATGGGCACAAAAGCATTCTAAGCAATGTAAACCATGGAAGCAATTTAAGTTTTGCTACACTAGAGGGTGCAATGCCACACATACTTACTTGAGAGTAACTGCCCCGAACACAGTGGGACTTGGTTCTGAGTAAACTTGTGTAGGATTACACAGTAACACCGTGGTCTTGTGAATGCAGTCACTAGGGATGCAAGCCCTGTTGAAGCAGTGCCACTTACTTCCAAGTAAATGTGCATAGGATTGCACTGCACCCACATCTATGAAGACATCCTAAGTCAGCAGGATTTCTTTTTATGGCGACATTTTGGTTATACTCCTTATTTCCAAATTGCTTGCTCCTTGTGGCACTGTGGTTGCCAGCTTCAATGATCGGAAGAGCTGTCATGCAGGCAACAGAGTAAATTTGCCTTCTGTTGTTCTAGAGCAGCATCCCCAAACTGGGATGCCTTCCAGATACTTTGGACTGAAATTCCTATCACACCTTGCAAGCAATGGCTCGGGACCACGCTGACTAGGGAGAAAGGAAGTTACAGTTCAAAACATTTGGTGGGCACCGTTTGTGAATAGCTGCTCCAGAAGTAGGACCCAACCCAATAGATTCAAATTAGAGGAAAGGGATATTTGATGAATCACGAGGGGGAACTTCCCTAACCCCATTAGGGAGAAATAATTCCAACTGCCATGGAAAGTGGTAGGCATGGTTTGTTTGAGGTTTTTAGGTGTAAGTTGGATGAGATGGTGGAGGACAGGAAGGTCTGGAGGAATGTTGTCCATGGGGTCGCAATGGGTCGGACGTGACTTCGCAACTAACAACAACAACAAAGTAATGAATATCCTCCAGTGCCAGCAAATCAGACTAAATTGGTGGGAACAAGGTAGATCTGCAGATGTTTCAGACTTTAATTTCCAGATGTCCCTGCCAGCATGCCGAAGAGCAAGAATATTTTGATTTGAAATCCAAAACATCACCAGATCTAATTTCTCTACACATACCTGGGCTACAGAGATATTCTGTGTATCTGTCTAAAATACTTATTTTGGTCATTTCAGTAATCTGATTACGTGAACTTGTCACTGATTGTCCCTTTCATTTTTGAATTTTCAGATGTATAATAACAGCAAATCCCCAGTCACATTTTCCTGGGAGAAAATCAGTGAATGCGATATAGTTGAAGTTGAACCTTGTACTGGAAAGTTAGGTAAAGCTTTTCTCTCTGTGTCTTCTCACCTGTACACGTGTTGCATTAATTATTAGGTTGCTGTGATAAGAAAAGAATGCTAGATATATTATGGATTTGTGGGTGATGGTATTGAAGTTAGAAAATGTTTTTGTTTTAAACACAGTAATCATTCTTTTTTTCTGAGTAGAAGTAACAGCTTTGTCTTCTCTAGCGGCAAATGAATGCTGTAAGTTTGAGTTCATTATTACTGGAGGGAAACCTGGACATTCCTGTCAAGATGTACATTGCCAAATCACTCACTCTGCAGAACCGGTTGTACTGCACGTGGAAGCTGACTTTAAGGTGGGAACATCTAAACCTATAAATGCCATGCTATACTGAGTGAAAGGAATGAATGGAGGTGCCTGGTTCCATTTCAAAAAAGTTGGTTTATTTATTTAAAACATTTCTATGCCGCCCCATCGCAATAAAGCCTCGGGGCGGCTCACAAAACATCAGCTCACAAAAAGGTTGGGCACAAAGGGCCTGTACCCGCTGTATGCCATGAAAATGCCACAATGGCTTGCAAGCATCAAAAATGCATTCTGCAGTTCTGTTCGGAGCAGGTGCTAAGAAACAGATTATAGACTTGCACAGGGCTCTGTGCACGCACCAGGGCGAGTGGTGTGCTGAGAAAGACGGTTGCTCAGCTGAAGAGCACGTGCACCTCACATAGCAGGTCACTGGTGCAGTTGCTGACTTTCACAGGTAGGGCTGAGGAAAACGTCAGTCTGAGGTCCTGCAGAGGCAATACTGGGATTTGAGCGAGCAGGGACTGACCAAGAAAGGGATCCTGCAGATGCAGTGGGCAGCTCCATGAAAATAGTCAGCCCAGTGTTTGGCTGCTGTGAAAAAGGCTGAGTCCATGCTGGGCGTAATTAGGAAAGGAATTGAAATAAAACCTAAATACAGCTAAAAGTTGGAAAGTTGTTGTATTGTAAAGTTGGAAAAGGGTTATTAAAATGATCAGGGGGGTGGAGTGGTTCCCCTACAAGGAATTGTTCTAACTTCTGGGATAGTTTAGTTGGAAAAAAGGTGACTATAGGGAGAAATGATAGAGGTCTACAAAGTGGTCTACAAAATATATTGTGTGGAGAAAGTGGAGAGGGAGGCATTTTTTTGTCTTCTCCCATAATACAAGAACCCAGTGGGGTCATACTATGAAGTGGATTGGTGGGAGATTCAGGATGGTTCAAAGAAAGGGCTTCTTCACATAGCACATACTGAAACGGTGGGATTCATGGCCACGAGAAGTTGCAAAGGCCACTAGTTTGGATGGCTCTAAAGGGGGATTGGATGCATCTCTGTAGGGAAGGGCTGTCTGTCAATGGCTGCTAGGCCAGATGCTTACCAGGGCCTCCAGGCTCAGAGGCAGCGTGACTGTGTATACCAGCTGCTGGGGAACGTGTGTGGGCGGTGCCACTGCACTTGTGTCCTGCTTGTTGGTTCCTCTTGGGCAGCCGGTTGACCACAGTGTGAACACAATGCCGGGCGAGGTGGAGCCAGGCCTGCCCCTGTATTCCAAGGGAGAGGCAATAACATTAGCCTAGAAAAGTCGCTGGCCTTCTAGCAGCCACTGAGAGGCCTAGAGCAATCTCTAGGCTCCTGATGACAACACCGAGATTTTGGGAGTGTGTCCACAATGGGTTTCTTTGTGTTGCAGATTCTCCCCTTTGCCCGGTTTTCCTCAACTGTATTTATTTAGTTAGTTAATATTTAGGATACAATCCTGTGTAGGCTTCCTTAGACAGAAAAAAAAAAAAAATCCCACCACTCAGCATTCCCCAGTCAGAAAAGCTTGGGAGTTGTAAGACTTTTCTTTCTAAACCTGCATAGGATTGGAGCTTTAGCTACACAGACCACCTTCAAAGCCAACGTCGTTTATTTACTACATTGCTTACAACTGGGAATTCTGGGAATTAGCTGCTTGCAAACTGTGTATATAACTTTAAAATTGAATAATGGCCCCTTTCCATTGTTTGATGAATTTCTGCTGACCTGGCTGCCCTCTGATAGAATTCCAGACCTTGATTCACATGGTATTGTGTTTCAAGTAAGTGGGAACATGCCAAATCTTACCTCTAGAATGCCTTCAAAGTTGGATACTCTTCAGTGACCATTAGCTTATTTCTTCTGTGCACGTTTCATAGGGGCCTGAACTTTCCATCGATGTGCCCTCTCTCGATTTGGGCCTCATTAAACTTGGACAAAAAGTGTTATGCACTTTCGAGATTGCAAACCTGAGTCAGCTGCCGGGAAAATGGAAAATACAGGAAAGCCCTGCTTGCTTAGCCAAAAGGGATGAAGAGGTATGTTGGTCTGAGAGCTTCTTCACCGTAGTCTCTCCAACCCAGCCTTTCCGAGTTGCAGCCGGGAGGTTTTCTTGCGCCACCTTCTCCAAAGACACTCAGCCAGTGGTTGGGGATCGGACGGGAGACGCGCTAGACACGAACGCTGTTCAGTGAAGTGCATTGGCCCTCAGCTTTCTCCCTCCAGGCCTCTCCGTTCACAGTTCTGCCTCCCAGCGGAGAACTGCATCCTCTTGGGAAATGCAGCGTCTCGGTTTTGTTTACCTCATACATGTGTCAGCGTCTCCAGACCGTGTTAGAGATGGAGGTGGAAAATGGAGTCGGAAGGTGAGGATGCAGAATGGGAAAAGGGACCTTTCTAGTGATGATGCTTTTATGCCAAATACTTGCACACTTGCTTGGCTCTTGGGACTTCCCGGAGAATGTCAGAATGTGGGTATAATTGTAAATTATGAGTACCCTGGCTAAGCATGCCTGCAGTTGCCCTGCCACTAGCAAGTCATGCGACTGGAAACCGCAGTCGTACCTGTAGGACCTACAGCTAGTCCACCTGTGTAACGTGCGGTGATTTCGTGGGGCGCTGCCTCTGCTGTGATTCGCTGAACTGCTGTGATGTCATGAAATACTCGGGAACTCCCCAGCTTCTGAGGGGTTTGGCATGCCCACAGCAGATGCCTGCACACAGACTGGCCTCTCTCACAGCAGGCGTGAGTAGGCTTGCTGTGGCAGAAGGATCCAAGGACAAAGAATGACTTGTACTTGGGGGGCCTGGCAAGGACCCCCACCCCCGGGCGTGGACAGGGAGTAAAAGGATGGGAAACTCAGGGTCAGGTGGCTGAAAAGGAGGGCCAGCTGGGTGCTGAACGGTTAAGCCCAAAAGTGATGGAGAGATACTTGGACGAAAAGAAAGGTGGAAGAAGCAGGGAGAGGATGGAAAGAAGACTGGGATGAGAAATGTCCCTGTCACTTGTAGCTTTGCAGAGTGTTCCAAATAATATGGAAGCACTCAGCCCTGATTGTTAATCACTGTAAGCTTCGCCGAGGTGATTGGATGGAACTGTGAGGTAGGAATGCTTTGGATGAGGAAATCATAAATCAAGCCACCGAAACTCAAAGATGCTCACAGTGCCGCCCTCCATTATCACCTCCCCCTGCTCCTGAGCTTCTTTCTTTGGGGCTGGTTGTGAGGAAGCAGCAGATCCAAGTGGAACGATGCCTGCTGGGAAAGGGGAGGGGGCCAGTGGTATTCCTGGTAGGAAACCAGGCCTCGGAGGACCCTTTTCTTGGCAGAAACAACATACGTAATGCCAGTTTTCTTGCCAAAGATTCTAGGACTGGTAGCCCTACCCGCCTCCCTTCTGGGAAGAGATACTCCACTCACAGCCTTCCTCCCTGAGGAGCAAAGGCGACGTAGATGTGTTGCAGAGAGGGGTTGGAAGAAAACGTGCTGAGGCCGAGCATCACGTGGGGGCTGCAGACCGGAGTGGCTGGCCCTCCTCTGCAGGGCTTTTGCATGTGGAATGCCGGGCAAGGCGTTCCCATCGGGGCAGCCATATACTCGCCAGTCTTTAGGGGTCAGGGCAGCTGGGGGTGCAAGGGAGGGCTGCGTTTCTCACCTGCTCCAATGAATGCTTGCTTGTTGTCAGTGACACAGTGCCCGCATCTCTCTGCCCTGTAGTCACATTCCTGTGTTTGTGGAAGTTCAGACTCCCCACGTGTGTCTGCTCTCAAGCCATTTACATTTCGACCTCTCCATTGGAATCCCTGCAGAAGCAACGGTCCAGCTGTTTAACCAGACTCTGCTCCCAACACGCTTCAAGTGGGGGGAGGTCAGTGCTCATTCCTCTGGGTACTCCTGGCTAGTCAAAAGGTTCTGATGCGTCCTGTGTTTGACTGGCCATCTGCTTTGTCTGGCAGCTCCTTGGAAGGCAGGCATCTCTCTGTGTACTTTGTATCTCTCCGGAAAGTGGCACTTTGGGTCCAAATGAGCAGAAGGATTTGCGTGTGGTGATAACGACTAATACAAAGGTAAGTTTTGAAAATACCCTCCAAGTGGTACTCAAAGTGCAGAAAACATTATGATAATGATCTGTCACTAACCTAACTTTTGAATTGGTGTTCTCTGTTGTATCTGTTCACTTTATTTGGGTTATTGTTGATTGTTTGAGTTTATGAATTTCGGTGGGCTAGATTAAGTCAGCAGTTATGTCCCCTGAAGTCATGACCAGCTTAAGTCCCACTGATTTCAGCAGCTCTGCTTAAAGTTTGACTGAGTCTGGAGCCAACCCATGGAGGTGCGTGTCAACTTTTACAAGGCTTGTCAGCTGCATGTAGGGTTGCAAATGCAGTGGAACAGCTACATGGAAATAGTGTAGAAATGATGCGTGCACAAACACACAGCAGTCTTTGCGATCGAATTGCTTCCAAAAGCTGCTTCATGTTTTGCATGGAGGAGCCCTCCCCACCACCAGAAAACCACCCTCCTCCTTTCTTTTTCTCTGAGGGCTTCGTAATACGCTGTTGTGCTCATGTCTTGTTTGTGGGCTTCCCAGTGGCACCGGATGGGCTTCGTGGGCCCCGGGCGCTAGACTTGAACTGAACCGGCATGGCCCTTGGGCTGGTGGCCATCCTAGAGTTATCAAAGCCGCCCAGAAAAGGCTCCTGAGCAAACTAAAAAATGGGCTAGGAGTCCTCGTACGGATCACTAACTGGTTCATGACAGAAAGTGGGAATAAATGGCAACTTCTCCTGATGGAGCGCTTATTGAGTTGGGAAAGGTACAGGGAAGGGCAACAAACACGACCGGGGAGCAGGAGCAGTTCTCCGGTGAGGAGTAGCTACTACAACTGGGACTGTTGAGCTTAGAAAAAAGGCGAGTAAGGGAAGACATGATCGAGGTATTTAAAATCATCTATAGTGTGGGGAAAGTAGAGAGGGAGACCTCTCTCTCCCTCCCCCAGAACACTTGAACCCTGCATTATCCCTGAAGTGGATTGGTGGGAGGTTTAGGACAGATAAAAGGAAGGCTAAAAGGCTTCTTCATGCAGTTTATTGTTACACCTTGGCATTCACTGCCACAGGAAGTGGTGATGAGGGATTGGAGGGAAAACGCTGCCAGTGGCTACTGGCCTTGCTGGCTAGGGGCTTCCTCCTTTACCAGAGGCGGCCTGCCTGCATTCACCAGTCACTGAGGAGCTGGGCAGCCAGAGGCCTTGCACCCCTCTTACTTGAGAGATCCTCTGTGTAGCTTGCCACTGTGCATACGGAGTGCTGGACTAGATAGACCTCTGGTCTGATCTAGCACGTGTTTTCTTATGTTCTTACCCAACCCTGACCCCCAGGTACTGCCTCCTCGCACGTCTTGCTGATGCTGTTTTCCCTTTGCATTCTTACAAAGATGCCTCTCCAATTCTTTTTTTTTTTTTTTTTCTTCCCCTGTTAGGACAAACTGAGTGACCTTGCCCTGTGTTGTAGCATTGAAGATATGTTAGAGCCACTCTTTCTGGCTATTTCTGGTGAAGTAAAGGGACTGCATGTCACCTACTCTATACCCTTTGACAGGTAAAGGAAGGTAATTATGTGTCATTCCCAAAGCTGGTGTGTCAGCTGAGGCTCAGCCAAAGAAACACACATCCTGGATCTTATTGGCTAAATGTAAAGAAGCCTCTGACTTTCACACTAAAATGATAAGGAATCCCGTTGTCTGCCTTCACGTTTGCTTCCCATGTTTGACTGTGAAACTTCTCTCTGTTGAGGCAGGACAACTATTTATCATCTGCTGCTCTTTCTCTGCAGCGATGAGGAAAAATCGGAGACTTCTCAAGAGCTGAAACTGGACTTCGGCTCAGAAGTGCCATTGAAGAACGTGATAAAGCGTCAGCTGATCATCACCAACCATTCGGAATTAGCTGCTCTGTTCACAATAAGCGTCAACTATTTCAGCAGCTGCTCATCGCCTTCAGACAAGCAGGGCTCAGATGCGTGTGTTTTATTTTCTTCCATTTGACTCTAATTAGCAAAAGGACATTCGTCCACAAGTGCCGGTTGGGCGCTTTGCGGGTGGTCGTCAGCAGCTTTCACCAGTGAGATGCTCGGCAAGAGCAGCAAGGGAATTTTGCTGCTCCTCCCAAGCACCTCCCTCATAGTTGGGCTTAATGCATGGTGGGTGGTATTGTCTGCATTTGGATAACACATGATAACCCATCATGGGTCAGACAGACATGGCTATAAGCCATGGGCTGCCAGGGTGGCTTAAAAGCCCCAAATGAACCACCCCAGGCTCAGACGGTACAGCAACCCACCGTGGCTTATAAGTGGGTTATAAGCCACAGTGAGTTGCAATGTCATGAGAACCTGGTTAATACAGATGCAGATCATATGCCTTGGAAGCATTTGGTGTCAGTTGAATGAAGGAGGAGGAATGGAAATAAGGTTAATGGGTGGGAAGAGAAGGAACTTGGGAAGTCAAGCCCCTTGCAGGTTATATTGGGCAGCGTCATAATATAATTATGCTGGAAGGGACTCCCGAGTTCTTCGGCTACCAGGTGCTGGAATCCAGTTCAAAGCCTTGGTGGCCACTCTCTGCTTGAATATAGGAGCGTGAGGGTTGAGCCCGTTCATGCTATTAGCACTTCCTTGCACTGTACAGGGAAAAAGGAAAGAAAATGTATTTTCCTTTTTTCACTCTCCGGAACACCCCCAAAACACACCCGCTCTTTATAGTTACAAAATGTGCAAGCTTGAAAGCCTCCAGTGCTACACAGAACAGTGCCAGAAGTGGAGGTGGTTGGGGATGATGGGAGTCATACGCGCCAGGCTGGTGACCTCTGAACGTATTGGAAGGTTGTCGCATGGCTTTCCTAACTGCATCATGTTCCCTTGCAAGGGAGGCTGCTGTGATGCCCATTTCAGGGAACTGGGTTTGAACAACAGTGTTTTTTCCCCAAGGCCTTCCCGGTGACCCGAAATTTGCAGTCGAGAATGGTTAAGAGGCCCCTTTTTGTTCTGCTGTCATCTGCGAGCTTTAAAAGTAGAATTACAGCTCATGCATGAAGGAGTCAATGCATCTTTCCAAATTCTCACTGAGACCTTTCCTTTCCCGCATTCTAGGGATCTGGCATTGGAAAAAACGGGACGAATAACGAGACAGATCGTAAAGAGAAAGCAGTCAGGTAGGCGGGGTTCACTTCCACTGTCTTTCTGGGTGCAGGAAGTTATTGGAGAGAGAGGAGTGAGCTGACGACAAGTGCAGCCATACACAGTCCAACGAAAGGGTATTCCATGCAAACCCCGTTGAAATGGATGCAAGCGCACTCTTGTCAGATTGGTTTTCTGCTCCCCCAGCCTTCAGAGCAGCCATGCTGGCTCACGGGAAGGGAGCGGCTTTCCACGTCCACCCCTCCGAAGGAACCTTGAAGGCCTTCCAGGAGCTTATCGTGGAAATTACCGCCTATAACAACATGTGGGGGCATTACCAAGACCATCTCGCCTGCACGGTAGGTGGCGCCTTCGCTTCTGCTCTGTGTGGTTAGAGCGTCCACCTGAAATCTGGGGAGACCGAGACTGCATCCATATGACACTTGACTGGGCACAGGTCCCGTTGAACATGATGGGGTCTACTTCTGAGTAAGCATGCACAGCAACACACAAAGAACACAGTTGGGTTGTGGAGTTTGCCGACGGCCCTCGACTTGGTCAGGTTTGCGAAGTATGGGAATGTTGGTTACGTCCGGTGTGGTGCCCCGAAATTCCACCTCCTAGGGGACACAGGCAGGAGTGCCCAGCTGGGCTCTCACGAGTGTGGGCGTCTCGCAGGCTGGCTACTGTTTCCTCATGTGCCTGAAATCTGGCTCACATGATACAGGTTATTCACCAGTTTGCTCGGGCCGTGCGTCAGTTTGTGGGGAGGAGTTGCACACTGTGCCCTGAATGGCCGCCAGCACCGTCCCCTTTCCAGAAACCCTGCAGCATCTGCAGTCGATGGCCGGCTTCTTGTTGGCAAGTAACAGAGTTCATGTTTGACTGCAGCGCCTCCTCCGAATCTGGCAGCGGGATGCTCCGTTTGTAGGAAATGTTCTTGTGTCCCTTTGTGCAGGTGGGAGAATCGGAGCCTGTGCTGATTCCCATCCAAATGACTGTGAAAGGCTGCCCCATCTTCTTGCAGGTGACAGGACCGGATCACCCAGTGCCGACACCTGTCATCAGGTAGAGCCAGCTGTCCTGAGCGAGGCTGTTGGCAGCTCTGACTCTGCAGGGCTGAGTCTGCATTTGTTGGCTTGTTGTGTGTTGTGTGCACAAACCCTGGCTTGTTTCCCTCTGTGTCAAATGCAAAGTCTGGATTATGAATATGTATTATGTATAATCCACGTCACCCATAAATGATCTTGTTTGGTATATTAAATTTAAAAGTATGGGTAAGTCAGGCAATTATTACAAATTTGTGGAATTTACAGCTAAAAGATTTTAATATTGATTTTATGAGCATCTCCCCGTATTGCTGACATGGCCAAAGCAGCCTCTCCAGCTTGGTCCCCTCCAGATGTTTTGGCCATCCTGCCTGGGGCTGACGGGAGCTGAAGTCCAAAGCATCTGGAGGCTGTCAGGTCGGGGAAGAAGCCAAGTGACTTTAGAACTGGACAGTGCTTTAAAAAAGTTTCACTTACTCTTCATTTCCCCCTAAAATGTCCATTCCTCCACCCAGCCCCTGAAAGGGGAGGTTGTGTCATTTTTATGGAGCTTTTGGATCTCTGCCATCGCTCTGCTGTAGCGGATGTGAACATTGTGTCTGTTCCGAAATAGCTAAGGGGCCTGGTTTCAGTCTTCCTTCAGGGACTGAGGCATGAAGACTCTTGGGCTGCCGCCTGAACTGACTAGATGTCAGGGCCCCTGTTTTGAAGGCAGCACGAAGCCCCCACCCGTCTCTTATTTCCAACACCCCCCTTCCCATACCAAGGGGAGTGCAGGTGCGCATCGGGACATCCCATCCCTCTGAGGCAGGTGCAGGTGCTGCTGCAGTCCCCCTGGACCAAGGCTGCAATCCACGATCCCGCCTGCTCGCCTAGGAACCCCCCGCAGGGATCCAGGCCCTGCCTGTTTAGGCACCGTTCTGGGCACTTCAGTCTTATGCCACTTTAGCTGGCCCTTTCCCTACGAATGGGAGTTCGGGTGGGTTCGATCGTGGTTTGGAGAGCTCTCTGTTAAGAACCCCAGAGCCCATTGACGCAACGGGGGCTACGAGGGCGCGACAGTGACGGCTGAAACGTGTCTGTGGTGCAGAGTCAGGCCCTCTGCTTCTGCTCCACTGGTGAGGCGCGTTGGCCTTTCCCCAGCTTGTACAGAAAGGGCCGGAGGTGCAGGCCAGCCTTTCCCAACCTGCCACCCCGCAGCTGGGTTGGACTGCAACACGTTCTGAATGCAGCCAGCTAGAGGCAGCCGTTTGGGTTGGCATTGTGCCTCTGCCCCTGAGCCATTTTTCCTGCCTAGGTTTGGAGCCCACATCTCTGGAGGGGATACGGTCTCCCGCTACATCCGGCTCAACAACCCCACCCCTTTTGGTAAGCACTGGCACTGTGTCATTTTTCTTGAAGGGTAATGGAGAGCAGTTTCCGTAAGAGATTTTTTGAGCCGTTTACCGTCAGGATGATGAAAGGGAATAGAGGCAACAGCCTCATAGCCAGAGGGTGAAAGTACATTGAAGCGTAAGCTGTGTCTCCCTCCCACTTCTTTTGGCTACCCAGTCTTTTCAGGCACATAATATTATCTCTGCAGACTTGAGGACTAGAAACTTGTGGTGGGATGGGTTGGGGAAGCTGCGATTTTTCTGATGCCAAGTTCTGTAGTCAGTATCAGTCCTATTTGCAGTGCAATTGTATCACACTGTGTGAGATTGCACTGAGGCCGAAACACATTAAAAAGAAATGTTTTTTTCTGCAGCACTTGCCCTGGGATGATGCTGATGTTGCAATCTCTGTAGGATGAACGTGCCTGCTCGGTCTCTCAGTAGCTTGCGTATCTTTAGCAACTCTGACAGAGGGTTTGCTTTTTCCCTGCTTTTGAATTCAGACATTCGAATGGACTGGGAAAGTTATAACCAGGATAAGGATGATGATAAATTGGTAGATCTCTTGGTGTTCTACGGTGAACCTTTTCCAATTAAAGAACCAGACAGCAATGAGATTGAAGTACTCTGGGAGGCTGAAACACTGCTAGAAAAAACATCTTGCGCTTCAGACTCATCACCCGCCAACTCCCAGGTAGCCAGATAGCGCCCAATGGCCGATGATGCTTTCTTTAAGGCGCACACTCTCTCTTGCAGAACACTTGCATGCACAGCTGGAGGAAAACATTGAGCATTCCTGGTAGCTTGAATTCCCAGAACATAACTGTTTAAGTCGGAGGGCATTTAATTAAGTCCCAAGTCTCACCCCATTTTCCTAGACCATCCAGTTCATATATAGACTGGGGTGAGCTGATTGGAGGCTTCTGGCTGGCACTCAGAAGAGACAAGGCCTTCTCAGTTATGACCCCTCCCACCCACACGCCACTGGCGGAACTCTGTTCCATTTTGTATCTCCAAGGCCGTGTCATGACAGGCCTTGACACTACATCTCCCAGATCACCCCTGCGCCCCAAATGGCTGAGAAACCTTCCTCCCTGCGGTGAATGGTCTGGATTGAATGGAGCTGAATGGAGCTGCTGGCCTTTTGAGCAAGTGGGGAACGAGCAGGGTTCCGCCCGCCCATACAATAGGACCGGCTTTTTTAAAAGCAAGAGATGTTCTGTTCCTTGTTTGGAAATGCATCAGTACAGTTCCTGAAACATTCAGGAGACGCCTACGTTTGTGCATTAAAAACCAAGCAACTCTGCCTATTTTTATGAATATGATGCCAACCATAGCTTCTTTCTGGGGCCTTCACATCTTGCATATGCCACTCTTGAAGATTCTAGATCCCATCTTCGAAGATGAGGAAGAAATAAGTGATGGTGCATTTTCACAGTCACCCACGTCTAGGAAAATCATCTCTGTGGTCATCCGGCCTCATGAAGGGGTGCCCTCGGACTACCCTTTCTGCATAACACCCAAACAAGTTGTAAGTTTTGGTTTTTCTACTGTGAGCTGCATTAGAATTAAGAAAAGCTGGGGACTAACACGGGGGAAAGGTTTTCAGGATTAATAAAATGAAGAAAACGCAAAGGAGAGGCTACCATTTTTGCAGTGCTGTGGGAAGAGCGAACGAGAAGCTCCAGGTTTTGGAATAGCTTGTGATCAGCCAAGCCCAACAGAGACTGTGGGCCAGGTATGGTAGCCTAGCAATAGCTCAGGAGGCCTCCTGGACCTTTTTCTGGCAGCTAAAATCAAGCGCATTTTTGTTGTTGCGGAGCTCCTTGCATGCCCATCTGTGTGGTTGGTGGCACCGTCCAGAGAGAGAATTATCTGAAAGTCTTTCTTTGGTGAGACTTCCAAAGTTATAGCGTCTCTGAAAGAACGGTGCCCTAAAAATACTTTGGGACAAGCTGTGCATCTGTTGGAGTGGTGGGCTTCCCACAAACCAAAATGAGATTAGACTGCTGTTGTTAGACATTAAGAAAAGGGAAGAACAGCTTTCAAACGGAGGGAAACCCTGAGGAAAATCCATCAAGAGTGAGGAAGCCTCCATTTTGAATCACACCCAAGGAGTGAAAGTGAAAATGCTTCTGATTGCCCAAGTGTAGAAGGGAGGAAACAGATTTGAGCAGATGATGAAACATGCTCAAAGAGGCCCGAATGCCTGGCAGAGACAGCCGTGGAGGGAGACGGCAGATGCTAGAACCATATGAGCCAGGAGAGGAGGGGTGAAGGGCCGGGTTTTGGAGGAGAACCTGGACAGAGTGGCATTCCAGGGGGCAGGGGGCGGAAGAGGGAGGCCCTGCTGCTCAAGAAAGAATCCAGGCAGTGCTTCAGCCCTTCTTTCGAGCAGGGGCAAAGCACAGGCAGCGGAAATTGGCCCTTGTGTCCTTGGCAGGGCGGGGGAAGCGTAGAGGCAAGCCTTGCAGCCACGCTCTTCCTGCGCTCCATCAGGCGCCGAGCACTTCTGAAGTTCAGAGGGTTAAGAGCAGCCACATCAAATGGCACCCTCAGCGCCTAATTGCCCCGTAAATCCAACATAATAGCATTTTATGTCAAAAGAGGAAATGTCTCTGCAGTGAGAGGCCCGGTGAAAAGAACACTGAAAGGGGAGTCAGCCAGCTCAAATCCCTCCAGAGGCATAGAGGTTATGCAAAGCCACTAGATCTGGGTTCTGGTCCCTGCTCAGCCAGCTGGGTGGCTTTGGGCCAGGCACAGGCTCTCAGCCCAGACCCCCTGCCTCACAGGGCTGTTGTGGGGATAACACTGAGGGCAGGAGGAGAATGACGTAGGCCGCTTTGGGTTTGTTGTAGGAAGAAAGCAGGATATAAATCAAACAAATAAATAGCTCAAGATTTGGCACCCCAGCTGGGTCAGTCTAACGTTGCATTGGGCAGCTGATGTTTCGGAAGGATAAGGCTTGAGTTTGGGACTTAAGAAGCTACGTCGTCATCTCTGTAGTCTTTTAAATCCTGCATGATTCCCTGGCATAATCGTTTGGTTCCAGGTCGTCCCTGCAGGGGGTGCTGCTGCCATCCACATTTCCTTTACTCCACTTATGCTGCCAGAGATCATTAATAAATTTGAATGTGAAGGTTTCGCCCTGGGCTTCATGAGTCTGGACAGTGAGGTACCTATCGGATAAGAACAAATCTTGCTTGCCTCCTAATTTCATCACCTTCTGTCTGTCTGAGAACAAATCTTGCTTGCCTCCTAATTTCATCACCTGTCTGCCCGTCCGTCCGTCCTTCTCCCACTAACCGCTGCCTGAGAGCCTTCTGTGCGCTTCAGAACAGTGCAGAACCCCTGAGCTGGTCCTGGACTTTCCCAAGCAATTTGCTTTGGGGAGCAACTTCTCACCAGCCAGCCTGCTTCCACTGTGGCAGGCCCTGCCACTCCTGAGTCAAACTCTGCCCCAGCACCCAGAAGGCGCTTGGCTGGCGGCTCTGCAGTCCTGTGATTTGACCGCCACGGGCCTGTCCTCCACCAGGTCGTCCGGGAGATCCCGGGAAAAGTAACTCGCAGAGACGGCTATGCCATTGCTCCCCTGAGGATCGATCTGCAAGCGTTTGTCAAGCCTGCCCTGTAAGTACAATATCGATGCGTTACATTTACAGTCTACAAAGCCGTCCCCTTCCTCGTGTTCTCACAACCGGCGGAGTCAGTGACTGGCCCAGAATCCCAGGATTGCCCCATGAGCTTCGTGGCCAAGTGGGAACTAAGCCCTGAAGCTCCCAAGTCCCAGCCCAGCTCTCTAGCCACTAGGCCACACTGGCTTGATGAATTACGGCGACAAGAAACATTCTTGTGCGCTGAGTTAGCAAAGATAAACCAGGAAGAAAAGAGGCTCTCTGCCTTAATGCTGTTCTTAAGATTGCCTTCAAGCCCTCCTAAAAATAAACTACTACATAGAGGGTCACCTGGCGCCTTCCTGAACTGCAGTTCATAAGCTCTTGCCAGCATGGCGAATGATCCGAGATGAAGACAGTTGAAATCCAACACTTTCAAAAGCCTCCTGGTTGCCTACTTGGGTTCCTTTGTTATATTTATATCCCACTTTTTTTTTCCTTTCAAGGAACTCAAGGCAGCATAACCTATTTTTCCTTCTTCTTTTAATCTTTTCCTCACAAGAACCCCGTAACAACTGGGTTACCTTCAGTGCAGTGCTGTTTAGCTCACTTTGAACCCTGGTTGCAGGTGAAACGGCCTAAGTGAACCTGGACAGTGCACCTGGCTGGTTCTTCCTCTTCGTTTACCCCAACGCTTTTCATCTCTGGGCAGCTCTGCTAGTTTGATACTGCTTGAGTGTTGCCAGCTACCATTTTATAGCCACTTACTTTATCTGGCATTCTTTCCACAGGTTAACCCTTGAAATGGATCACGAGAGCGGATTGGTATTCAATCCACTGGCCAGCAGCCTTATCCCAGATATTCCCCTTAAGGGCGTGAGTACCTGTGATGATTCTCTGCCTTTGCAACTGCTGAAGGTGTGCTTGAAGCGCACAGAAGGGGAAAGCTGGGCCTTGCTTCTGCTTTTGGGTGACATGTCATGTCGCCCCACGGCACATGCATAGAATTCTGGGGGCCCTGAGAACCTTTCAGTGTTGGGCTGTGGGTCAATTTGTTCTAAAATGTAAACTAAGGATGGCTTCCAACCCTTTTAGCCGCACTGAGTCAAGTGTGACTGAGTATTGCGGTCTCTGCATTTAAAGCACCCCTGCCCTGGGAATGACCAAAGGGACCTAGGGGCATAGGCATCGAAGGAAATGATGTTCTCTGCATGCTCGTCTTCAGATTTTGACAGACGCAGCCTCCACCCTCAACGTGAAACTCACAAACAATACCCAGACGCCTCTGTCCTTCAAGTTCATTTTAGCAGCGCCCTTCTCTGTGTCTGGGATAGACCCGAGAAAGAGCCTGAAAACATCTCAGAGCGACAGGAATGAGGGAGGGGATCGCCTTCTGCTCCATGCTTTGGAAAACATGCTGGTAAGTGAATCCACCCAGCCTTCATCAGCTGCACTTGGGCAGCAGTCGTAAACGTGTGTCAGTAGGTGGCGAGGGCGTCTGTAGGGCTCCCTTCTGTCGGGACATGCCCTCTTCGGTCTGGATCCAGCCTGAACGTGAGATAAGGCTTCTCAAGGCAGCCTTCCCCAACCTGCTTTCTCCAGATGTCCGGCACAGCCAGTCAGATGCGGGGTCTTGTCTGTCAGCACATCTGGAAGGCGCAGGTTGGGAAAGTCTGTTCCTAAGGTCAGCAGAGGAGGAGGAGAAGTGCCATTAGTTGGCCACGTGGCAGAGCAGCCGCTGCTGCAACTGGTAGCCAGGCCCACACGCCGCCTGCGTCGCACATCAGAGTGCAAAACGATACTCTGACAGCTGAGCTGGCTGTGAAACGTGAGCCCTGCGCAGGAGGCGAATGTTCATGCCATTACAGATGTGACTGGGACGACTTCCCCGGAGTTCACCCACATGGATCGGTATTTGATATCCATAGGGCCTTGCTGATGTGGCTCTTGACTTTACGCTTGAGAAACTCAGCTTCCCGGAGTGGAGGCGCCATGGTGAGGCCTGCCGGGGACACCGGTAGCTTGCCTCGAGTAAACCAAGTGGATTGTATCCACTGAGGAGCTGTGTGCCCTGAACATGGACTCTTGGGCCTCTTATGGGGTGAAGTGTGTGTACCCTGCTGTTTTCTGAGTTGCGCACAGTGAAAGCCCCAGCCAAATACAGCGGAGTTTCAGCGGTGAAACTGCCCAGTGTCCATCCAATGTGATCCTGGGCCTTTGGGACCTGTGACTGCTCCTCTATGGAGCAAACTCATTTTCTCTCCGACTCGGTGAAATCTGCCTTTGTGATTTAGGAAAGGGGAAAGCATGAGAAACTGGTAGGATTAACCCAGTGCGGTTGATGCATGTATGAAGCCATCCTGCGGGGGTAGTTTCCAAAAGAGTAGACAGAAGTAGCTGCTGTGAGAGAGACGGAGCAGCACGGCTGTTTGCTGCAAGACAAGAAAGAACCAAGGCCTCTTGACACAATTGGGAGTCTCCTCAGTGAGAGATATAAAACATAATCACCACTTGAAGTAACCCTCCATTGGTTTCTATTCTGTGTCTATTTTGATATCCACCTAAACAATTATCTGTTTGTTTTTTTTTTTAAAGAGCTAAGTTTCTGGTCCTCATGACAAATTTCCTTTGTTGAAGCTGCATCACTTTTCTTTCCATGACTACCAGCATCTCTGTTGCAGCCCGAAGCGCCTGATCTTGCCTAATCTTGGAAACTAAGCAGGGTCAGGCCAGGCTGAAATCTGCATAAGTGGCTTAAATGTTGTGAACTGCACCAAGAGCTTTTGCTACAGGCAATACAGAAATAATAATTATTTCGGTTGCTTACAATTTGTCTGTAACGCATGTCATGCCCTTCAGGCCTATGCAGTGGAGAGTTTGGTTGTACCCGGTGTCTTTGCGCAGACACCAGTTTTCCCGCAAATACGGTCGTCACTTCCATGTTTGATCCCCACAGGTGAAAGTGTCTTTCCACACAACCCTCGAGTTACTAACTTACCAGCATTTTCCAGAGGATCGGTTGCCGCCTGGGTTTCAAGTGCTCCAGCTTGAAAACGGAGACAAAATACTAGAGTTTAGGCAAGATCTAGTTATTGAATACGCTAACAAAGCAACACAGGTATGTTGGAGCGGGGAAGCTAGAAGCAGCAGAGGCTGCTTCAGTTTGGCGGTGGCCAAGTTCACACGGCTGGAGAATCCCCGCCATGGGGGTTCCAGAACGAGTTGCTAGGCCTTTGCGCCGCATCAGCGCAGGAGCGCACAGGCTTTGCGGGTGCCTCTGCCGCTCACCATCATGTTTCATTGCAGGTGCTGCCCATGACGGCATTCCTGACTGTGCCCGTACTTGAACTTTCTCGTGAAACAATTGATTTCAAGACCTGCCTTGTGAATGAAACCAAGACCGAAACGGTCTTTGTGATGAATACGAGTGGATGCAGGAGTTACTGGGCAGCTTTGCTGGGTGAGGGACTTTAGGAATGTGACTCCGAGAGCCCCAACACTGGGGGAAAGAATTCTGCATTTTCAGCTCATTTGGTTTCCTTAGACTCCTCCTTTCAACAAAAGGAAGAGACAGAGTATGGTTTCTAGAATAAAAAACCAAAATCCACTGCATTTTAAGGAGCTTTGGGGTGCAAGCTAAGGCAAGTTGAGAGCCGGTGTGGTGAGGCTAACCGCCTTGGACTGGAGATCTGGGTTCTGGCCTTACTTGGCCACGAAGCTCTTGGGTGACTTTCATCCAGTCACAAACAATCAGTCAAAGCTACCTTCTAGGATTGGTGCTGTGAGGATTAAGCAGAGCTATAGGCACTCCTTGGTTTCTTCATAGGAGGGAAGAGGCTGGATAGAAATGCAATGAAATGATTTAGGCAGAAAAATGGCCTACGAGTCCCATCATGCCGCACCTGTGCAGGCTGTGGTATGCTGAGTTACAGGGTTTTTTTCTGCCTAAATTTGCATATGATGCACTTTAATTAACCTTTATATTCTGTTCAAGTTTGCATGCTAGGAGCAAGTTCAGAGTAGGAGTGAATAGCTACAAACAGCTATTCCCAATTTCTCAATAGGGCGAGTAAGTCCAGCCAGGAAAGCACAAGGTGGTGGCTCTTGCTTTAAGATGTGGCTTTAGACCAGGGGTCCTCAAACCTTTTGACTAGGGGGCCAGTTGAAAGGTGCCGGAAGATCCTTTTCTCCCAGCGAGTCCAAAACAATCTCCTTACCGAGCAAGCCGGCACCTCACTGCGTGTGTGCAGGCACACATGGCGAGCGGTGGCAGGCCAGATCCAGCCCGCAGGCCATCGTTTGAGGACCCATGCTGTAGACCTTAACTGAAGTTCATGTCCTGTTGCAGATGAAGATGAGCGACACAAAGAACCCGAAGTGTTCTCCATCTCCCCAAATAATGGCATCCTTGAAGCTCACAAGTGCAGCACGCCTACGAAAGCACCTCTGCTGCTCCGTTTCACACCCAGGTAGGGCATGGCAGGTTTTGCCACACCCAAGCCGCTACCCCAGCCAAAGTGACGCCCACAGCACAGGACGGCTTCCCCAGGCAACGTCTCCATGTCCCGAGGGCTAGTTCTCTCTGTTGACCTTGGGATCCATTGCACTGGCAATGGAAGGATCTGCAGCAGAAGAGCAGCGCGTCAGGAAAAAGGGGCCATTACAGGTCCTCTGAACGCAGGCAAAACCCTGTCCCTTAGCAGTGAAGGACAGCGGATATCATGGCATCATCGAGTTGAGTCAACTCGTCTGTGGTTTACTTAGCCCGCTTTATCCTTCAGAGAGCCAGATGGCTGAACTGCTGCACGGTTGCCAGTTGCTGTATAGTGGGCCTCCAAGGTCACGTCCTGGGGCAGACTGCCTACATCCCAGATAATATTTGCACATTAAATGTGAGTTTTGCTGAGTGACTGGAATGACAGCACTATAAAGCCTACTGTTATAAACCTAAAGACGAGCAGCAATATATTTCTATTCACTTGTCCAAGGTTTTTTTAAGTTAGGAATGTTACGTGGCTGGCATGGAATAAGAATGCCATAAAATTCAGAATGCTGTCAAGGTCAGCCAGTGGTGACCCTCAGCTGCCCCTCCAGAAGTGTAACACAGGTGTCAGGAAGAGACGCAGACACACAAAGCGACCGCTTGTTTGTTCAGTGCCGCTGCCCCATCCTGACTTTCGAAACTGCCACAAACATCAGCTCAGTGAAAGCAGGAAGCGTGATCAAGGGGAGCTTCTTCTAGCTTTTCCACCTTCCACCCTGAGAAGTGTTAACTGCAGATGCTTGAGGTTCCCCCCCCCCTTCTTCACTTGTGTGCACACTTCTGCAGGCCCTCACGCCACACAGCTGAACGGAGGGCCTGCTCTGCCTCACCCCCCCCACCCCCCAATTTACCTTTCTGGCCACTCAGAATGCTGCTGCTTTCAACAGGGAGGATGTGGATTACGAAACCGTTGTGACAGTGGTTGGAATGCTGGGAGAGCAACCTTGTCTGCTCTGTGTCCGAGGAAGAGGATCTTACGACGAGAAGTATGAAGAGAAGCTCAAAAGCTAACGGCTCCCCCTCACTGTTGGGGCAGCTGTGGGAAAAATGGCTAATATGTGGCTGTAAGGAATTTTCCTACTTTTGCTAATAATATAAAATGAAAAGCAGAGGTTTCTGTTGATGCTTTAATTCCTGTAATAAACTTGTGTCTGTTTTTAAGCAGCTGAATAGCTAGCCAAAGGGCTGGTGAACTTCACCATAAATGAAGACAGCTGTACCCAGCAGTCTTATCATTCAAGTGATGGAAAACTCTTTCCGTTGTGTTAGAACAAGCAGCAAGCTGTTCAGCCCTGCCTGTTCTCTTACTGGATTCCAGGCGGGTCAGACTTGCAGAATCAGAACACTTCTGGCATGGTGAGGAGGCAGTGATGGAACATGCACCAGGCAACAGGGCAAGGCCTTGGATGTACGTAACTAAGCGGCCCAGATGGAGAACAGGTCTCTCTGACCATGGCTCAGATTCCTGTGCCTGTGCTTGAGACTGAGCAGAAAACCACATCCATCCCAATCTTTCAACACACAGCTCTTGATCTTTTTGCAGCACCTCTTCTTCAGTAGTATTTGGAGGGCCCAGTTTTAAGTGGTGTCACTGGACTTCAGGAACAATTTAGCTCTGCTTTGTTGTAGAACAGAAGTGAGAGAAATAGGAGTATTAAGAGGTTGAGAATTTAATAGGCAAGAAAACTGACATGAATGGTAGTGCATAACCTTTCCTTCCAAGTCTCTCAACTGTTTTACTAATTTTAGATTAGAGCGTCTTTAATCAACAAAGAATCAGTTTGGTCTCTTCAACAAAGCAGTGAAGCATTTGTGACCTGCATGAGCCAGAGGGAAAGGACGGCTGTTCTGAATTCAGTCCAAGCCAGTTCTGCGTTTTCTAGAGTCTCTTACATATGTGAGTGAATATGCATTTCTGAGAGCTTGCCCATTTTTATTCTAAACGAGGGCTGCCTTCTATGTATTTTTAAAAGCTGTTAATAGGCCACAGCCATTTGGAACATGACGGTCCCCCACAAATGGGTATCAATTGCCACGAGGACGGACAGGATGGATGAGGAAACCCCGTGCTTCCCAGTGATCTTATATGGAAACAGGAATGATGGCAAATCGCCTTAAGCTGTTGCTGCCAGAAGCGGCTGTGGCCTCATTTTCTCTTTAAAAACACTTTTTAAAAGGCAGCCTCTAGAATGCGCTGAAGTGCTTAAGTGGGACACGCCCCAAGCCACATGCCAATCCTGGCCATGTCACTCAGGTGCTTGCTTCAGAATGCAGAGCCCCCATTTCCTTAAGCTTCCCCACAGGAACCGTTTCCCGAAGCAAGCTCTGCTGCAGCAGTTCTGTGCCAGTCGTTCCTTGTTACTCAATGAACCACTCATGAAGGAGCCCATCCGCAAAAGGACCGGTACTCAAATCTCTCTCCTCACATGGTTAGAAGCAGACCCCGTGCCCGCTACATCCCACTCCCAATGATGCAATTCATTTCATGAGGTTCCAGTGCCCAGGGAGGTGCTCAACCAGTTCCACGCCACAGGCAAGTCTCGCGGTGTCAAGTTTCTCAGTGCCACTCCATTACAGCTGGTACATCTTCCTGTTAAGTCCAATGCCAGATTGACCGGGTTCCATGGCAGCATCTCGGCCGGAAGCAGAGTCTGCAATGAAGGAGGGAAGGGGAAGCCCTGTGGGATGCGACCCACTCGCAGGCTGCACATTAAGCACTGTTTCATTAGACAGATTTATGAACAGATTCATCTAGCGGGACCTTTCCTTGTTCTCAGTTGCTGGAACGTTCCAGGTGTTGGGAGAGTTGGCAACTTCAGCCAGGCTGGAGTTCAGTTCACTTCCCAGGGTACTCAAACACTGCTGCAGCTCCCATGCCCGTCCCAATGCACATGGAGACCACACCATACCCTCTGAAACAAGAGTGCAAATTAGCACATGGCTCCATAGAATCTCCAGGGGTTTAAAAATTCTGTGGCAGTCGGCTCACTTCAGGTTCTAGCAGCTGACTGTTTCCACTCGTGTGCCCTGCCACACTGGACCCACATGGCAGACTCCACAGCACAGAATAAAACATTACAACATGGCAATGCCAGCAACACCCTTCCCCCTCACATCTTTACTGGAATGGTTTGCACAAGAGCAACTGGATTCAATCCCAGCCACACACAACCAGGTAGACCAGTAGCCCTAAACTGTGCAATACAAGGGAACAGATAATATGCTGCCAGGATTGGATTTAAATTAAAGGCATGCAGCTGCTCGCCTGCAAAGACTGCCAGCTGCACCTGCACAGGACACACCACTTTGGCTTTGCCCCATCCAATCACGGAGCATAACCAGACAACAAGCTTGTACAAAAGGAAGTGGGAGGGGGATTTTGGTAATTTCCATAGCATCTAAAAGCGGTTTGGATGGTGAAAATGTTCAGTTGTCAAAGGTCTGCGAAACAGCCTTCAACTCAACACAGTCACAAGTATTTGGAAAGGGAAAGAGGCGAGTGGTAACTGGCCAAACCTGGAGTGGACACAGTGGCTGTATGTGCAAGCAAGACGAGCAGGGAAGAATCCCTGAGCAACATCTACCCAATCCAAAGCACCTTGTGAAATGATGAAAAATAACTTCTTGGTTGTGTTCTAAGACTTCTGCCTTCCTATTAGAACTTGCAGGAAATCAAGTTTCTTGCTAGTCTGATTTCTGAACAAGCTTCCCCAGTTCAGTAGCCAGCTGGGCGATCCTTGCAACAGTGTGTAGGGCAGGGCAGGGCAGGGCAGGGCAGGCGTCAAATATCACAGGTGCTTCCATTTTTAGCAAGATGCAGCTGACTGTATCGCTAAGCATTAGTGAAAGCAATGCTTTCCCGCCCCACACTTACCTCTTCCCTCTACGCTTCAGCTCAGAGAGCAGAGTGACAACCTGCCGAGTCCCGGTGCAACCCAGAGGGTGGCCCAACGCAATGGCACCACCAAGAGGATTGACCTTCTCCAGGGGGATGCCAAGCTTCTCCATGCAGTAGACAGCCTGGAAAAATACTGTCGTATCAGCTTCAGGAACCTGCTGAGACTGTGTTAACTGGCCTCTCCCAGGATTTTAAATTAACGGGATTTCATGTGTTAAAACAGACGATGCCCTTACTCAAAATCTGCATCTCTGCCTGTGACGCAGGAGAGAGCATTCCTAGAATCACCTGATGAATGGCATGACCAAAGAATACATGATCCGCACATCTGCATTTCACACTTCGTATAAATGCAGTGAAAGGGGCTTCAAATCCAGGGACCAGTTGCTGCTAAGGCATGCCGGATTCCACCCTCAGCAGCAGCTGTGCGGGCAGGCAGAGGTGTTGGTCCACATCCGGAAGTATCGGAGGGGGGGAGGCGCTTAGCGGAAGAAAGGCCTTCCGTTCCCATTAAAGCTGCCACAGCAGGGCAGAGCTAGACAGCTTCTCGCCACAGTGCTGCTCTGGCCACTTCCACTGCTCTGACGAGGAATCCATTAGGCGCCATGGAGAGACTGCAACAGTCCAGGCGGGGATGGATTAGAGACTGGTTACCCAGAAGCCATGCGATTACCAGAAGCTGAACTTCACCCTGCCTCCTTTCCTTATTACCACAGCTAGAAAGAGCTTTTGAGATCACTTCACCTATATGTTGCTAGCATATTGGAAAAGAAATGATGGGGAAATAGCCGTTCAGTTTTAAGGAAGCCTATTGTCTCTGGAAGAAGCCCGAATCCATTTGGCATCTCTGCTGCAACAGAGAGCAAGTCTGCCCCCTCGCACCCCCAGGTAACACTGAAAAAAAGGCTCAGCAAGATGGGCCCGTCTCACCTGGCTAGCAAAGGCCTCGTTGATTTCAAATATGTCGATGTCATTCACAGTCAAACCTGCATGTTGGAAAGAACATTTGCTAAAATGACCTTTTCCTGGTAGTGCGCAAGAATACAGTGTCTCAATACTGTTTTGTGCCGTGTAGTGTAGCTTTGCCCTGACCCCAAGCTAGCGACAATAATCATCATAGTATTTTTGTTCCTTCTAGTAGTGAAGCTGCTAAATGCAGGGTTAGCAAGTTTCCAACAAAGATTGTACCATTTTATTCAATAAAGAAACATGCTAGTTTCTGCAGTGGTTAAGGTACCTTTTCAGCTAAGGCACTGATACACTGCATTTTGGAGGTTCAGCTACAGTTTAGCAGCACTAGGAAAAAGTACACCACGCAATGGAAGCCAAATTACAGGAGTGAGAAGTATGTCACCTCAAAGGGGACGGGGACAGCAAATGCCGTAACTAAACAAAAATTTACTCAGAATGTTTTCCTCTCTAACCATGTTAATGGTAATTAAGCCAAGATCCCACCCTTTCGTTTTACACAGATGAGCAGCGTCTGCTTGCTCTGCATCCCCAAAATACAGGTACACCTGAATGTTTCATGCCTTCTTCAGAGAGCAGACAAAGTTCAAGTGTACTGGTATTTCGGAGAGATTTAAGTATCCCCACCGCTTAAACTGAAGTCCAAAGTCACTTCTCACCAGCCTTTTCCAAAGCTGCTGGAATGGCGTAGGCTGGCCCTATGCCCATAACATCAGGTGGGACTCCAACTACAGCGTAAGACTTCAGCACTCCAAGGATAGGAAGGCCCAGCTGTGATGCTTTGGAGCGTCTGGCCAGAAGGACCGCAGCAGCACCGTCACTAACTTGGCTGGAATTACCTGTGGTAATAAGAGGTTTCATGTGACATATTACTGGGCTCACCTGGGAAGATTTCAGCCTTGCTTGCCCAAGCTTAGTTACAAGAATGTAGATAAACTGATAGCAGAACACAAACGGATTAATTACGCCACACCCATGCAGAATACTGGCACAAGAGTCAAGTCTATTCACAGGCATCCACAGACCAATTATTATGTTACCACCCCCACCGATTGTCCTGTCATCACAATCATGACCACCATCTTCATTACAACTGAACCCACCTTTCTTCCTCCTGTAAGGGAGACTCACACGGTACCCCTCCTCTCCATTTTACTCTCACAACAACCACCCTGTGGGGCGGGATAACATGAGAGTATGTAATTGGCACAGTATCGGGACTGCTCAGAGTTCCTAGGACTTAGGGTTGCTCTGGCTTTTAAGAGAAGGTCCAATTAACAGGGCTCAAGGAGAATCATCCTTGCTTGCTGCCTTCTGTGGCTCTCAAAATGGGAGCATTCTAGGATCTGACACAGTGGCTACAAAAAGTCACAGGATTCCTTTGTCTGACTCCCAACTTGTCCTTTTCTGCACACACGCCCCTCCAAGGAACTGCCAGCCCCCCATCCTTTGCTCCTGCATCAAAATCACAAAAAGGCAATGATTTAGTTGAATGCAATTCATATAAACAGAATGCAAGTGCAGAAGCACAGCTGCTTGAACAAGTAAAAACTGTGTTAAGCTGTTATTAGATAAAACTGCCAGCAAAAGTGATTTCTGGAAGCACCTCACACTCTCTGCCTTTCAGGGTCAACCATGGCACCCTTGCCAGATGATTAAATGCGCACTGGATAAACGGAGCGAGGCAGAAAACTTGTGTGGGAGAAATACTAAGTTCAAGGGAAGTGTGCCTTGTTTCATCAAGAGAACCAACCTTTTCCAGAAAGAACCTGGATGTCAGGGGCCACCTTCTGCAGGCCAGGTTGCAGTGGCCTTTCCTACCAATGGCTCCCGACCTCCTGCACGGGAAGCGCCGGGGGCCGCCTCCCGTGGCCGTCCACACACACATCCTGTGCTCTGCCCTGAGCTTTGGTCCCTCTTAAAGACAAGTTTTACTAAATCTGTTTGCCTTCGCTGTTGACGTTACACTACGTCACATGGCAAACGCCATTTACCTGACGAGCCAGTCTGACGGACTATGCATTCATTTCATCCTTTTGTCTAATTCTTGGAAAGTGAAAGACCACTTTCCTTGGCCCAGAGTGCAACCCGCCCCAGGTCGGTTCAGTGCCAGGCAGCTTCTCCCCGCTCTCCGCGCCTGGCGCTTACCAGCAGTCGTGGTCCCATTCTCCTTGAAGGCTGGCTTCAGCTTCGCCAGGCCCTCCAGCGTGGTGCCTGGCCTGACCCCTTCGTCCTGGAGCACAGTGATCGTTTTCGTGTTGCCCTGGTCATCACTGACAGTCGTGGTCACAGGGACGATCTCATTTTTAAACAATCCCAACTTTTGGGCGCGAGCTGCTCTAGAAGCACAAAAACAGTGAGATTATCCTTTTGATGCTCTTTCCCACAAGTACGATTGTGCTCAGCACAGGGCGGACTCTGTGCAAAAGCTGCACAAAGGGGAGCTCCCTGTGTGTAGGACGGCCTCTGAAAAGCACAAGACAGCTGCTGCCGGAGCCGGGGGCAAGCAGGCAAGACACGGCTCGCAGACTCCAAGCACCCCCCCACCTGTTTTTGGCCCTTGCCGAATTTGCTGCTGTAGCAATGGTGCAATTTTCCTTTAGGACCAAGTCCATCGTGCACCTTGTTGTAAAGGGAAAACTACTTCTGGCCACCACAACACCAAGGTTCAACGGGGAAATGGATGGTGCAGCCTGAAATTCGGTAACCAGGAAGGTTGCTGTCATAGCCCCCCATGGTGCAGCCAGTAGCAAGCTACAGAAACCAGGTTGGTCTGTTCTTTGCCGTCCTCAACAGTTCATGTGTCTGAGCAGGAACATGGGGTGGAAAGCAGCAGCATCCCGCTTGAGACAAGGCCTGTCAGATTCCCAAACATAAGCAAGGCAGGGGGCGTGGGTGCACCGGCTTCTACGATTGGTGCCACACCAGCAAAAAAGAGCAAGACTGGATTCTGAACTTCCTGGGAGGGGGGCCAAGCCACAAAGGCAAAGAGCCTGGCAGCCGCTCCCCTGACTACACGCCATGCAAACACGCAACACGCTGAGGGGTCTTGCTGAGAGCCAGGATATTGCTTTCTAAAGAATGCCCAGAGAACTACGGGCAGAACAGGGGGACGGACCCACACAGGATGATCTGACTGTTAAGCCACATGGTGTAAATTCAGTCTGACTGCAGCCCAACACCACACGGAGGAAAATTGGCATGCAGACTCCTAAACCAATAAGCAAGTCTGTCTTTGGGATTTGAGTGTTTGCACCGAAACATGGCAGAAGGAGCAAAACAAGCGGCGGAAAGTGTGAGATGCAGTCACAAGCTCCACTTCCCAACACCCTCCCCCGCACAACCTCAGTGGCAGCCATTTACTTTTGCTGGGAAGCCAAGGCAAAGGCATCTTGCTTTTTCCGGGAGACACCAAATCTTTCCGCCACATTCTCAGAGGTTATTCTGAAAAACAAGATTTAAGACAACACAGATTAATCCAGTGGTTTAGAGCAGTGGTGGAGAACCTATGGCGCCTGTGCCACAGCGGGCACACAGAGCCCTCTCTGTCGGCACGCGAGCCAAGTCGCCCCAGCATCGCCCCAGCAGCCGAGCATCAGATAACAGCGCACACAGGGGCCATGCACATGCTCAGAAAGGAGTAGTGGTGCCAGGGGATGACGTCACAAGCCACGACTCATTAGCCACGACTCATCCAAGCCTTTGCAGGGCTGCGTCAGTGCGCTGCCAAGCATATATACATTCGCTTGGACTGGCTGTGAGTTGTTTTTTCTAAACCAAATCCTCAGTTTTCAGGTTTTATTGCAGTGTTGGCACTTTGTGATAAATAAGAGGGTTTTGGGTTGCAGTTTGGGCACTTGGTCTCTACAAGGTTCACCATCACTGGGTTAGTTAGAAAAACGAGGTGTCCTGGCATGATTCTGATGGTTGGAATTTGTTTAGAATGGGAGGAAAGGATGAGCAGTGCAGAAAAAGCTACTCAAGGAAGGCTTTTTCAAAATCTCCCTCTTCTGTATGGAACTTTAGTCCTGTATTTGGGTTAGGAGTGCACCAGGGTAGGGTTAGAAAAATGCGGTGTCCTGGTAGGAGTTTGATGGTTGGAATGTGTTTAGAATGGGCAGAGATGATGAGGTGTACAGAAAAAGCGACTCGAGGAAGGCTTTTTCAAAATCGCCCTCTTTTCAATGGAACTTTAGCCCTGCATTAGGGTTAGGGGTGTGCACCAGGGCAGGGTTAGGGCAGTGCCGGTGAACCTATGGCATGCATGCCACAGCAGCATGCAGAGCCCTCTCTGTTGGCATGCAAGCCAAATCGCACCAGCATCGCCCCAGAAGCCGAGCATCAGACAGCACACACAGGGGCCATGCGCATGCTTGGAAAGGAGTAGCGGCGCCAGGCAATGACGTCACAAGCCGCGACTCATTAGCCACAACTCATCAGCCGTGACTCGTCCGAGCTTTTGCACGGCCACTCAGTGCACTGCCAAGGATATATAGTGGTGCTTTGGCTCACAAAAGCCTTTGTTCACGACCAAATCGGGTTGCAAACAAAAATTTCATTAAAAAATTTAACTCGGGTCACGAACGCCACATTGGGTGGCGACCAAGGTCCCGGCCATCTCCCTGCCCCCCACCCACCGAGTGGGGAGATGGCCACGACTGTGCAGGGGGGCGGAGAGATGGCCGAGGTCACGCCCGTCTTTCCTGCATGAGCGCAGCCGTGATCTCGGCCATCTTCCCCCCGCAGCACGACTGTGCCCGTCTCCACCTGCGGCATGCCTCTGCTCCTGCCTGCCTCCCCCCACAGTGCGCCCGCGCCGGTCCCCCCCCTGCAGGGCGCTGGGATGATGGGCCCGTGCGGGGATCACGGGCTCAGTCATGGTCATGCTCGGGAGCGGGAAGATGGGCTTGTTCCTGCTCGGGGGGGGAGGGGGGATGGCCGCAATCTTTGTTGTTCTTTATCACTTTGCTTCACATTTTTCTGACTAAAAAACAATAGTTACAGAACAGATTAACCTTATTTACACTGCACCTCATGGGGAAATTTAACTTGGCTCACGACCAATTTGGGTCACGATCAGAGTCCTGGAACTGATTAAGTTCATGAGCCAAGGTACCACTGTATAAATATTTGTTTGGACTGGCTGAGAGTTGTTGTTTCTAAACTAAAACCTCATTTTTCAGATTTTATTGCAGTGTTGGCACTTTGTGATAAATAAGTGGGTTTTGGGTTGCAGTTTGGGCGCTCTAAAAGGTTTGCCATCACTGGTTTAGAGGCTCTCTGCTTCTGTATAAAGATAACGGAACAGCGAAGGGCCTCTGCATCAGGAAGCAACTGGAACTCACCCAATGGGCTACAGTGGTGAATGTTCAGGACCCGACATGCCGAGAATCACAAACCTAAGCTTTGAAGTATGTGATGAAACGCCGAAGGATTGGAGGGGAGGAGAAATCCTGAACAGGCTCTCCAGTGATCAGTGCTCCCCGTTGTCAAAATTATTCAGGAAAAGCACTCACAGGGAAAACTGATGAATTCACCTCGCTTTTGTGCAGACCCTGGACATTTCTGCCATGTATACACGGGACTGCGTATGGCAGGGTAAGACCACAGTGCTAGCGCATTATGCTCTCTCATGCGACACTGGGTGCCTTGTAGTAGTCAACTTGACCAGCATCTCATAGGCAAATGCTTAAATGAAGGGCAGTTCCAAGAACGCCCCTCTGAAATGCAGGAGGAGAGGAAAAGGCTCACCCCATTGGGATAAGGCAGTCTCTTGCTTTGGCACTGTCCACCATCCGAGGGCTGACGTCCCCAGGATCGCCAGCGCTACGCAGAGACATGCTTTCCACTCTGGCATAACAGAAAAAGAGATGCTGTTGTGAATATCGCAAGAAAAAAGGGGAATTCCTGAAAAGAGGCAATGAAACATCTAACTTACTCTGATATTACACAACAAAAATATTATTGATTTGCATTTATTGATTTGATCTGTATGCCACCCCACTAGCCATAGGCTCTCTGGGTGGCTCACGTCATTAATATCCATTACATCAAGACATAATATAAAACACAGAAGACAACAGACAATTAGTACAGTAACACTAAAATCATAAAGCAATCAAAATTCAATAACACCAAGACACACAAAATAAAATAAATACAATACATAAACATAAACCAGAAATAAAACAAGAGGATTAAAATTAAAACAGGTTGGCAGCAGTGCAATTAACAAATATTAAAACAGCAATAACGAGGGTCATCTAATCAAGAGCTACAGAACAGATGTGTCTTTAGTTGGTGCCTAAAAGCCAAAAGGGTAGGCGCCAACCGCACCCCCAGTGGGACTGAGTTCCAGAGCGTGGGCACCACGTTTGAAAAAGCTCTCCTCCTAGCAAACTCCCGGCTCACTTCACTGGGGGAAGGAGCATGGAGGAGGGCTGCAGCTGAGGACCACAGTGGCCCGGCTGGTACAAATGGGGAGAAGTGCTCCGTTAGATAACCTGGCCCCAAGCTGTTTAGGGCTTTGGATGTTATTGTAAGCTCTTTGAATTGGGCCCAGACGCCAACCAGCACCCAGTGCAACCTGGGCAGGATCAACGTGATACGCGCAAGAGCACCAGTCCTAGTAAGCAGGCATGACGACACTTCAGCCCAAACCTCCAGATAAACTCTCCCAGCAGTCTCATGCAGATGTTGAAAAGCATGGTGCAAAGGCCATGGCACAGAGGAGCAGTTCCCCAGCACCACCATCTGGAGACGGTCGGCAGGGTAGGCTCGGAACCATCACAAAACGGTGCCCCCAACTCCCAACCCAACCCACCTCCTCAGAAGGATACCATGGTCAATGGCATCAATAGCCGCTGAGAGGTCCAGAAGAATCAATGGGGTGATTCTCAGACGTGAACTCTGCCTGAATACACAACTGGGTCTAGTGAGTGATCTCAGGAAATCATTTAAGGGAGCAATCCTACACCCACTTTCTCAGGAATAAGCTCCAGTGAACTCAATTTGAGTTACTTCTTAGTGGGTGTATATAGAATCACATGGTCAGTTATCTTCTCTGCTCAAAGGCTATGGCAAGAGCTCAAATGCACTTGCCAGCTGAAGTGATCCAAATTTGGTTTGCAGTTTGCCACTGAGGCTAATCCTCCAGCAGATTCCACCACTGCTCTGTACTAGCATGTCAGGCCTCCGAACACAAGACTTCAGTCCCACCTAACCTGGAAACATGCCACGTTGAGATCTGTTGCCCCCGCGAAGCTGTGCAGGAGCACCGCATTAGAAAGCAAGATGAACATGGTGGCAAAAAAATTGCCATTATTTTCTTCGTTGCACTTTCAAAACCTGCACTGTATCATCTGGGACACAGAACATTTCGGACGTTTTCTGAAATGCTCCAACTTATTCCGTTCCATCTCAAAATATTCACCGAGGCAGGAAGTTCTGTACTCGGCTCAGGACAGCCACCCATCCTGGGTCCTAGCAATCACAGCTGCATGGCGCGTAACCCCACTGAAATCCTGACAACTCCAGAATGTGTGATGGGTTTTTAGGAGAGCAGGTTTGATGCCACAGGGACAATCACCAGCCTCAGACCAGGAGAGACGAAAACTCTCCTAGTATATAGGGAGCAACAACTTTTAATGCCCACATTTGCAGTTCTGAGTTCTACACATCTGCACAGCCCACGAAGTGCGGATTAATATTCTCCTGACAGAGTTAATGAATATGAGGGACCAAAGTTCCCAGCCAGGCTAGTTGAAAGTTAGCTACATACTCTGCCTGGCTTTACAGCATGGGCCGAGCCTTTCCCAAAGCAAGCAGGAATCGCCCACACACCTGTGGCAATGCGTGGCTTGCATAACAGGAACTCAAGATCAGAGTCAATCTGCTCAGGAAACCAGGAGCATTCAACCTTTATCCTACGTAACTCCAGCACGGGGTTTGCCAGCCATGTTTGGCAGCACGTTACTTCAGGTTATGCGGCCTGATTCAGGGACTGGGATTCAATCTGTCCAGAAGGAGCGATGCTCCCCTAAGATCTGTTCAGGTGGCGATTTGTGCACTTGCACAAGTCTTTGTGCCCTAACTGTTCCAGAGTTTTTCTGACTTGGAAATAGTTATCTAGGCTTTGGCTACTTCTTGCTAATACTATTGCAATGTGCTCTATGAGCTGGAAGATTCAACTGGTGCAAATCAGAGCATCCGGAGGTCACTAACTGCTCCCTAGCTCAATTCAAGGTAATAGTTTTTAGCTTAGAACCTGCCTATGCAAGAGACACCTGTCTTGTTATGGACCTGCCTGGGTATTAAGATCCTCAGGAGAGACGTTTTCATGGGCGACATTATCGTCAGAAGCAGGTTGCTGGGTTTCTCCTGTGTTGCCTCCCAAATGCAGGAAGCACTTCCTCAAAACCTATGTCTGCCCTCCATTCCCTTGGCTTTTAGAACTGGCATGAAGAGGCATCTTTTTAAGCTAGATGTTTAAGTCATGTAGTTTTAAAGTTCCAAGGTTTTAATTATTTTAAGACTTTAATCAAGTACTGTATGTCAATTCAGCATATTTTTATCATATTAAGCAGCAAGAGACGGCACTGGTGAGTTTTGGGGGCGGGGGAGAGTTAGAGAGATGTTTGGTTTTTCCACTTTCAAGAGACCCCTGCACTTCTAACCCCCATAAATGTGAAGGGCCAACTACACGTGATCTGGCTTACATACACATTCGACTTAAAGACGAACTTCCATTTTCTCAAGTATGGAACTCAGAGACTGCCTCTACTTGCACTACTCTGCTGTAATGAAGCTTGCCATAACACACACTTGAAAACTTCAAAAGAGTAATGTCTGTAACAGGTAAGTAGTCAATTCGAGAATGTACATGCTTACAGCAGTGACTTGTTTATCAAGTCTTATCATTGCTTTTGCAGCCGCTAAAGAGACTACCAAATCAAGCAGAGTAAAACTGTCTACGTATTACATTTGAGAAACTTCAGCCACCACAGATACGGAATATCTCCTTTCTCTTTGTAAGCTGCTGATGTGGAATTTTCTGACAGGAGTAACGAAGAAAAGGGAACTGCAGGTTAATGTCACACAGATTAACACAGGTTGCCACATGAATTGGAGGCAGGGAAAGCCACCTGCCAATCCTATAGTGATCATTAACTCCCACAAAAACAATCTTTCCTGATGCATTTTGGAAGAAAACAGGGGACTTAACTCTAGGATTAGTCCCTAGCAGACTTAAAGTGTTTGTGTTACTGCCTACCCTATTTTCCTCAGGCACACAATGTGATCTTCGCATCTTCAAGACAATGATTCAAACCTGGGCTTTGCCAGTCAACCATTCTCAACCTATCTGAAAATCCGTAAAATGGGAGGTTTGCTGCATTAAAGGGCACAATCCTGTGCATGTTTATACCGAAAGAAGTCCTGCAACTTCCAGTTGGATGGAGCATGCTTGAAACCACGGGACTTTTTTTGCCTGAACATGCACGGGACTGCATTCTTGATTTTAAACAAAATCTTTCAAACGGCATCAACACCACCACTCACTGCTGCTCCTGCGCATTCTCCAAGGGCAAAGGTTGCTACTCTATTACCAGCACTGAAAAACAGGGCATTCTGAGACACTTGACTGCTTGTATTTCTGTGAAGTATCAGCATCGGAGAAGCCTCCTCTTTCACATCTGCAGACCGACAACACAGAGGAGCTGTATGATACGCTTGCAAAGAGCACAGAGGGGCAGTTAAATACAGACCAAAGAGAACTGCTAGAATGGAAGATGCTCACTCAGAAGAATGGTCTTACCCACAGGCCATGCCGATCTCATAAGATCCATTTCTGATGCCACCTAGAAATAAAATGATTTAAATTGAACCGGGTGGACGCCACACACTTATGCGATAGAAACAAAGAGAGAGATTGAGGTTGGGGAAAACAGCTTGCCCCTTCTCTAAAATGAAAATCATTTCAAGAAAGAGCACATCTCAGCAAAGCTGATTTATTTAGCTAAAACTGATGAAAATAATATTCTGGGACCTCTACGGAAAGAAAGTTATTGTCCCAAGGAAATAGGCTCCTGCTATCAATAGGTATTACAAGACAAGTGACCCAGGAATTTCACTTTAAAATGTCAGCTTTTGTGCAAAACCCTGCAAAACTTCAAATATTTGCTTCAAATGTGAATAATTTCATGCTAAACAGAAGCTATCACTTAGCTCCTCTTGGGTTTCTTAAATGACAAATTTGAGCACAGAATAGACATGTCTTCCATGCTGGAAAGCTGCCATCAGCCCCACTTCTTACCAGCTATGTTGATCACTGCTTGCAACCCTGATGAACACTGCCTGTTCACACACGACAATGGCACTGTCTCGGGGATGTCACTGAAACAAGACACAAACAAGGCGATGCATCCGCACATGAACAAAGTTGGAAAAACATTTGGCGCAGCCAATTCTGACACTTTCTAGATTAAGTAAGTTTAGGGCCTCCTTATGTTGAGATCATCTCAGCTTGCTATAGGAGTGTCTCTTGATAAGATGCACAAGCCACAACAGAGTCAGAGAGCCCACAGCAAAGTTAGTGGATCTGATGCAGTTTGGGGACTGATGCCTAAATATTATGGTGGCAGAACGCCAAAAGTTGCCTCATACGAAACATCGGCCATCTAGGTGACTACCACTGATGGGATTTCAGGGAAGTGTTATTTCCTGCCTTGCCTGGAAATGCCAAGGACCAAACCTGGGACTTTCTCCATGGAAAGTCATTTCTACCATCTCTCTACCGCTCTTCCTGAAGCCGTGGGACAGGCATAAAGGCACAAAGCCCGAGTGCATTGCTGCACAGTCAAATGGCACGCAGAAACCTGTGGGGACCATGACTTGATCATCCCTTCCTGGCTCAGTCCACTTTTTAAAGGGCCCGGCAAGTGGGCGTGTGACCCCAAAGACCTACAGCAACTCTGCCAAGTGAAGATCCCTGAAATGGGAGTATGACACTCTGAGTGCATCTTCAGGGGCTGAGACTCCAGCATAGGTGCAATTTCCCATTCGCAACTTCCCTGTGTGGTCCGAGAATGAGGCTCTGCCTTGCCTTTCCCAAGGGTGCCCAACCCCACCTTCTGCAAGCCATGCGCAGCAGCCAAGGTAGCCACGAGCTGCTGGGAGGTGGGGAAGAAGAGCAGCACAGCACGGATGGTCTCACATACACAGTTTCACTTGGCCTCTTCTGCTGTAGCCTGGGAATCATTCAACTTGCGCTCTCGCGCTCTCCCTCTCTCTTGCTCTCGCTCTCCAGCCAATCCTTGTTGTATTCTCTTACCCCCTGACGTGAGGCCGTAACTCACGTCTCCAATTAACTCACACAGCAGCCGGCAATAAAACTAAAGACTTTTATTACTAGCAACTACAAGATTTACGGTTATTGCAGGCAGATAAGGAGCTATAGCGAAGAGCTCTATGCAGCTCAGTTGTCCCCTCCTTTCTAACTCTCTCTTTTCCTAACTTCCTAACTCAGGAAAAGCCATGAGGATTTCAATCTCCTCTCGCGTCTCTCTGCACGTGGGTTGGACAAACTTCTCTCTCTCCTTTGTCTCAACTGGTCTGTCTCCTCCTAAGTTGCGCATCTCCTATAGCTCCTCCCATGTCCTCTTGTTCTCCAGCAATCCGCCCAACAGCTTCAGAGTCAGGTGGGGGGGGGCAACCTGCTCAAAAACCTCAGAATCAGGAGGCGGGGAAGCTATTCGCTCAGAAGCCTCAGAGTCGGGTGCCAGAGGGGCCATCTGTGTCATGGGCACTAAGTATAAATCTCCCTGCTCTAAAGCCCGATTCTCACCGTGACCCTGCGGCCTTCTCGCGCGCGCTAATGCCTCCTCCGAGTCATTAGGTACGACACCCCCAGAGAACACAATACGTAGTTTCCACCAAGCCTCTTGCCCACTCCAAAATGTATGACAAAGTTCATCAAGCAGGACAAATACAGCTCCAGCTGAACCGAGAGTCAAACTGGAGCATAAACTGGCAGCCACAGAATCTTTGCATGGCAGCCTTTCCAACCTGGTGCCCTCCAGCTGCTTTGGGCTCCAACACCCGCAGGGCATTCTCGGGGGGCTGGTGGTGCTGCAGTCTGAACATTAAAAGAGTACTAGGCGGAGGTGCCTCTTAACTTAGCAACAGTGAACAGGTGCCAAATACCTCAATTCCAGAATGTTAAATAGGAAAGTTCACCTTAGAAACTGTCCAATTCTTGCTGTTATAGCTCCAGCACCAGGTTGAAGCACATTTCCTAATTGCAAAGAGATTAATCCACTTTCATTATCGGCAGTTCAGAGATACCTCCAGATACAAATGACAGCAGATAGCATTTTTAGAAATCAGATTACAGCCCGTCTCCCTGCCCAAAAGAAAGACCCAAATCAATTCAACACATATAACCACATTAATGATTACAGCCGCATGAAAGAAGAGGAACAGATCGAAAAGAATGCATGTCAGTGCAACTTCAAAATGCATTATTTACCAACACAAATATCTTCCAGTTTCTCAGGGCTCAGATTTAGGTCTTTAAGGACAGCTGTCATGACTGCCGCAAGGAGCTCATCTGGTGTTGTATCCTGGAAGGGAAGGGAAAAGAGAAAATCTATTCACTTGACTGTTCTGACAGGCCAACTCCTCACTGTGGGCTAGACCTGCTACCTGCAAATAGGCCTTTATGCCTTTCTACTACTTTATACAAGAGCCCCTCCTCCCCGAGAAAATGCCCTCATGTCTTCAGCACCCAAGAGCCCCATTTCTTTTCACAATCTTCTTTTACCACTACGTTTTCAGTCATTACTGGAAATACGAATTGGATCTCAGGTATTATGCCCTTTCTTTAAACATAACCCATCCAAGACCATCAATCATTTGGGCCAGTCACAGACTTTCAGCCCAACCTACCTCACAGAGTTGTTGTTGTGGGGATCATACTGAGAAAAGGAGGAAGAGAATTATGTGAGCCGCTTTGAGTTTGTTGTAAGAAAAAAAAGCAGGATATAAATCTAATAAATAAATTTAGCTATCATACCCTTCTTGTGGGTTTCTTTGAAGTATCCGGGCAGCTGCTTGAGCAATCTGGTATAACAAAGTACTTTGGACTTCTGCTCACTCTATAAGTTTGGGAACTACCCCTCTTCTGAACAGCTGCCCCTTGTCAAACCTAGCCTCCATTCCCCCATCTCAAAATTTAAACTGTCAACTTGAGACAGGGACCCTTCTTGTAGACCACACGACACACACCTAGCTGCCATAGTCAGAGAAATCTACCCCTAAGTAGCAGCTGTTCTTCTCTCCTAGTCTGTCTTTCAGTGAGTAGCAAAGTCTCTTACTTTATCTAGTTTTCCACGGGAAGAGAGTAATGCATAGACCAGAGAGGACCCCTTTATAATGCCCCACAGTCTTACAGGGAAAAGAACTGGCAGAAAGTATTTTAAAAAACCTTGGAATCTCCCAACCCATATTATGTCTCTCCTACTGTTTTTGTTTTAAAGATTCGGGGTGCAGAACTTGGGCTCTCCTTTTGTAAACTACATGGCATATTTTTAGATGCCAAAGAATTCCATGTCCTCACAAAGGGAGATTGCTGAACAGTATGAAGGGAGAATGTTGTTTTATATTCATTTTTCCTCTCGCTTTTCCCTTAGTTTTTCCACATGTTCTTACACAGGGCAGAATTAATACTGCACCAACTCAACCATCATATGTTGCAATCCATTACATAAAATCCATTCCAATGTGACTTAAAAATGAAACACCAATAAGACCAAAATAGAAAACAAGACAACCAGCTCAGAACTCAGTTCCAAAGCGTCTGGTTTGCATGAAGAATGTGCATAGTTCAGTCTCCAGTCCAGGCCAGAAAAGAAACCTTGCCAAAAACTCTCCTACCAGTCAGAGTGAGTGAACAGTGATCTGACAGGACATCTTCTGATATGCCTTTGATTTCACCCTGCCTCATGAGAGAAGCCAAATGGTCCCAAACATGCCTCGTCTCTTTCTAGGTAGAAAGTACTGGTTGCCATCAAGCAGCAAGTAATTCATTATGGCTCACTCATAGCACACCATGCCCTGCATGCAGAAAATCCCAGCTCCTCCATGCAAGACTAGGAAAAACTGCCTTAAACCCCAGAGCCACTGTCCATCAATATTAACTATTCTAGGCTAGACACACCAATGTTCTAACTCATATAGAGTAGTTCCCCGCACTCCTAATATCTGAACAGGCCAAAATTCTGCATTTAAAAGATTTATATATTTCTAACAGGTTGTTGCCCAATCAATGGCTTAAGGCAGAATCTCACCCATGTTCAGAAAGAAGTCCTACAACTCTCATTGTGCCCCAGCCAGTCATGCTGGAAGCTGAAAAGCTTTTCGCTCTGTTTAAACATGTATACGGCAAGATTGCATGCAAAGATTGCAACCCTATTAAGTTTGATATCAGTGTTGATGAGACTATGAAGTTTATTTGTTTTGGTACAGAAAGAATAACTTCTGTTCTAAAATAGACACAAATACAGGCTGCTTTAGTTGTACAGAGGATTTAATAAATTAGTATGAATTGTTATAACTCGTCGTTATTTGTTTTTCGGCGCCAGGCTAAGACCTTTTTATTTAAGCAACATTTTAAATGCTAAATACAATTGAATTTTATCTGGCCAGGGCGGCTTATTTTATAATGTGAGTTTTAATTAAGATTATTTTATATGGATTTTAACTTGTTTTATCTATGTTGTAAGCCGCCCCGAGGCTTCGGCGAATGGGGCGGCATAAAAATGTTTTAATAAATAAATAAATAAATAAATAAATAAATAACTCTCTCCTTAATATGCACTGAAATGAACTCAAAGCTTCCAGTTCCAGTTACAACATTTGGTGAACTAGATTAGAATGCACCTCATACTGATATATTAAATTATCTGAGCAACTAAGGGTACAATCCTACTCACGTTTAGACAAAACAGTCCTACAATTACCACTACACCCCATCCAGCCATGCTGGGAGTGGCAGACTGCACAGGATTTAATTATTAGTTTTATATCTTTTTTCTTACAAAGAACTCAACGCTATCTCTTTCTTCTTCTCCTGCTCCTCGTCTTACCCCCACAACAATCCTTTGAATTGGATTGAACTGAAAATCTTGTGACTGCCCCAAAGTCACCCAGTTGGCTCTATGGCTGAGCAAGGACTAAAACCGCCCAGAGAGTTCTGTGGGCTGTGGGGCGGTATATGAATGTAATAAATAAATAAAAGTAAATGAATAAACTCAGCTCACCTGAGTCCCAGACCCATGCTCTTAACCAATAGTAAATAAATAAATAAGACCACACAGTTTTGCCTGCTGGGAAGTACAGAAAAGTAACAGAGGACTATGTCAGGTAAATTAATTCTAAAAATAATAGACAAGATCTTCAGCTACTGGGCAGCACAGAGAAATATTAATTCATTATATTTTTCAACATACATAAACGAAAGAAACAAAAAGAGGAAAACGAAGAGATGAGCAGCACAGAAGAAGGAAGAGCAAGGCACGAAACAAACCACGGGGATACACTAATTCGCCGCAGGGAGCGTCGGCCGTCAGGCAGCGCGGAAAGGCCGCGCAGAAGCAGACACGCGCTCGGCGCGCATCCCCACGGGCGCCTGGGGCCCCGTACCCCGGGGGGGGGGCGCCGCCAAGCTCCCCTCACCTTGAAGCCCCCGCGCTTGGCCTTGGCGATGGGGGTCCGGCGCCCGTGCACCACCACCACGTCGTCCGCGCGCGGCCCCGTGCGCGCGGCCCCGAAGAGGCCCAGGCACGGGCTGGCGCTCGGCGGCCCCGCGCCGGACAGGTGCCCCAGAACGACCTTCACCCGCCTCATCCTGCCCCGACCCGACGCCGACGCGCCTCGGCTCGCCTCGCCCGGCCAGGCGCCGCGCGCGGCACGACGGGAAACGGCCCCGCGCAGGCGCCACTCAAGCTCCGGCCCGTCCGCGCGCGGCACGGCGGGAAACGTCCCCGCGCGCGCCGCCATCTTCCTCCCAGCGCGGGCTGGCTCCGCGAGGGGCCCATAGAGATTTGAAAAGTAAGAGGTGCACACAGGCCCTCATTTTTCTCTGCCCCTGAACTTTCAGTAAAAAATGAGGAAGCCTCCGGCGCACAGGGTGGGCTAAGCATATTGCGTGCGGCCCTCTGAATGTTTGGGCTCCCGACTCTTATAAGCTCCGGTTCACATATGCATTGGTGAGGGATCATGGGATTTGGAGGCCAAAAGATCAGGAGGGACACAAGTGCCCCACGCCTGACAGCGGCACATCTTTATAGTGAAATCTGTCCCCTGTTTTTACCGGAAAGCCGAGCGGGAAAGCGGGTCCTAGTTGTGACCCGACGTGCAAGCAAGAACTGAGGTGGTAGGTCTAACATTTTATCTCTATAGAGTTACCTACGCCCTCAGCAGGGCGGGACGTGCCGTAGCTCCCACCATGCAATGCGGGTCACCGAGCAATGTCTTCTGGGGCGCGTAGTTCTTGGTCTCCTTGGCTGCACTCTGTCTGCACAATTACCTGGGAACGAAGCCCACCGAAAGCAGAGGGGCTTGTTTTGGAGTGGGCTGCGGACGTGTGCGCAGGGCTGTCCCTTAGTGGGCTTTGCATGGCCAAGCCTTTGGACCAGAAAGCAGCAATGACTTGGAACGACGCATGATGAAAGTGAAAGGCGAAAGTGCAGCTGTACATTAAAAAAAAGCAAAAATCCGAAGTACAGAAGAACTGCACGACTTTAATGTCAACAGTGCAGGAACTGAAATTGTGAACAATTTTGCAAACCTTGTCATCAGTCCAAACAATATGAGACTGGGCAAGGTAGCAATGGAGGAACTAGAGAAGATCCTCAAGGGAATTGACGTTTCAGTGGAGACCAAGGTCAAGCTCCTCCACGCTACTGTATTCCTAATCACGTTGGATGGGTGCAAAAGCTGGGCAGGGAAGAAAGTTGACAGGAGAATGGATATGTTCTAATGGTGCTGGAGGAGAGCTTTCCAAATACCCTGGACCAACTGAAAGACAAATGAGTCCTAGAGCAAATCAAACCAAACTTGCCCTGGAAGCAAACTGATTAAACTGAGGCTGTTTTACTTCAGGCAGTGAGGAGCCTGAAGGCAAAGACAATCATGCAAGAGAAAGTCAAGAGGAAGAAGAGGAGAAGCAGAAGAGGAAAAAGTCCAAATATGAGGTGGATTGACTGTATAAAAGAAGCCAAACCCTTGAGTTGACTAGAGCTGAGCTCAGGGCAGGACTTTTGAGGGGGTGGGGTTCATCACAGGATTATCATAACTTGGAGATGATTTGATGGCACGTTTTGACAAAATATTATCACAAACATGCAAGCATTCCAACATGAAAGCCTTCTGGCGGACAGTCACTTAAAACACACCCACACGGACATGTATGTGTGAGTTAAATGAGCATAAAGAGTACCTTTGCAATGGTTATCAATACAGGCAAAGGAGGAGATACCAAAGTGGCTGTCTCTTAGGGCACCATGGAATCATGCTGCACTCCAGATTATGTTATAACCCATTTACAGCATGGGTTCCAGACACAAAAACTGCATTGAAAGCACCACCAGAAACAGCAAGATGCCAAAGTTTCAGTATCAAGCATCCACATCTGTACATGCTTGCACCACACCACATCTTGGGACGTATGAAAATTGGCAACCAATTCCTGGGATTCCTCACATAAAATGGGAAACACAATGATTCTAGGGAAATGATGTGTAGAACCCACGCAGTGTTGAAAGCGCCCTATTGTCACTCATGTTCCGCTGTCATTTTCAGAAGGGTACTTGGGTTCGTCTGTTAGGACAAACATGGCCCAAAACAAAGGTGGTGACATTTTAAGATTGCAAGATGCACCGTGGCCTCCGCTTACACAGAAATGGAGAGGATCCATATGCACATGAATGAAAACCAGCCGCAATAATTATTAGTTCTGAAGTTGCTGCAAAGTGCTTGCGTTTGCTGTGCCGAGCATTTCATTTCTTGTGTACATTTGGTCTCTGAACAGGAAGATCTGCCTTATTGCAGGGCCCTGAATCTCATGGTTAGCAGAGTTTGTGTCCTACCTGCACTTGCCAATCTATCAGATACAGGTCTCTGTGGACTTGAAGGTAGCACTATATGTATCTGGTGAACTCTTGTTGAGCCTTGTATTTAACAGCTTGTCTGGCTGTGAAAGGCATCAAGAAATTCTATGCTGACTGGGGCAGTGGGCTGGTGGAAGAGAACGTCTTCTACCTGGCTGCATTGTAGCAGGAGAACATCCTGTTGGCAAGCTAGCGATCAACACAGTACGCCGCTTACTGTGATAGGTTTATTTACAAGGCTGCTTTGGTCCACAAAGACACCTTTGAGCCTTTAATGAACCTGGAGAATTTCAGTCATTCTTGCAGATGGGGAGTTTCATGCCATCGCGACCACAAAGGAAAGACCACAGTCCACTGGAATGAAAGCTGGGGTGGCTAGCAGACCTATTGCAAAATGCAACCAGCAACAGGGAGGCCCAAAGGTGGTCAAACCACAACGAAAGCAATATACGATCACAAGGGGGAAATTTTCCCAGTGTTTTGGAAAGTTCCTTTGAAAACTTACCACCAGCAATGAAGAGCCTACAGCTTTCCTAAGAGAAAGATGTGATTTTTGGTCTTAGTAATTTGTTTTTATCTTACCCCTGCCCGTGATTTTGAACAATATGAGCTCAATATCAATATACAGATATGAGTAGTCATACATGATGGGTTTTTCCAGAATGAAACATTTCGCTCTGCATCAGTATGCCTTCTTATTCTCTCTCTCTATTAAAAATAAGAAATAGTCTCATCTTACCACAAAATTTAAAAATATTTTATTTCATGCATCAGGGAGGGGAGGAGATAAAAGCATTTACAGCATTTAACAAAGTACATTCAATGATGGGTCTTACATGCCCAAGAAAGCAGAAACTTTTTTTCTTTCCTATCGACATCCTTCTAGAGCTGTAATAATTTACAATATTTAAAATCATCCATACCATGGAGAGTATGAGCCTATCAAGAATACAGAGCTTTAACAGTGGTATTTATATTATGATAAGGGATTGAAAAGTGGGCAGTCTTAAAACTAGGTTTCTGCATGCAGCCCATGCATCGTTTGTTTATGGTCTGGCTTAGCACGTAATGCCCCGTTACTTACTGGTGGGTCGAGGTGAGAGCTTTTAGACACATCACTGCACAAACAGTACAAAGGGGTATTGTACTTTGCACGTATGCGAGCAAAACTCACATCTCTGTTGCAGACTTCATCCTTCCCTCAGCTAAGACGTACAGGAAATGAATGCATACTTCCTGATTTTAATGGAAACAAAATGGGCTTTGTTAATTTCTCATTGGCCTGCTCTGATTCTCGGCAACACGGACACCTGCTTTTCAACCTGAACACTGATGCCTAGTTTCTTATGCCCAGATCCCACACTGTTTAAGCCATTTAGTGTATGGGGCAACAGTGGCCCTATTTTGAAAGGCATCCAAAGGTCAAGTTTCAGAACGCAATACTTTAAAATGAGCTCATTACCAAGTTCATTCGGTATTATTCCCAGCCCCCAAAATATACTTTTATAGCTGCCCCTGCAGACTAATTCACAGGAGACCACCTTGCTCAATTAGAGACTCAAACCCCAACTTCTCCCCAAAACCATTTTGGTTTGTACCACTTGGATGACTACAGAAAAGGAACCCTGGAGTGCTCCTCTTTGATCGTAAGAATGGGGGTGCGGGAGGATTAATTTTGGACTGGGGGCAGCCCCTGGGAATGGCTGCACATTCCGTATTTGACATGCAGGGGGTGAACATTATGAAGGACTAATAGCTCTCTTGCCTTCTGTTTGGAGTGGAGCACTGGTTCAATGGCCTTTTTGCGCCTGGTAACGGTAAGGGTCATGGGCGCACCAACACTATGCACTTAAGGAAGGGCACGGTTCTATGCATGCTCAGACAGAAAAAGTCGCACAACTCCCAACATGGTTGGTTGGGGATTGCTGGGAGCTGTGGGATTTTATTTCCGTCTAAACATGCATAGGATTGTGCTCTAAACTTGGGGCAGATTTAACTGCAGCGGCCTGCCAGTCAAGGAACCCTTGGAATCGTAGATCTGTGAAGTAAAAGCACCTGTAACAAACATTCCCCAAGTTTGCCAAACTACTGACTCTCCTAACTTGTGGGGAAAAACCCAACCGTGACTCATGTAATTTTATGTCAGTTCAAATTGGGAGTGCAGATAAGGTCTGTGAAGTGGCATGCGCTGAATTCAGTTTGAGGGGCAGATCTAGAAAGTGAAGACAATATACAAGTTCACTTTTTTCCTGTGCAAGGAAGAACAAAATCACAATCCATATACAAGATGAAGAGTCTTGCGAATGAGATTGCAATGCCTTCAAAAGCAGAATTCCTGCCAAATAGCAGGATTGTCCCTCCGGATAAGCTATGCATTTTCTAAAAATACGTACAGGGTATATACATTGCTTTGGATCGAGGCTCGGTCATATTTAGAGTAGAGTCTTTGAAATACATGGGATTTAAGTTAGTTAGTTAAGCCCGACTGACTTCACTGAGCCAATTCTAAGTATGACAAAGTCTGGGTCCAACCTATAACCTCGTTCTTTTGTCTGCCTTGTTCTCTTCTGTACATCTGAATCACCGCAAGAGAGTGTGATAAAATAGAAGCAAAGGCACCTGAGGAATAATTCACATCTATTTACATATAAACAGGAGGGTGGGGGGGAGAAGGTCAGAAAAACACATTGGTGAGAAGGGCCCAGGATGCTACAGCAGGAGGGACCGCCACTCTAGGCAATTGATCGCTGAACCCCTTCAGAGAGCTCCATGTTTCATAAGATCCAGGTCAGCTGAATGAGATTCGAAAGAAAAGGAGAAAAAGAAGAAGAAAGTGAACGTGGAGGAAGATAAAGGCTGCTGCTGAAGCAGTGGCTGTTCAGGGCACAATCCCTTGCATGTTTAGACAGAAAAATTCTGACAACTCCCAGCATGCCCCAGCAGCTGGGAGGATGCTGGGAATTGTTGGGTTTCCTTCTGTCTAAACATGCCTGATTGTGCCCTCAGGCAATCAGATATCTTGGTTTAATGATCCTTCAGCTCATTTTAACCTTTACTCCTACATTCAAGGGTTGGATTGAAGACAAAAGTGAGTTGAGAGAGAAGCAGAAAGCTCTGGTAATATCAGGGCTTTCCCCTTCATTTCCCTTCGATCATCTTTGGGCAAGTGACCTTGTAAAGGAGAACTGGGTGGTTCTCTTTCCGTGGCTAGAGTCCACCATACCACAAAGGGCCCAGTAAGCTGCAAGCGACTCAAAAGAATGGCAGAGATACGGCTGACACACGGAAACGTGTGGTCAGTGCAGAAAGGGTTCAGTAAATGATGGCAAGAGGCCCACTGATAACCTCCGACTCCTGAGTGCATGAACAAGGCCTCAGGCACTGTCTCACAAACTCTGTAAACAGATCTTTTAAAAGTAGGTCATGTTATGGCCCTGCCCATGCAAAAGCATTCGCCTTCTGACATTTCCATCCTCCTGCATTAACACTTCCCCAAACACTCCCTATGGACTGAGAATTAAATCCAGATGGCAAGGACTGAAACCAGCACTCTGCAAATTAGTCAGGGGGAATGTGCGTGTGTGGAAATGGTAACCAAGGAATCACTCTTCTTAAAGAACCTAGTGAAAGTTAACAAAAAGTTCAAGGGGTTCCTCTCAAGTCAAGATAATTCGGTTTGCTCCACCTTAAGTCAAGGCCTTTTGCATCCTATCTGCTTTACAAGAGTGTCAGTCCCTAGCTGAAGTGAATTTATGGCACGATCCATATCCATTAAAATAAATGGCATATAAACTGCAGCCTTGGCCAGGACCAGCTGCGTGCAGCTTCTGTTCAAGTGCACTGTGCAAATTAAAAACCAAAAAACCAAAAGGCAACTGGTACAAAATTCAGCATCCAGAGAAGTCTTTCTTGTTTTGGTCTCTGTGACTTTCAAGATGATCCAGAAAATGCATGTCCATTGCTTGATGGAGTCTCAAATGCAGAGAGCACAGAGAAACTTAAGCAATGTTTTGAGGTGCTGCTTCTACCCTGGGTGGAGAAGACAAGGTGCAATGAAGCAAAATCTATGCCGAGCACACACATCTGCTTAAAATGCACAACTGAGGTCACAGAATCTAGTTTATACCTTGATACAGAACCTGGATTGTGGGGGGTTTTTTTGGGGGGGGGGGTTGGTGTCAGAACAGGGCTACAGGGCTGTTCAAACATGCCTTGTTCCCAAGACCTGCCAAAGCGGCATGCAGTGGCATCGATCCACAGAGAAAACGGCTGCCAGGCCAACTTTCTTTGCCTCGACTGGCTGACAGTGCGCTGGTTCTCCTGCATTTTGGACCAATCAAGACATACCTGGGGCTGATATATTGCTCTTGGGCAATGAAAAAAGACATTTCCCATGTAAAGGGAAGAGTCGTCGCCCACTTAAAGGAATCTTACTCAGTTCTACGAATTTAGCTGATTATCAACCCATTCCACTAAATCTGCATGAATGTTCATCTTTAAAAAAGTTATGCAACCATGCCCGTGTGGCCGGTGTCTCACAAGAAGGGATGACGCACTCTTTTTCCCAGCCAAATTTCATGACAGCTCGGTGGGCTGAGGAGAGGAAACAAGGTTGTGGCCATTGTAGTGACTGGGAGGTATATGAAAAAAACAGGTATGGGGGGCCTCATCAGCTGCCCACTCTGCAACGAAACGTTGCAGCTCTGGCAGTGAATGTTAAAATGTTACTTCCACATTGGGAAAGTGCTTTGGACCACCTCCGCAAGGGAAACTAAAAGTTCTCCGGGCGCTTAATGCCTATGATGGCAGAGCCAGGCAGAAGTGTCCATATTCCTCAGCAGCCCGTTCCTTCAGGTACAGAGCAGGAGCGGAATGGGGCAGGTGCCATCCCACCAACATCTAAACAAAGGGCTAGCAAATATTTCCATTATAGCTGGATTGGAAATCACGGATTCTCCTTTTTGGCCCAAGGACAGAGAAATATCTCTGGAGGAATACACACAGCTCCATGTTTTTGTAGTGTTCTGTTCAACACGATCCCTTTGCAGTCATATCCCTGACTCGAACGTGTGGGGTGAGATCATTGTCTCCCCCACCCTCCGATTGTAACGACCACCCAAGATACAAAACAACCCTCTTTGTTCTTTTGCTCCCAACAGGTAAGTTTTATGTGCACCGGACTTCCTGCTCTTCATCATGGCTTCTCCCTTTTCGGAGGGCAGTGGGCATGCGCCACTGCTTTTTGAGCTGGATTTTCTTTCTCTGTGCTTCATCCCGGGTTCCACTGCAAGGGCCACCTGTCTGGCAACAAGGACGGACAAAGCCAGTTCTGTAGTGCGAATGTTGCCCCTTTCGCTATTTTTCTGCCTATTGCTAGCAGCACCTCCATTCTTAAGGTCTTTCCATCTCGCAGACACCACAAAGTCAAAATGGCGGAAAGTGCAGCGCAGCGGAGTGTCCGACACGGCATGACTGACAACAATGGCAGCACATATGAGAATAACCCATACAAGAGACTGAGGTTGAATTTAGAAGTGTGCGAGTCTTTTTGGTTGCGCACTCCACCGTTATTGTGGGAACCTTTGGTCTTTCGTTCGCGCCCACGGGGAGGCCTGCTAGAGGCTAAAGCTCACGAAAGTGTGCCTCAGAAGGTCTTCCGCCGTGGGTCTCCGCTTCTCCTCCACGAAGATCAACTTGAGAAAGCTGCGACAGTAATCCGAAACGCCGTCTGGAAGCTGGGGCTTTGTGGGCTGCGTGGCAATCTTGAAAATGGCGGCCATGGCTTCAAATTCCGCCCAGGGGGGCTTCTCGGTCAACATCTCAACCACAGTGCAGCCCACGCTCCTGCAGCAAAGCAAGGGCGGAATTAGACTAGGAAGAGTCCAGGGCCACTGCGACAGAACTACTGTGCTTTCTAAAGCACTTTTCGGCATAGGAGAGGGACTTTGGGCACATGCCGATTCGTGCTTGGATGGAAAAAGGGGTGCAACTCCCAGCCTCAGCTACTGTGGCTGGGAGTTGTAGGCTGCATTTTGCAGTCTAAACACACATCGGATCCTGCTCTTGTCTGATTTTTCCCTCCCAAAAATCACGTAAGGAAAGTGAGTTGGAGAAAAACTGGTTTGTCAACAGAAGGGAATTGTCATTGCAGGGTTTATATCAGGTTTGACATCCTCGAGTCAACACACTGATGGCAATACAGGCTGCTACATTAATGATCTCTCAGCACGTGGGTTCTCAGCTTCCAAGTTCAGACTCATATTTAAGTCACAATCCCTGAGGCACTATGTGATTTGCTAGCTATAATTCACTACATGTATGAAAAAAGGATCCAACAGGATTCTGAAAGAGGTAAAATTAAGCTGCGCAAGTCCCTTTGGGGAAAAAAACATGGTGAGTGCTGTCAAAAATTCCCTTTAAAAAGGAAGCAGAGTTTTGACAGCTGGAGTCACACTGGACAGCTCTCACAAAACGAGGGTGCTGTCACTTCTCCACCTTCCAGAGCAGCTAGAATTTCAGGAAAGGGTGGAAAAATGAAAGGACCCTCAGAGAAGCTCTTGGTTCAAAGAACAAAACACAACTCAGAACAAACCCTGCCTTCACTATGAAAGGGATGATCAGCAGGCATCCTGTTTGGACAAAAAACTGCTTGCAGCTTTGATTCCTCTTGACAGCTTGCCTTTTCGATAGCTGTCAAGACCAACTAAACTGAAAAATAATGCTCTTCGGAGTTGGTCTGCTACACTGACAACAAAGATCCCCTGGACATGGCACAAACAAGGCACGGGACTTTGGACTCGTGCGAACAACTGTGCACTTGCACCAGTAATCACTAAAACAACAAAAGGGCGCATTTTTAAAAATTGGCTGATAAATGCATGACACCTGCTGCACTGTGTCACTTGGGCACTCAGAAGGGGCTGCCATGAGCTGTCAAGCCTGAGATTGTGTTTTCCAGTCTCTGGGGAAACAACCCAGGAGGAGTAAAAGAAGTCACGGTGAGTGCAAAAGGCCTGATGTCCACGGCAGGAGAGGGAAGGCAGGTTGGTCTCTGCCCAGGATCTGCTACGATGCTCGTGGGAGGAGGAGCGGGCAAGCCATGGGACACCCTATCAGCTGTCTGGCACGCTGTGGCCTGCTAACCACCAGCCCTCTGTGGCCAGTTGCCAGGGTGGGCTGCCTTGCTACACAAAGTGTAAGAACCCCAACCATTTCAGCAACGCCACCCCCACCCCGGCCTCAGCGAGGGACACCGCTTACCACACGTCCGCCTTCCGTCCGTATCCTTCCCCACTGATCACCTCGGGGCTCATCCAATATGGAGTCCCCGTGACAGATTTCATCCCCGTTCCGGACATGCAGATGGTCTGGATGCGCTTGCTGGCCCCAAAGTCTCCCAGTTTCACGTTCCCAGCAGAATCTCTCAAAATGTTGGCCCCTGGGGAGGTAAGAAATGGCCTAAGAAGAAAGGACTTCTGAAACCGGAAGCCAGCAAGTCCGCCATAATGATATTCCTGAAGGCTGCTGAACAAAATAAGCCCTCTTTCTCCAAGAATGCTGGTACCCAGGACTCGAGACGGAATAACATAGAGAGAGGATGCGGAACGTCAGCTCTCCTGGAGGGCCCCACCTGCTCCACCAGCCCTGCTTTCCCACAACCCCCCACCGTGCGGTGGATTCCCATCTTTTGTGCACCTTTCCCCACCCTAAAGGTTGCAGTGGCTCTTCGTAGCCTTAGTTCCTGGTGGGAAACACTTGGGTTGGGGTTGCCAAGGCTGCTGTGACCACGGGGGGCATTTGAGAATTGGAAGACATGCTACGGACACCACCCCAAACAGCCTAATGGGAGGTTTCCGTGTCTGGCAGTTGCATCTGGGGACCCTACACGGCATCCTATTCAGCCGAAAAAAGGGGAAACGGCCCATATATATTGGACTCAGCAACATCTCTTTAATAGGGGCATGTCTAAGTTGGCTGAATGCTGGCAGGTGGTGTTTTGCCATGTCCAGTAGTTGGTTCCTTTTGGAAAGCGTTACGCAAGACACCTTTTGTACTGGAACAGCCTTCAATATCCACTAATGTGCAAACTCGTTTCTATTGACCTGCCTGATAGAAATTAACAAACGGAAGGGGAAATGGATTCTCTGTGCCCTTTGACGGCTAAAAGGCCAATATGACAAAATTGGCAGAATAAATTGGTAGAATCATTTCTTATAATGCAACGGATTGAAGTCCTTTGAGCGCTTCCAATATCTGATTAGGTGGCCTATATAGGCTGCTTTCAGAGAGTTTTTTGGATATTTGGTCTGCTTTTGTTGACATGGCCAGAAGGTTAAGTGCATTTTATATGCTTTGGATATATACAAATCCATATATCTATATTAAAACATGCTAATAGTCTTGCCTTCGTTGAGTTTGGCTCCACCCAGCACCAGAATGTAGCCCAAAACAGAATGTGGTTCTGCACCCTGAGAGGTTCATGAATGGTGGTAATTCCAAACTCAACAGCTGCATCTCCCCAGTATACTGTCTCTGCTGTCGTCCAACAGCATGCAGCCCCCACCCTGAGAATAGCCAGCTGTAGGGGTTCTGAGCAAACCTTCGACTCCCCGCACAGCAGCTTCATTTCTTTCAGCAGTCTATGGCTGACTCTTCCCCTTTGACAATTAAAACCTTGTTTCGATTAAGCGCGTTGCAGCAACAGCTCAGCCAAGGGCCACAGGCGGTTAGGCCTGAAAGCCAATAGATTATACACATTAGCTCCTTTTTGGTACCAATATTATGCTCAGGTTTTGCAACAGGTCTTCTTGGTTTATGTAAAATGCTCCTGGGCTCCGTGAATTTTGAGCACCTTTGCTCTTTTCTCCTTAGCTCATCCACCCAAGCCGAAGTCTCCTACCTTTAATATCTCTGTGTACAATCATGTTGCTGTGAAGGTAGAAAACGCCCTGCAGGATCTGCCTGGTGTACTTCCTGGTCACGTTCTCCGTTAGGGCCCCATAGGCCTTCAGCTGGTCTTTGATAGAGCCCTGCAGAACGAAGGGGACAAGGCTTCGTTGACGAACGAGGTTTTTCTATGTGTGCAAGGAGCTGATTCCGAGCGTCTGGTCAGAAACACGCACAGCAAATACATGATGTCTCGCACAGCTGCAGTCTGTGTTGACGGTGAAGACGTGAAGGATGCATTGATGGCCTGGAGGATCTGGCTTGTGCCAGCTGGGCAGGGAAGGTTACCTGAAGGAGCGCTTACATCCATATATGCCCGGCCGCCCCTTGAGATCTGCGGGAGAGGCCCTTCTCCGGGAACCCTCCGTGAAAGAAATCAGGAGGGTGGGTACTCGGAGGAGGGCTTTCTCTGCGGTGGCGCCTAAGTTATGGAACGCGCTCCCCAGAGAGGTCCGCCTGGCGCCATCATTATTTGTTTTTCGGCGCCAGGCAAAGACCTTTTTATTTAAGCGGCATTTTAATTGTTAATATTATTGGATTTTATCTGGCCAGGGCGACTTATTTTATATTGTTATTTTTGCATTTTAACTTAATGTTTGTATATTTTTTAATTTAATGTTATAATTATTTTTTAACTTAACGTTGTAAGCCGCCCCGAGGCTTCGGCGAATGGGGCGGTATAAAAATGTTTTAATAAATAAAGATAAATAAATAAAATGCCAGGCCTGCTCATGCGCACGATGCCCTTAGGGCAAGGCAGCTGCCTCAGCGGGCAGGCCGTGCGAAGGTTTGCCTGGACGGATCGTTTTGAAGAACCCATGCTTCCGAGATTGATTGCCTGATTCATTTAAAACATTTCTATTCCGTCCTTTCCGGCGAACGGCTCCAGACAGCTTACAATGATTTAAAATTTTCACAATAATTAAAATGGTAAATATTAAATCAGTATAAAACAACATTTCATGAAACTAAGGGAAACAGAGAAAGGAGGAAGAGAATAAAATAGAAAATGCAGATCCTAGAACATTCAAAAACCTTAGTTATTAAAATGATGGTTGAATAAAAAGGTCTTTACCTGGCGCCGGAAAGAGTATAAAGTCTTTTTTTACCTGGCGCCAGGTATTCTAGCCACCAGAGGGGCAAAACCTCTTTCAGCTGTAGGGCAAAAACAGCAGCGCCAAAATCTTCAAATTGTCCGCATCGTTTAGTTTAAAGTTCTTCTTCTGACAGGAACGAAGCCTAAGGAGAGCTATTTCAACCTCTTAGAATGGGGAAAAATCGCACGAGAGCTGGGAAAACAAGCAGTCCTGGGCAGGGGAACCTCCTAAGATTGGGACCCCAAAAGGGCCACATTTGGCCCTCGGAGCTGGGGTTCTGCACCCCGTGATACACAAAAGCCCCGATGTGCTTAAAGGCTGGAGTTAAAATGGAAAAGTCCTGCGGTGATAGTACCCGAGTGAAAAAGCAACACTGTTTTTCTATACATTTTTGTTGTCAGTGGAGGAGGAAAGAGGGAGCCGATGACACCGTGCAGCCCATTCACACACAGGAAACCCCAAAACTTTCCAAAGGAAATGTAATGCTGAGATCAGGGTGCAAAGTATGGCCAGAAAGAAGGCGATGTTGGTGCGAGCCACGTCCTGCCACAGCTGGCCCAGTTGTTCCAGTTTAGCCAAAACGAGCTCACTGGGGACGTGCAGATACTATGCAGTAACAATACAATATTTTCTCCTTTCCATGCTTTCAAAAGCCAGGAGCTGTGAGCTGTAGGGCTGGAGAAAGTGAACACTGTGTACCGTGGTAAGCATGATTTAAATGAATGAGTAAGGAAATTATCTTTAAACCACAGGACAACACTACTGGCGCATTACGTAGGACCTTTTTAAAGGAAACACATATGCAATAAATAGGCATATGTGTATACCCTTCATTTTATTTTATTTTTTTTTGCTTTTGAAGAAAGCTGCCCTGGGACAGCTGAACACACACACACACACACACCCCATGATATTGGGGGTTAAGTGGTCCACTTTTGGCGCGCAGACTAGGACAGATGACAGTCCGCTCCATCGCAGGAGAAACTGTGGTCCTTGTCAGCAAAAAGGTTCCCAATCTTACAATACTCTGAACGCAAGCATTTCTACCAGCCCTTGGCTTTCCTGTGGCAAGAAGATGAAGGTTCTCCTTGTTCTACCGAAAGCACAACACACACCTGCAGAGTCCAGAGCGGAACACGGGGTGGGGGGAACCCCCGCGAGGGCACCATCGAACTGGGCTGACCTGCAGAAAATGCTGCATTGCCCATGGTTCCCGTGTCCACTGCCAAGATCTGCTCCAAATCAGACTGGGTCCCGGCAGTGCTCCTGCTTGCGGGAAGAGGAGCACTTTCAAGCTGTTTTGAGATGGGGAGAGTGGAGAGGGCACAGGCCAGAGGGCACAGGCTGTGGGTGCAAGTCTGGCAGTGGAAGGAGAACGGTGGCATGGACGGAAACGTGTGGAAGGGAGCGGCAGTGGAGAAGTTGCCAGAGGGCCTGCTCCTGAGGGTTTCTCATGGACTTGTGCCCCAAAAGCCGTCCACGTGGCCCGTCTGTTTCTCTGCAGCTCCTTCCCTCTGAAGTCAGGGGAGGGCCACATGGCACGGTTTCCAGCTCCCCCTGGAAACACGTTTCTCTCAGGAAGCTCTCCAGCCACCCTTTCATTACTTACGTTTTTAACAGACGGCACGCGTTTGAACATGTCATTGTTTGCCACTCCAGAATGGGTTTAGGCAGTAAATAATACATAAACACTTTGTTGGGGGCTACACTGAACAATCAGGCTCTGGATTTAGCATGTTCACCCCGGTCCAGAGCCTTCCCAGCTGCAAATCCCAACACCTCTGGGAGGCACCACTGGTTTTGAAGGTCTGTGCTTTCTACAAGTCTCCAGGGGGGTTCCATACACTCGTTGCTGGGGAACATGGGCAGGAGGGTCCTGTTGCACCTATGGGCAGCCGGTTAGACACTGTGTGACTGGAATGCTGGACCCCACAGACTGCAAGCCTAATCCAGGCCCAGGCAGTTTCTGGCTCACCCCTGGCATGTATTCCACGAAGATGGACAGCTTCCTCTCCTCCGGGTCCCGCAAGCAGCCGTAATACTGAACTATCCGCTCATGGCGGAGGGTTTTGAGCAGCTGGATCTCACATTCTAAGGCATTCACCTCCTGCAATAGACAAAAAATAAGATGAAGATGATTAAGATGAAGAGGAGGAGGAGGAGGAGGAAACGGCTACAGAGGGAAGAGGAAGGCCTGTGGGCATGTCCAGGTTCTGCAAGGCATAGGGTGCAGACAGAGCTGGTATCAAGGACGCCATGAAAATCCTGATGTCTCAGAATCCAGCTTCTCTTCAAAACCCCAGAAGCACTGCTACAAAACAATAAACATAACACAGAAGGAAAGGAGAGGCATTTCCAGTCCCTGCTTGATCCCTTTCCTTGTTCTCTGGTTCCCTCTGAGCTACTCTGCCCCAGACAACGGTGAAACTTGGAAGCCTCATTGTCACCTCCTTCTCCTGCCTGCCACTCCAGGGCCCATCTGCACCCCAGTCCATGCTCCTGCTCTGGAGGAACGAAAAGTCCCGGAGCTCCATTCTCCTGCATCCTCCTCCTGCAGCACAGATCATGGGGCTCCCCGTAACTCAGCATGGGGAGCACGGCTCACTCGGAAAGTTCCCTGTGGGCGTAGCAGGCCAGTGACAATCCACCCAGTCCCCCAGACTGACACCCGGGGCTCTTCTCCAGGTGTTTTCCCCACCTGTGGCAAGACAGATGACGACTAGGGATCAGGGATGGGGAAGAGAGGTCTTTCTGTTTTGGCATCCGGGTGTGGAATCTCCACTGCAGGGTGACTTACTTGGCACCTATGTGGGTATTAGCCCAAGGCCAAATACCTTTTAAAAACATTCCTGTCATTTTAGAATAGAATAGTAGAGTTGGAAGAGGCCTTTCAGGCCCCCGAGTCCAACCACTTCCACATGTGGCCACCCATCCGGCTGCAGGCCTCCGCCTTTCCAGCTTAGCAAAGGTGAGTCAACTGCCTGTCAATCCTTTGATGCCGCTGCGAAAATGTTCACCTGTTTTCTGGGTGCCTGTTGTTTCATTCTGCCATCTGGTTTTTATTAAGTTTTAACAGTATTGGCTGCATTCAGCTGCCCCAGTAAGCCAAGGGCACCTGGCATTAAGGCCCAGCACACTGGCTCATGGCTCCTGATTGGCTCCTCCGACAAGTGGGCGTGGCATTCTGCCTTTGCCACGCCCCAGTCAAGCCATGATTGTAAGCCCTGGTTTGTTGCTGGCTCATGGCTCCAGCTTACTTAGAAGACAAGCCCGATGTTTCAGATGTCTGGATCAACCAACCACAGATGGAGGATTTCTGGTTTCTTGTGCTTGAAGGAGAAGCCAATGAGATGCTAGGAGGGTAAAGGATGCATCATTTCATGTTTTACTGTATTTTATTTTTATGCAACACTTGCAAGAAGTATTTTCTGCTGGAAGAGTAGTATGTACATTTCATGATAAAAATAAACGACTCCGGAAAGAACCTAGCTGTCCTCTCTCTCTGCTTGTGTACAAGCGTGTATGTGTACATATATACATTTGGGGTGAAGGTACACTTCATCCTCTCTTGTTCCCATACTTACTTTGCTCGTCTCTTGGCTGTCAGGGTCAAAAGGGACCTGTTTTACAGAGAGCTCTCGGCCAGTATCAACATCGTAGCAAAGGTAGACTTCCCCAAAGGCACCCCGGCCCAGCAGCTTCCCCAGCCTCCAATTCACTGGAGCTTGCAGTGCTAGAGGGAAGGCAGAAATAGCATCAGGAGAATGGCTCGCATGCCCCCAAATCCACAAAAACCCAGTCTCCAAATCTCTTTCGTGTCTACCAGTGGGGATGGGCAAAGGCTCAATCCTGGGATTCACCCAGATCCCGTGAGCATCAGCTCACTGCTCTTCGTGAATGTTTGCATTTGCTGCTCATTCTGCATGAATAGGAAAACTTGTAAAATGAACGGCTAGGGGAAGGTAGAAGCAGCGCTGAAATTAATCAAACTTGCGTATGTTTCCAAAACTGCACATTTCCCTCAGAGCATAGAGATTAACAAACCGCTCATTTCCATGCGGCCTGAGAACACTGCGCATGTTTTAAGCCCTCATGTTGCAAACGTGAAGCCACGTGCAGGAATCTGCAGATGGCGCAGGCCCTCGCACCCAACGGCAACCTACAGGGAGGCAACTTACTGTTCCTCGTCTTCGCAGGAGAGGAGCCGAAGCCTTGGAAGATTTTGTCACAGTTGTGCCACCATTTGTTGCCCCCGCGTTCCTCGTACCGCAAGGTGACCAGCTTGTTGTCTCCATTAAAGCTCTTTGTCCGGCTGGATGGCAGAAGCTGGAACAGGTTCTCTGGAGGAACGTAGCTCCGGGGAAATGTTCTTCGGCCTTCGGGAGAGGAGGACAGCACTCAGATCAAGAGGGTTGCAGGGGCCCACATGTATTTATTTTCAAAATTTACATCCAGACCTTTCTGTTTCTTTTTTTAAGCACTCAAAGACGCTTACATCATTCTCTTCCTGCCCTGCATCTTACCTCCACAACACCTGCAAGGAAGGTTGGGCTGAAAAACTTCTGACTGGCCCAGAGTCACCCAGTGGGCTCCATGGCTGAACAGAGGACTAGAACCCAGTTCACCTGAGACCCAGTCCCATGCTCTTAACCACTACACTTCACTCATTCGCCTGCTGAACTTTGCCCGAGAGCTTCTGTTTGCACACACTTTCCCACCTGCATGCTGAATGCATCCATGTGGGCCCACATTTGACCTCAGTTTACACCCAAAGTTGGGGAAAACTTTGACCTTAGATTGGACTAGCAGGTGACTTAGCTTCTCTCTCTCTCTCTCTCTCTCTCTTTGGTGAGGCCCAGTTCACTGCATGAGCCACAAAGATTTATTATTCTACATTAATTCCTCATCCCTCAAGACACTCCTGGAATGTTGTCTATTTTGTTTCCTTGATCACTATAATGCAGTCAGGGCCTCTTGTAGGAAAATGTAAGGCGAGAAGGGCTGCCAGCCAACATCACCTCTCTCTTCCTCCACAGCAACGTGATAAAACTGCACTTCAAGTCGCTTTCATTATACAAAAGTGGCTTTAGACGACCGATTAAGGTGTTTTGTAGTGACTGATAGCTAAATAAACCATCTGTGTCAGAATTTTATGGTACCAGTTTAATAATGTACCACAAGCAGATTGAAAATTGTTTCTGAACTAATTAGAATGGATCAATGCCCTCCCCTTCCCAGCAAACAGTGCTGCAAAACCAAGCCTTCGGGGCAGTCCTTTCTTTTGCAGAGCCAATCGCTTACAACACTTCATCATTCTTCGTGGTTCTCTTCCTCTTAATTGACAAGTCCACCTTGGATCCGATGCTTGCTCCCATGTGCTACTTCTCTTCCAAAAGCCCGAGGTTTCCCACAGTTTCAAGAACACCTTGATTTTCTACTCACACCTCCCTTATCCCTCTCCTCTGCCTTGACTCTTTCTTCTTGACTTCCTCTTGCCTCTCTTCATCTTCATCTCATGTCCCTTTGAAGTTCCTCTACAGAACTAATGAACTCAGACGCCACTCTGCTGCTCTTCCGGACCTCTTTCCTCAAATCACACTGGGATGATGAGTCCGTAAACCTGCACTGACGGCTGTAAATCCAAGCAGCTCTCCCACCAAGAGATGCCGAGTTCACTTACAGCTTGGGCAATATGGAAAGCAACACCTATGCCAAAGGTACATCCTTCCTTTGAACTGTGCACCTGTGCTCAAGTTCGCCTTTTCCCACCCATTTTGAGGAGCAGTCAACCTTCTCCAACTTCTCCAGCTACATATTACTACTATTAATTGGATTTTTATCCCTCTGCATTTTGGGATTTGTAGCACAACATATCCAGAAAGAAATGGGCGTGTTTAGCCCTGAGTAGAGAAGGCTGAGGGGGGACATGGTCAAGTACCTCAAACGCTGTCACAAAGAGGAAGGTCAAGATCTCCTCTTGCTGATGCCAGAATGTAGGACACCGAGTAATCAAGTCAAATTGCAACAACCCAGGTTCAGGCTGGACATCAGGAAAAGCTTCCTCACTGTCAGAGCAATACGGCAGTGGAACCGGCTGCCTGGAGAGGTGGGGGGCTCTCCCCCACTGGAGACATTCAAAAGAAACTGGACAGCCATCTGAGTGGGATGGTGTAACGTGGTGTCCTGCAACAGCAGGGGGGTGGACTGGATGGCCTTCATGGCCCCTTCCAACTTTGCTACTATATGATTCTATGAAAGCTCCAACTGCAGTGGTTAAAGCTCTCACAACTCCAATTCCAGAGCATAATTTTATTTCTAATACTGCTGCACCTACTATTGTTGTTGGTGTTGTTGTTATTTCCCTATTTTAACAGCCATACCATCATTGTAGTCCTTGCGACTCTGGGAAAGATGATACTGTCTTGGGAAGGTCCCTCCTTTCCCAAATCTCTCACAAAACGGGATATCAAAATCTGGAAAGGGAGAGAAGCAAAGCATATATTTAAAAAAAGAAGCCTTTTCCTGCTTCCCCCACAATGCACTGACCCAGTCAAATCTAAGATGGCACTTCGGAATCGTATGTGCCAAAACTTGAGAATGGCCACGAGTAATTGAGATTCCGAGCCAAATTTTGGAATGAATCAAAGGAAGAATGAAACATCACATCCTGTTGCACTATTCGCTTCACAGCCCTTTTTGTTCTCAAGCTGCTGGTCGCAAGGGGGGGAAAGGTGAAAGAGGTCGACCAGCACCAACAACCAGTTCCTCCACCAATGTTTGCATTTTGCGTGTGCGTGTTTTACAATCTGTAAGGACAATTGGGGGAGGTTCAGCTTTCGCTTCAAACCCGCACTCTGTTGTCAAAGGCAATGTCCAATTCGTGCAGAGCTGCGTGCTTGCACTCTAGTTTCCAGCCCCTAAGATATGCGTGGGTGGAGCAAAGGAAAGCAGGCACTTGCTGCAAAACCATCACTTTGTGTAGGGGTTGCTACAGATCACCAAGAGAATCCAACTCAGGGGATCTGCTTAGCAACTACCGGGCACCAAACATCACAGGCACGTCTGGCAAGGGGAAGAGGTTGCAGAAACGTGCATTGGTAGTATGATCTTCCCCTGCCTGCCTGATTTTCTACATCCACATTTTAGCTCAGCTATAGAGTCGTCTTCTTTATGCCCTCGTTTAGCTGCAACTCAATGGCTACCCTGGAAGGCGTCAAGCCCAGCCTTTCAGCAGTTTCTTTCTAACAACCCCATTCAGAAACTCGTCATGGTCACATGCGCAGCGTGAAGGGCAGACAGGGTAGGGGATGGGAAGCGAACGGCAACTGAGGCTCCGGTGAACGGCCTTTTAAAGGGAAACGTGAGCACTGCTGCCCAGGGGGCATATTAAAATTTCACGGAGCCACATGGCCACAGCTGAAACCCAGCTTCCACGGCCTGGCCCCGCACCACCGCGTCAAGCCAAACATTGTCTTTTCATCCTCTGGGCTACCTGCCCATGTATTCATTTTTTAATAGCAGAGGTCACTACAATATAACAATGATGAAATTTTCCGTGATTTCACCAGCTACATATGCATGCTCGAAGCAGAAGGCTGCAACCAAAGAAAAATCTGTGCGAGCTCAAAGTGAGACTCTGGAGCTACGGATTCTGAGCAAGCCATTCTCTGGTTCACTTGCCTGAAAGGGTAACTGCAAGTTGGATTTAAAACTCTGTCCCTCAGGCATTTCGGGGTTCTAGTCCTCAGATAAAATTTGCCCACAGGCACAAAAGGTGGAATGGCAGTACTGCACCTGGGGACCTTTCGCCCTGGGAGAAGCAACCTAAACCTCGCATGAGGCCTTGGGGCTGCAGACAACAAGACTGCTGAAATCCTTACCTAGACAATCAAGGCTTTCTTTGGTTTCTCTTTTCCTTCTTGAAACAGGCGTTTGGCTAAAGGGTGGGCTGCATGAAGAGGCAGAAACACCACATTAGGTCCCACGAGACACCCCTGGCCACGACGACTGCTTATTCAGAGACCCTGCTTGCTGAGAGGACAACGCTTTGCCTTCCTATCGGACTCTGCATTCAGGAGTCCAAGGAGAACGTCCAGCAAACTCGCAGGGGAGGCCAAAGTGATTATCCCCATGTTGCGGATACAACTCTAATGACAATCTTAGCTGGTAACGGGGAACGCCTGAATGCAAATCTGCCTGGGGGATTATGGGGATTGTAGTCCCACACATCTAGAGAACACTGGGTTGTTGAAGGCTGGCCTAAGGCTGCCCAAACATTTCACAGGTAGGGCTGGGTTAGAACTGAAGGTTTCCTAGCTTACATCTTTTGTCATGCACTTCTCTGGCAAAATCAGAGGCAGACAGCATCTTAGTAATAGTTTCCTTCATTAAACTTCATAGGCACAGAACAAGGGTGATGTTTATGCCGTCTTCATCTGGTGCTTAATTTTGGGGGTGGCACTTTTTATTGTATGTAAGATGCCTGGAAAATGTTTACCTGAAGGTGGGACAGAAATGGGTTAAACGTGAAACCCAGGCTAAGATTCAACAGAGCAAAAAGACACATAATTACTTAACCTGGGTTGCACTTTTATCCCACCCTTCCTGCAAGGAACTCTGTTTTCAGGTTAGGCTCCTCCCCATCCTGAAAACAACCCTGTCAGGTTGGCCAAGCTGGGAAACAACAGCTGCATCAGAGGGCAAGAAGAGCATTGCTGGATCAGGCCAAGTCTCCACCTAGCCCAGAATCTGGTCACACAAAGGCCAACCAGCTGCTCATGGGATCCCACCAGCGGAACATGGGTACAAGGGCCCCTGCCCACCCTTCTTCCCCAGCAACTGGTGCTCAAGGGCATCCTGCTCCTGAGAGTGGAGCTGGCATGTGGCCATCAGGGCGCACAGTAGCCAAGGGCATCACGCATCTGGCTTACCTGTCTATGGATCTGTCCAGGGACTGACAACTTCCAGAGAGAGAGTCATCAGGGCTGATAAACGGCTCCAACAACTTTGGAGAGGAAAGGGGAGGGGGGAAAGAGTCGTGAAATAAAGACCCAATTAGACCTCCCCGCTCCCTTTTAGCAGCCAGACACCAAGCACACCTTGAGGCCCAGCTTTTGCCAAAACTGCCCCCAGCACAATGTACTCTAAGAATGGAGGCTCACTGGGGAAATCAAGCTCTGTTCAAGCACCTCAATTGTTTATGTTTTTGTGATAAATAACAAAAGCTAAGTAAGATAAAAGGCCCCAAGCATGCCAACAAGAGAAGCAATTGGACACTTTGCAAAGCAGCCTCTCCTAGCTGACTGGGGGATCATGGGAATAGTAGTGCAAAACATCTGGCTGGCACTAGGCTGGGGAACACTATTAAAGAGAAGCAGAGCAGTCTCTCAACTCCGCCTCTCGCTTCTCTTCCCTCCCGTAATTCCTGGCTCATGCAAAACTACCTTCTTCTACGTCCTTTGCCTCCTCTGACCACAACATGCCTTTTCCCGGCCACCACTCTGTGAACAGGTAAGAGGTGGATAACATGACACCTTGCCCGTGTTTTGAAGCTCAAACCGGCGCCCAGAAGATCAAGGGGGGCTGTGTCAGAAGGGAACCCCAACTCCTTCCAGCCAGGGCTGTACCGCAGGAGCCCGCCTTTCTCCTGGCCTGCAAAGCCAGGGGACGTGGGAGGGCCACGGGGCTCGCAGGCCTGCCAACATTCCTCGGCCGTGGGGACGTGTCACTGGAAGATGCTCACACTCACAGCTGGCCCAAACATGCAGAACTGGCACATCCTTCCTGGATCATACAACTTCTCCTCACTACACTACAGGAAATCACACATTTGACTGTTCCCTCACACTAAAAACAAAACAAACAAAAGCCACTAACATAAATAAAAAACTTTCTTGCAAGTGGAAAATTAGTATAACAGGAAGTGACTCTGGAATACACTTCCCCAACAAGCTTAGCTTTGGACGTGCAAGACGTTTTAAAATAAAAATGGTGGAGGGGGATTTAAACACAACGGACTGTCTCCGCTGGTACAGTCCAGGAAGAGCTATGCCACATGCTTGAATGGGCTCCAAGTAGTCCCATCTAGGAATATGGCCTGGCAGGGCAGAACACATGTGAACCCAAGAGAGCGGAGGTCAGAGGGAACGGATTCTCTTTCTATGGAACCTGCCCGCTACCTACCCGGTGAGAAGCAAAGCCCGATGCTTCCTGCCTACCTCCCCGGCCTGCGAACCGGCTCGCTTCCCTGCAAAGCTAACACGCGTGTGGCCTGCTGCATTCAGACTCCGGCAGAGACTCACATTTTGGTCCATCGTCTCGGGGATAAACTCCCCCTCGCTGTTGATGCTGGTATAGGACCCCTGCCGTGCAATTTGCTGCTGCTCTTCGGGAACGCTCCCGGGGGGTGGGGAACTCCGGCCTGTGTGCAGAGAGCCTGTTAAGACAGACAGAAGTCCCTGAAGAGAAGGTCTAAGGGGTGAGTGGAAGCCCAGCGCACTGGGTCTGGCCTGCAAGGGGGGCAGCTCCGTATATCGAACTCCCAAGCCGGCTGTGCCAAGAAAAACAACTGAGTGGAAAAGCAAGGAAAGGAATCCCAGTCGGGAGAATGAGACCTGGCAACCCCCTGCTTGCACGATGCTTGAGTCAGGTGAAGAGGTGGAGCTGCCTTGCACAGAATCTGCTCCGTGGTCCATTTAACCCAGCCATTCCCACCCTGGGCTTTCCTGAACTGCAATTCCCATAATTCCAATGTGCAAGTCCAGCCCCCCAGGATGAAGATGGCCGATTTAGTCTAGGAACTGCACAGGTGGGTCTCCTGAGTTTCCGACAGTGGGTTCCCTTCATCCACCCTGTGGCTGAAGCCTTTTTAACTGAAGGTGCCCAGGACCAAACTTTCGGTGTGCCGGCAAAGCGGATGCTACAAGCCTTCCTTGATCCACACAGAAGGCGTGCAGAGGTCGAGCGGCACGGCCTGGCACAATCCCATCCACATCAGCTGGACCGCGGAAGCCCCGAGTTCCCACCTCCAGTTGGTGGTGACGTTCGCACGGCCAGCTCAGGGCCATCATCCTCTCTCAGCTTGTCCTCAGTCTCAGGGTTGTGGTGAGAATAAGACTGGGGAAGCACCAAGGTGTGCCAGGTGGGACATAGATGGACTTAATTATACGTATAAAGTGCAAATACATTCCTTCCAAAGGGCCAGCACCGATGCCCAGAACCAAGGCAATCCTGTTGTTATTAGCACCGGGCGGAAAGCTACTCCGAGCAGATGCAGACGCCTGGGAACTCAACCCTCTGCAGAGATGAATGGACACTTTGCTTTTGTGCAACAGCAGAGGCAAGAGGGTTCTGGATGGTGGCGGAGGCATGGAAGTGAGCTAAGAGCTCCGTGGTCCCAGTTTATATTGAAAGTACAGCATGTCCCACAAAGAGACTGTCTTCCACTGCGGGCAAGCTCTGGAGCCCTGCCACATCCCTTTCCACTCTGTTATGTTAAAGGAATTCTCCTGAACGGTGTGTGCAGCTCGGGCAACACATCCAGTCCGGTCCAGGCTGACCTCGCCTGGCTGTGCTCTTCCTCCAAAAAGAGCCTCTTTGGCCTGGCTTCTTCCTCCCCGTTTCCTCCTGCACTTTGCCACATCCAATAGCTGCTCGCTGGAAAAAATGCCACATGTTTGGCATGTTTCCCGCAAGGCCCAGCCATGCGGGTAGAGAGGGGCGGTTCTTGTTGGAACTGAACTGCAGGGATCCTTTACAGCCACCCAGCAGGAAGGACCATCCAAGGACGCTGCAGCTTCAGATGTCAACAAGGCAGCTGGACACTCTGTCTCAGCTTGGGGTCAGCAGCAGCCTATGCTCTGCAGGGCAACTGGGCTCTCCAGCCAATGGCTTGGCTCCCTGCACCACCACAGGGATTTGCCACCAGGGGGAGCTGCTGAGAGCCCACCATGGCTACCCTTTGCTCTGGAGCAGCCTTGGCCAAGCAAACCCATGTGCCACCAGATGTCTCGGGACTACCGAGCTGCTGTACTCATATCCTGCCCGGGGGTTTCTGTGGGCAGCTGCCCATGGCTGCTGGGCCACGGTGAGTAGAAACGCCCCATGAGATGGAAATATTCCCCTAGACGCAGACTCTCTAACGACCAACTGCACACACAAAGAGTGCCCAGAATATTTAAAAAACATGGTGCAATTCCGTAACACAGGGGGGCAGGATCCGAGGGCCAGCAGCAACATCTGTCCCTCACATCACAGCCCCTTCCTCTAGCTTCAGTGTGCACCAGTGTGGAGCAGTGGGTAAGAGCGTGGGGCTGGGACTCAGTCGGCCTGGGATCTAGGCCCCGCTCAGCCCCGCAGCCAGCTGGTGACTGGGCCAGTCACAGACTCTCAGCCCAACCTACCCCACAAGACTGTTGTGAGGATAAGATCAAAAGCAGCAGGAGGAGAAATATGTAAGCTGCTTTGGGTTCATTGGGAAAAAGCAGGGTATAAATCTAATATAAATGCATATAACCATCAATTACTGGGTGGTTTCCTGGCTTTGGAGCAGTCTTTTCACCCATTAGAAAAGGCTGAAACCGCTCTCCTAAGGACTAGTTACTTGCACTAAGCACTTTAAGCTCAAAGGTGTTTATATTTATACTGGCTTTGATCCTGCCCTTTTGGCCTTCAGCACCATCTACCACTCAACCGTGTCCCTCCGGAGCTTCTCCGAAGTGGAATTTGGCCCTGAAAGAGGCTCCATACCTGCCGTAACAAGTTATGGCTGCTTAAGCATCATCTGCTTCCTACAACCCCAGGAGTGTACTGACTCGTTGCTATTGTTTCCAAGCATACTCCTTTTCAGTGCTGAACTCTGCAACTCAGTTCTATTTCGGCACTAAAATGATACCATCCTACTATATTGTTTCTAGATTTCAATCAGCATTCTTAGCCCTCTCCCAAACTACTCTTAATAAAATGTGGCGGGTGAACTTTTGCTTTCTTTTTTAACCGGGAGACTAGAAAGCGTCTTTGATTCATGAAAGCCACCTTCTGGTTTTCAGTTTTTCAGGAGCTCCAACTGCAATCCCAGAAGTCAGCTCCTACATTCACAGTCCTGGAAGTTTTCATACCACTCATGCAGGCCCATGTAACTTTTGCACTTAACCTAACTATCTATCTATCTATCTATCTATTTATTTATTAAAACATTTCTATGCCGCCCCATTCGCCGAAGCCTCGGGGCGGCTCACAACATAAAGTGTAAAGTCTATGTCCTTTTTTTGAGTCTCTTTAGCACAGTCTCAAGAAGAAATTGTTTGGGTTGCTGAAATCAATCCAACCAATGCAAAAATGCACACAAAAGAAATCCTTTGTTGAACTGGTGTTGCACAAACCTGTTGCTTGCCCAGGCTAAAGCGAAATGTGCTTTCTGCTGGACAATGAGAACTGTTTTACACAATTTCTTATTACAGAGATGATACTCTCTCACATAGATACAAAATGCACCAGCCCATTTAATGTTTAATTTTGCCTACTGGGTGCATTCCATGCTTCCGTCTCCATAATAAATTCGAGCAATCCTGTGTGTTGTATGCTGAGCAGACCTCCTCCCCCAAAACCATTACAGAAGGGTGGAAAGTTTCTGCCAACAGCAAGTTTATATTCGCTCCAAATTCCACTGGCCTATTGGTACAACAGGAGAAAATGGGTTGGCAGCCCGAAGAAAAACAGCAAAAGTGTTAACTTTGTTCAAGTGCAAGCAGCATTTGCAGAGGTACTTGCTGTAACCGTGAAGCAGCACATTCTGTTTCAGAAACAACCATACAGAGTTCTGGGCAAGTGCTCAACACCACAGGTCTCCGTCAGGAGCTGGGTGAACGTTCCCCAGAAAAGGTGGGGGGGCTTCTCCAGACATACGGATAAGAGCCATCGTCACGCAGGCATCTTACAGTGGGGGCACGGAGCCCTGGGCCTGAGCCCACCTGGGTCCCAGCGCAGCCATCAAGGCTGCCCCAGATGACCTCAACCTTGTCCCCAACCAAAAATCATTTGCTGTGTTTCTGGCTTCTACACAGCTTTATCCCTCCGGAAAGGCTGCAATTACTTCATTAATTAGGTGTGCTCAGTCCATTCTGTTCCTCTGAATGCTTGCATCTGTACACTGCATCATTTTTCCACTGACTCCACCTGGGCACCAATGGAGAGGCTGCACCCGGTTTTAATTTAGCCTTGCCTCTTGGCTTCAGCAGTGGACTTCAGGCTTCCTAGACGAGGGGGTCTCTCTTCCAGGTCTAGTTTCAGGCATAGCCTTGGCTGGGTCCTGGCAATGTTCTTGATGCCTCTTGGGTCAGATGACCAAGTGGTTGTAATCTAGGGATGACCTGGGCATTGCGTAGCCGACAGGGCTCAGAGCAAGTCCCACGGTCCAAGACCTGGATGCAGGCCTTCCGCCTCAGGACAGCAGTCCTGGGACTCTGAGATTCCCAGAATGGGGATGACCAGAGAAGAACTTCTTCCTGGACGACTGCAGGAGGTGGACTCTGAGGTAACGCCTCTTGCAGAGGGCTGCATGAACGAAGGACAAGAAGCATCTTCAAGGGTTATGTTCCTTCTGTCCCAGATCTCCCTAAACAGGCTGGTTGGGGATGCTGGGAGTTGTAGTCAAATACATCTGGGTGGCACCAGGTTGAGGAACATTGCTTTATCCTTCAAGAAGGCTCCTTGGCCGACACCCTCGGTTCCCTCAAAGTCCTCCCGCGGTCGTTCAGAAAATCCTATCTTGACTGCCATACTGGTCCCAGAAGCAGGAGATTGGTCCCCTGGCCAGCCTGGCCTGTCTCTCACAGAGGGCAGGGCCTCCACCACACACCTCCTCACAGGATTATCTCAGTCTCCGGTGAACTTCATAATAACCCTGCAATGAGTGCCTCCAGGTAGCCAGCCCAGATCGCAAAGCGCTCCACGACCTCCTTTGGCGACAGGCAGCGGTTCCTTGTGGGTTCTTGTCCCAAGCAGGAGAGCATGTTGGTCTGTTTCCCAGCTGCCATCGGCCCCCATCACGCTCTGGACACTGAACCCACTTCATTCATTCTTTTGTTTGAATTTTTGCCTCTTGGGGAACAAGGGGAGAGGGGAGCAGGGGATCTCGAGGGCTTGCGGAAAGGAGGAAAGACACCTCGCCGCTGTAATTCACTGACCTGTTGAATGCTTCCGTGTCCTCTCTGCATCCTTGTAGAGGGACCCCATGATGTCTCCCATGGACTTGGATATCCTCATCTCGTGTTGCTTGCTGTTGTTCGGGTGCAGAGGCTAGAAAGGGTACGAAAGCAGTTGGTGGGGCCCGCTCTTTCCCACCTCCCAGGCATTCCAAGGAATGGAACCACCAGCTGGGGAACCTCAGGGGGTCAACAGGTTCTTTGGCACCCTGTTCAAGAAGACACCACTGGGCCCTAAGGTTGGGCAGCCCAGATCACTCCAGCCCCTTTTGCCCCCCGTGACTTGGGAAAACACACGAGGCAGCTTTGTCCCCTTGCTAGAAAGACTGTCTCCCAGTTGGGCGGCCTTTTAAAAGGAAGGACAAGGTAAGGAGGTGATTGAGGATGGCGATGGTCCTGAGACAGGACAGGAAGGTACTCCAGTGGCTGGCAGGGATGGGCCCAAGGGTGGTGTGCTGCAGGGCTCTGCAAACTTTTTGGGTCAGTGGACAGAGCGGAAATGTAGGGAGTGTCACCAAATGGCCACGGAGGCATCGTCAGACCCAAAACATCAATTTCCCAGAAGGCCAACCCATGAGATTGTCCACGCAGGCCATGCTGGAAACCCCAAGGGTGGAGCTGCAGCACATCACCTCTGCTTCACAGAGCATACGATGGAGCTACGAAGTCATTCTGACAGCAGAACGTGAGGGCCGCTAGCCGAGGGCCACGAGGCACGACCTAAACCCCACATAAGCAAGGGACTAGTGTGACGTACTCTTAACAAATGAAAGACATGGGGTCAGCTCAAGCGTAGGGTTGATTGTGTAAGAAATGCAATGATCAGATGCCAATTCTAAGAGGGGGCTGTTAGGACAAACCAGCCATCTGATACGTAGCTGAAACGTACAAGTGTTTTCACTCCTCGAGACAATAACATTGCATTTTGCTTTGTACACAAACGAAGAGAAAGGAGGTGGTAGCTCACATTTGTTTTCTTTGGAGTTTTCACAAACACTCGGAGGCTTTTCAGAGAAGGGCTGCGATCCAAGTGTTCCACCGCTCGGTCCAAGTCTTCCTGTGATTTCAGGGGTATCAGGAGCTGGAAAAAGAATGAGCAAACAGCATTGGTACAGCTGAGTTACAAACATGAGCAAACAGAGGAGTGGTGGAGCAGTCGGGGGCTTGGGAAAGGTGGGGATTAGACACTTGAACCCAGGATAGCGTGAAGCTATCAGAGGCTTCTGGTGGAAAACAGAAACAAAGAGGTTTTAACCTTTTCTTCCAAGATAGCATCCCTTTGAGGAATCAAATAGCAATCATCTGAACAACAGCTTACAAAAGACGAGGCCCCACGTGCCCCCGACACAGCTGGAGGGCTACCCTGCGTGGCAAAAGTGAATGCAATTTTTGCAGGCTGGATCTGAACTACAGGCATTACCTACTCATAGCGGGACACGTAGATGCGTGCAGATGGGACATCCAACTAATCCTGAGGACTGCTAACTTAGCTTTTCGGTTTTAAAGCAGACAGGTATCTATAGGCAGTCGTTTCCAAATGCTATGCCAAAGAACACAACAGGCCCCCCAGTAGAACCCAGGGTTAAAGTTGACTGGCGGGTCATTTGGGAGAAAGAAAAGGTAACCTGTGGAATTTGACCTCACAAGATGCAGCAATGGTGACTTTCAAATGGGATTGGCCAAATGCATGAAGATGACTATGGATGGCTACTGGTCCCACCTGCTACCTCCAGTATCAGAGGCAGGATTTATTTGTTTGTTTGTTTTATTAAAACATTTTTATGCCACCCCATTCGCCAAAGCCTTGGGGCGGCTTACAACAATAAATTAATTATAATCTTAAAAATACAAAAATACAATATAAAATAAGCCATGGGCAGGAGGCTGCTGCCATTCTCCTGCCCTGCTTTGAGGGTGCCCACGGGCAGCCGGTTGGCCACTGTTAGAACAGAATGCTGGATTATATGGCCCATGGCCTGATCCAGAAGAACTCCTGCTATGTTCTTGCCCATTTTTTGAAATATTTCATCCTGTCAGGAGGGGAAAGAGGATGAAGCCCTTAAAAGAGGAAGGGGAATGCCCTGGTCCACATTAGCTTGACGCTGCTTGCCGGTAGGCCAGAATGCCGGACTGGACAACTCTGCTCAGATCCAGCCTGTCCCTCCTTCTGTCATTAGACTAACGGAAGCAAAGTGTTGCAACGGGCTACGCAGACTATCAACTCCAACCCCCTGCTCGGTGCGGAAGTCCAGTGTCGAGCGTCCCAGACATATTGCTCTGTACAATTTGCTGGAATACCTCCAGCAGTGGAGAGTTCGTCACTCAGCTGGGCTGTGGGATGCACAGTTTAGCTGTGGAGTTTTCCTGATGTTCAACCCGAATCTGCCTTCTTGTAACTTAAGCCTTTCTGTGTCCCAACCAGACAGAGAACAGGTTGCTGCAATCCACTTCGATAAGACAACCCCTTTCAGAGTCAAAAAGTGCTAATTTATCTCCCAATCGCCTCCTCTCAAGGTTAACCATACCCAGTTCCTTCAATCTTGGGATTATCTTTGCTGACCTTCCCGCTCTTACTATATCCTTTTTCCAGAGTGGTGTCAAGAACTGGACACACCCTTCTAGGTGAGGTCTGACCAGTGCAGGGCAGAGTGGAACTTTTACTTCCCAAGATGATGAAACTGTACTTCCAATTGAGGCAAACTAAATTTGTATGTGACTTTATTGCAGCCACATCATAATGCTACGTGCCAGGCAGTTTATGATCAAGTACGACTTTTCATTAGCGCTGATGACAACCAAGTATCCTCCATCTTAATACCTGTGCGTTCAATTTTGTTCTCCTAAATGAAGAGCTCGGTACTCATCCTGGGAGACACAGATGAGGAGGAGCAGAACGCAGCCTCCCCGCTGCCTGGAATTCCAGCATGCACCTGGCTGAGCCCAAGGCCCCAGGTGCAGCCCAAACTGCACTAGCAAACACGGATGCTCACCCCATCAGTGTATCACATCACATTTGCCACACGCAGGCCGTAGGTATGCTTAAGATTTGCCAAAAAAGAACTATCACCCCAAAAGACAAAAGAAGACAGATCTATATAATGTTTGCATATGCTAACATGGAAATAATAATTATAATCTAAATAGAAATGCAGGCTATCTCACTATATTGCAAAACACGGACCAGGTGAATCCTGCGTCTTAATTGTCGGAAAGCAACTGCTCTTGCAGTCCTTTATTTTTAAACTGTATTTGGACAGCGGAGCCCTGCAAACGGAAGACATCGTCAACTGAGGACCATCCTCTGACAGACCTTCACACAGAGGGCAGTCCCCTGTAAACCAAACCAAACCAAACCAAACCAAACCAAACCAAACCAAACCAAACCAAACCAAACCTAAAATGCCTGTACTTTTTGCCAATTTGTTTCCAGGCACAATGGAAGGTATCTGTTCTTGAAACACTAAAATGTAGTGTTGGGGCCTTCGTGACTCAGGGTCAAGAGATATCCATCCAGCCTGTACACTCTTCAGATTTCCTGAAGAACTTCCCTCTGTGCACTGCCGGTGTCCAAGGTTGGGCCTTCTCCGTGGCCGCTCCTGGACTGTGGAATTCCTCAGCTCACAAGATCTGTCTGCTCGCCTCCCTCAAGTCATTGCTTCCTTGCCAGCTGGCCAAGCCTTTACTCATTTAGTTGCGGGCTTTGCTTTTGGCTATTTTAGACTGCCTTCCCTAATCAATTGTGTTCCAGATGTCTTGAAGAACAGCTCCAAGTATCCCCTAGCAGAGCACCGTAGCCAGATTCTGGGAACTGTCATCCAACTCATCTGGAGGGCACCAGGCTGGGGAAGATGCGTTTTGATACTCATCTGTGCAATTCAGCTTTACTGGTTTTTAATCCTTGTAACTGTTTGTTCTAGGTTGAGTTTTATTGACTTTCTTCTTCTTGTAAGCCCCTCAGTATCCTGAATGGAAAGGCATAATGCATCTAATAAAAACTGTAGAGTCACAGAATAGTAGAGTTGGAAGGGACCAATAAGGCCATCGGGTCCAACCCCTGTTCTGTGCAGGACGCGGTCAGTTAATACATTCCAGCTCCATCTTCTGGCTCAATTGACTCATACAGCTCAAGGGTGTCGGTGGCTGGAGAATGCTGGATGTTGCTGCGCATTTGCCCACAACTTCCTGCCCCTGGAAAGCTAGCACAACAGTGTCCTTTGACTGATGTGCTAACTTTCCAATGTACAAGGAGTTTGGGATGTATTCGAATGCAACACAAACACACCTTCTGAAATGGAACAATCCCTGGACAATTACTTTTTCTAGAGTCTAGAATCTAGACCTTTAACCCCCCCCCCCTTCTAGAGCAGGTCAAACATTGAACACCCTCTCACATACACACAGACTAGAATGCTGATGGTTCTGTGCAGAGAATATCAAGGTACCTTCCAGGATTGTTACCAGGTTTGCTGAAAGTGCTGCATACATGCTGAGCATCATTTTTATATTCCATCATACAGCTCCCACTTTCTCTCTAAGATCTGGATAAAATTCTTTTCTTTATCCAGATAAAAAAGTCTGGATAAAATCCTTGCTCCTGCTTCAAATGGGCTAGTGTTCCCTGAATAATTGCTGTTGCATCTCACAATGCTGGCATGCAACTTGGCTCACTTACTCAGGCCGCCTAGAGCTCTGGTCACTCTGGTGGGCTGGTCTGCAGTGTGAAAGTTATGCTGCATTAGTGTACACTGCCTTGTGCTCAACGGCCGTCTTTTCCCTGGAAGCACAGAATTCCACGATTCTAACCTGCACGGTTGAGACCTCAGTTCACCTTCTGAAAATTCCACAAAAATTCTCTTTCCAAAAACAACAGCCTCAACACAGGACTCGACTCCAACCTGGCATGCTTTTTTCATCAGCCTCATTCTACCCTGGAGTCTGGACCTGAACTGCCAGGGCAGTTCCTTGGCTGGCTCTTTTGCCCCTCCCCACAGCCACCTCAACTCTGCAGGAGCCATCCAAAATCGGTCTCTGCTTGGAATAAAATGTCCTGCGACCTTCTAAGCCTCTCCTCCAGTCTCACAGTGTTCCATACACTCCCGTGCCGGGCTTCCGAGACGCCAAAAAACATCAGGTTGACATTGTTCTCTGTGTGCTGTGGAAATTGGCCCTTGCCTCTCGCTTGGATCTGGCGAGGAGGTTTCAGCTGCATCTGCCAACAGGGCTGCTGTGTACACGGACGTTCTCTACCAGACACTAAGCCTAAATATAGACACACGCAAACTGGAGCAAGTTGGCAGGTTGCAGGCTCAGGAAACAGAGCGAAGTTTTCCTGCGGCCGGTAAGCTGAAGAGCGGTGTTAATGAGCCAAGGAGCCCATGGCGGAAAGGGGGAAATTGTCGAGTGCTGATTCATCGGTTTGCTGGTCACTGTGCTAAGCCAGAGCTATCTGTGCACTGAACTAACGCGGGCAAAGACAACCATTATGCAGAATGCAGAGGTGGGGAACTGCAGGACTGGGGGCCGGATCTGGCCTGCCTAATAGCAGCCCTCTTGAGAAACAGAGGACCATGTCCCTGCCCCCAAGTCACCAACGGTTTGGCTGTTTTCCATCTTTCGTGTAGTTTTTCCACGTTCTAAAGGCTGAAATCCTTCTCTTAAGGCTCATTTACAGGCAGTGTTGCATACTGGTCAGAGTCCTGGGCTGGGATTCGGCTTCTTCCCCACTCAGCCATGAAACACACTGGGTGATTGCGGGCCAGTGAGATTTGCAGTCCGGCCTACCTCAAAGGGTTGTTGTTGTGGGAATAAAATGGAGAGCAGAACTTTATAAGCCTGGGTTTCTTGCAAGGTGAGATACAAATGCCACATAATAATTGTAATTACTCACTCTCGGCATCACCTACTCACAGGGTTGTGATTGAAGGGATAAAATGGAGTGATGGAAGGCACCTTGGGTTCCTCATGGAAGGAAAAAAGTTGTTTTGGTACTGGTGGCCAGAAAGAATGTGTGTGGTGAGGGGGAGGAAAACAGTACTGCTGAATTTTAGCAGGGTATATTTTGAACTAGGGAAAAGGTGGCTATGGTAGAAGTTTATCTGTTAGCCTTATGACACCACACAGTTCCCAATCTCTGGAGCAGCTCTGTACTGGCTTCAAAAATACTTCTGATGCTTGTTTTGTTAAAGCGGTGGGCGAACATCTGGAAGATGGTGAACACATTGAGCTGCCTTGTGTTCCACGGAACACTATCCCTGTTTTAGGATAACATACTTTGAGGTTTTAATCATGCATTGTCTTGCAAATGCGTAGGTGAACTCCAGCCCGCTTCCCGTTTCTGATTTGCTTTTCTCCGGCCCATTTTGTCAGCTTTAACAATGGCTTCACTTCTAAGGTGTTCTTGCCAGGCATGTCTGTTTCAGAGTCGACAGGGGTGCAAATCAGTCAGACATGAACCATGATTATGACAAGCCATGGTTTAAACAAGCCGGACTTCCTAATCCTACTATAAACTGTGGCTTCTGCTTCTGCTTTATAACTGATGGACAAACCATAGTTTGTTTGTTGGAACAGATCTGGACATGATGACAAACAACAACATGATATGGAAATAAGACAATTTAGCTGAACTATTAATCTATCTAGCTCAGCTTTCTGCAACATGGTCACCTCTAGATGTGTGGGAATGAAACTCTTTTACTACGCAGCCAACAACACTTAGAATTGTTCCAACACTTCTGGAGAGCACCAGATTAGGAAGAGGGAACTAGAGCAATGTTTTCTACCTTGACCAGAAGGTCCCCGCTAGTCTTCTGCCCACAATCCATCAAACTAGAGGGGCCAGGAACCGGATGCAGAACACGTACTCTTCATTTGAACCAGGAACCCTCTTTGCCTTTCCGGAAAAGCTACAACATGCACCACAGCAGATCTGGCAAGCACAGAAGAGCGGCATTCTCTGGACTCAGTCCCACTGAATCCAACATCTTTTTCTATTTCATTCTGCATTTGTTTTTGGAAATCTTGTGAGCACACTGCCTTTAAGAAGAGGTGGCAAAGAAGCTGGTAAGATACCTCATTGTTGGCATAGTGTAAGTCCATCATCTGACCAAAAGCATCCATGACTTTCTGCAGAACTTCTCTGAACTTAACCGGCCTCGGGAACTGGATAATCCTGCAAGAACATCAGTAAGTCAATGTCACTTAAGGCCCCATTCCACTGATACTTTATACATTTACTAGTGACAGGTTACAGAGGGGAATGCAATGGGGCTATTGCAAGCTATCAAACTTGTTAACATCCTGTCTCCAAATTCAACCTACCACCCGGCTCGCCAGGTAGAAAATCCCACCATTGCACCAGGAAGCTGAAAACTTACAGGAATTCATCATACAAGACTCACGGACCGGATGTGCCTGCCTAAGAAGCAACCTGCACAGACCTGATCCAGGGCTACATCAAAGAAGAGCATGGATTCATAGCAAAAGTGGGAATTAACTGTTTGCGTACAAATTGGGTGCAAGAACAGCTTTGGTAGGTATGCCAAAACACTATGCTCGTGTCCAATTCTTAATTAACCCATTAATTTTAATACATTAACATATTACCGACAGTTCAACAGAGGTTGACGTTTTAGGGATGCGGGCCAGTTTCTCTTAAGATCAAAACAACTCTGAATTTAACGAAGGGAAAAACAAAACACAACAGCACCACCATCCCCACGCACTCCGGTGTGTACCTTTTCTCTCCATCATGTTCAAATTTGATCCTGGCATTCCGCAACTGAGGGAGAAAAAAGAGAGAGAGAGCCATGAACGACAGAACTGATGCAACACAATGGCAAAGACACCGGCTGTGTTCACACAAGATGACAAGCGACCCTGGATGGATACCATGATTCCCATTCTATTCTGTTCTGTTCTATTACCATCAACCTGACAGACAATCAAGTGGTTTCTATGTTATTGTGGCTTCCACCCTCCTTGCTCAGTCCTCCTGCATTTGGCATGTATGTCCTCGGCCACTGCACTTGAAATTCAATCCCAAGGTGCATTGCTCCCTGCCTATATTGCCTACTTCTTCCTTATTGGTCTGCACATAGACACTGGATGCCTAGACTGGCTCCTGCAGTTGCCGCTCTTTCCAAGGGACTCTGAGGTAGCTGCATACCAGGACGGCTGAAACTGGCTGGGAATTTCAGGAGTGGCACTCCAGCACATCTGAAGGGTATCAGACTGGGGGAGGCTGCCTCCGGGAAATGGCTCTCTCAGTCCCCTTATCTCTGTGATAATGGGAGCAGAACAATGATCTACCTTACAGAAATGCTTGGAACCCTCTTGGAATACTTGTGACCTTCTAACAAGCTTTGTAACAGCTGACCACCATGCTAATGAGAATGCATTGCATTAACGTGACTTTATAAAGAGGTGTTATACTGCGCAAATGGAGGGCAGGCCTGTTAGCAATAAAAGGTATAATTAGCTGAACTGGGCCTCGTTACTTGGCATGGTCCAATGCTAACACCACGGTGTTCTTCTGGTAATCAGTCTTAACGTCACCATCTCAGTTCTCCACAATGCCTCTGCTAGGACAACACTCCAGAGAGCTCTGGGAAACACAGCAAGTCCCAGGTGTTGATCTGATCACACCTGCTGCCATCACCACCAGGTTGGCCCACCACCATTTTATTTATTTATTTATTTATTAAACCATTTTTATGCCGCCCCATTCGCTGAAGCCTCGGGGCGGCTTACAACAATAAATAAAATGATTATAATATTAAATCCAAAATATAAACATTAAATTAAAAATACAAAAATACGATATCAAATAAGCCGCCCTGGCCAGATAAAATTCAATAGTATTAACATTTAAGATGCTGCTTAAATAAAAAGGTCTTCGCCTGGCGCCGAAAAACAAATAATGACGGCGCCAGGCGGACCTCTCTGGGGAGCGCATTCCATAGGTGGGGTGCCACCGCAGAGAAGGCCCTCCTCCGAGTACCCACCCTCCTAATTTCCTTCACGGAGGGCTCCCGGAGAAGGGCCTCTCCCGCCGATCTCAAGGGGCGGCTGGGCACATATGGATCTACACAGGAGGAAGTCCACTAGTGCGGGACTCACCAGAAGGTACTCTGCAGTGCCCCCCCCCCAGACTTACAGCCAGTCTGAGCCCGGCAGGGCATGTGCAAACAGGTGCCTTGCAGCTGGTAGGCCGGTAGCACATGGATAGTTGGGAGTGTTTGTCTTGGCAGGCCACAATTTCAGCAGCTAGTACCAGGACGGGCAGCAAGATCGCCTTATGTTTTGGACTCCACTTCCCAGCATTCTTGACCACTAGCCATGCTAGCAGGGGCTTCTGGGAGTTGAGAACGACTCCCATGCCCTAGTAGATCTTTGGCTGGTCTGCAGTAGGTCACAAGGATTTCTGGCTCTCAATGATTTAACAACAGTTGCATCGAAATGTCCTAAATTTTGTCCTCTTACCCTAAATTATACCGCTGGAAAGACAAGCACTTGTGAGAACCAGGAGTGGATATTCTGTATGGAAGCTATGCTCACTGTGTTCTGTCCTTTTCCTCAAAACACATCCCTAGGCTCAGAATTATTTTAATTCTAAGCGTATGTGTTCTGCAGCAGGCTCCAATGGGTAGATCTTGGAGTTCTAGTAAAAAAATAAGGAAGTACAGCCCACAAGCCCAATTTCTGTTCAAAGTACCTTACAAAACAGCAAGGATTGCAACAGCAGTAGCCCCAACTACAAGGAGGCAACAGACCTAAGTCTGCGTAAGTCAACTTTCCCAACTTTTTGTCCTCTGGATATGTTGGGCCACAACTCCCACAGTTCCTCGCCAGTTGACAGGGCCAATGGCGAGAGAGCTACTGGAGCTGCAATCTAACACACTTATAAGGTGGCAGGTTGACAAAAGCTGACCTCAGGTTTACCAGCAACCCGGCCAGTTTCCCCATTACATTTCCCACATGCAGGAAGGCACACTACAAACCGACCACTGACAAAAACCTCTTTCCCAACAAACCCTAGAACTGCAGCTCCGTACCAAAGCAGTCTTGCAATTCTGCCCGTCTGCTAAACGTGGTTCTTACATGCTCTTGGTAAACATGCATACTTTTTGTGGTCTGAAGTATGAAATGAGCAGGAAAACCCACTGGTTGGAGCGCTCCACTATTCATCAAGCACATGCAAAAATAAATTACAGCCTAATCTTTCCCTCTCCCTTCTTTTCAGCATGGAAACAATGCATCCCGTACCCTGCCAGGGAGCATAGTTTGGAAAGATCAGTCACATACATGCCACTTGTATCTAAAAAGGAGAATTCCTAGATGGGCGAGTGCGTGACGTCCCTTCCTGAAAACACATCTTATCTCTCACTCAAGCACAGCCCAGAGCCTGATCAGCGGTTTCCATGTTCCCATCCTATACTGAGCAGATACGGTTTCGGCTAGAGAAGCTGCGTTAAATTATCAGTAGAGCTGAAGGGGTGGAGGCGATGTGCATTTGTATGTTTAAAGGATAGTTTCCTGAAGCACGCAATTTTATAAATAAATAGAAAAATGCCCATCAGCTACAGGGAACGGGCAATGTCAGCTCCAGGTTTTAGGGCAAGGTGTCTTGAGAGGTTGCCTGGCTCTCTGTGACCACAAGGTGCGACCATTCTCCTTCTGTCAAGACAGAATTCGGAGATACTGCTTCATCTCCCCACTCGGGCAAGTGGGCCCCCAACTAGGATGTGGGTCCCAGAAGCTGCTGAATGATGGCCATCCCTACTGCCAACTCTGGTGCCACCTATAAATCAGGTGTACTGCCAACTCCTTGTCTCTGAAGACCCATGCTCACCGCAGAGCGATGGCTAGAGTGGTGGACTTCACCCTGTCCTGAGCAGGAGATCTGTTGGTTGCTAGGCATGCAAACAGGTCTGGGTCTTGTGCAGAGACTGGAAGAGGGCCTGAGGGCACCACAGAGTTACTGGTGCCCAGGCAAAGCAGAGCAAAACACGGCTATCAGAGAGCTTGGGCTACTGGGTGTTGTACAAATATAATTTTTCATCATCTGGGCATCGGGGATATTCTCCCAGCACTAACAATCACTGTGGTCATCCAAAGAAGCTGAATGGAATCATGGGATATGGCCAAAAGGAAGTATTTTTTCACATAGTACACAATTAGCCTGTGACGGACCCAGAAGGTTCACTGATGACCATCCACTTGGATGGATTTAAAAGGGGGCTGGACAAATTCATGGAGGAGGAGGCGGCTATCCGTGGCTACAGGCAGACCGTCCCTTAGGCTGGGCCAGCCCTAAGAGAAACAGTCCTTTGGAGAAGCAGTCCCTGCTTCCAGGAGCAGTGGCTGGCCACTGTGGAAACAGCATTGGACAAGAGAAGGTTCTGGCTGGACCCAGACTGCTCTTCTTATGGCCCCCGTGAAAGATGGTAAGTTTCTTAAACACAACCTATTAGGGTTCTCTTCCTCTCACATTTTGGACAGTGCATCTTCAGTTAAGTGAGTCGACAGGAAGGGTGTAAGGAGAAATTGTGTTATTTATAGTTTTAATATAGTAAGTCCTGTACCCTTCTCACTAAGAGCCCAGTCAAACACTAAAATGTGATGGTAACAGCAACGACGGTACAGCCTTTCCTAGATCACAGTGACAGCTACTCTTCCACTGCATTTATATCCCAGCTTTTTAACTCTTGTGAGGAGCTCAAGATGGCTCACATAGGTCCATTTTATCCTTACAACCACAACAATCCTGTGAGGTAGGCTGGACTGGCGCAAAGTCACCGAGCTTCATGGCTGAGTGGGGACTAGAACCAGATTGCCTGGATTCCCAATGCAACATGCGACCCATGCCACACTGGTTGTCTAAAATCGCGTTTGGAGATGGAATGCATGCCACATGTAAAGAAACCCTTATGAATAGGAAGCAAAGGCGCAGGGAGAGGTTTAGTTTAGCAAATGAGCTCCCTGAGATGCTAGATTTCCACATGTGGTACATTCCCAGGGTTGGCGGGGAAGCATTCAAAAACTGAGACACAGGAAGCTTATCCCAAGTCAGGCTCTCGGGTCACCTAACTTGATGCTGCCCGTCCTGACTGCCAAGCACCATTCCAGAGTTGAGGAAGGGACGTTCCCAGCGCAATGTGGAGTTGTCAGCTCAGAACCGGCAGCCTTCACTATACCAGACGCACATTTCCCCTGAACTCCAGCCCTTCCTGATTCTAAGCGCCTCCGCGATCCTGGCTGCAACATGGGATGGGTGCAAAATTGCACAGGTGTGCAAGACAGATTCCACAAGTGTAATACAGATGTGCCAGCTGCAGAAACATGAGACTTGCACGTCACGCGTCCCTTGCTCTGCAGAGCAGACGCACACGGCCCCCCCCCCCAAGGTCCGACACCGTTTCTGCTGAGCATAACAACCACCCCGTTTAAGAACAACTTGTTGCTGGAAATGGACAAAACACTTGTATAAAACAGCCCCAGAAGAGGGGGGGAAATAATGACTGCATCCTTTTTCTCCAGAACTGAAACAATAACAACAACAGTGACCTCCTCTGGCCCGGCGCCAAAGAAAACAGACCAGCCGCCTCACAGAACAGCACTTGGCCGGTGAGGAGAGAAATACGAGTGAGCCAGATGCTCCAGAAAAATTCTGCTGGGATCCAGCTTCCCCCACACTCCAGTACTAAGTGCTAGAAAAACAGCTATTGGAGCAAGAGGCCCAAAGAAAAAGCAGAGTGTTGGGAAGGGCAAACAAAACAC